GCAGGACCCGCCGCAGGGGCCCAGCTGAGAGCACACACCACATGGGTGCTTTCACCATGTGGTGGATCCCAGACTCCAGCGCTGGGCAGCGGACGTGGGGTCTGTTTGTCAGGCTGCTGCCCCTTCTTTGGTGTCAGAGGGACGACAGATCCATGTCAGGGTTAAGTGGGGGAGACACAGCATTTGACACGGCGGCTGGTCCATGGATGGGTGCCCAGATCGGTGGCAGCAGGAAGACACCACTGCTGCACTGGAGGCACACAGGGACGGCCAGGCCGCCTGGGGACCTGCCCCCGTGGTGGGGCCACCTGGAGGACCCTGAGTCAGGGCTGCACCATTGGCTCTGGAGACCAAGGACCCATTTGGTGCCCCTGGCCACCCACACTACCTGCCAGTGGGCACGAGAGGCTGGTCATCCTGACTGCCCCTTGGCCCAAGACCCATGGTGGCCTCCCTGCCAGGCTGCAGAGAAGGGAGGGGCCTGGGGAGCTCTTTCCAAGGGAGGCCAGGTGCAGGGGCAGGGGGTGGGGTGGGGCGGTGACAGGGCAAGGACGGCAGGCGCAGGTGAGGGCACAGCCCCTAAGGAAGGCAACAGGCCCTGCCGCCCGCCCACAACCTGAGAGTCGCTCTCCCACAAAACCGTTTATTGGGGGACGGGGCACCAGGATCAGCTGAGAGTGAAGTGCTGGGCGCAGAGGTCATCCGGCCGGCCCAGCAGGCCCTGCACCGGGATGAACTCCAGTGGCACCGCCTCAGGCCCCTTCTTTTTCAGATCCCGCTCGAACATCTGCAAGGACAGACAGGTGGACAGATGCTCTGGCACTGGGGAGTGCCCAGTGCCCCGGCCCCTCCCCCCACAACCCAGCCCTGAGCCCCACCTCATATGCCGTGAGCTCCAGGAGGGGCGCGATGCTGACCTCGGGCACAGACAGCGCCTGGTTGATGACGCTGGCGGCCTTGGACACCTCGGGGTGGTAATGCCGCTGCAGGGCCTGGGGGGCGTGTGGGCGTCAGCAACCCCCAGGGCTGCCCCACCCCATGACAGCCCGTGGGGGGACAGAACGGCCTCTCCAGGCAGAGGCCTGGGTTCTCCCAGGAAGACAGGGAACAGCGGGCGGGTGGCAGTTCCAGGGGGCAGGCCGGGCTGGTGCCTCACCTTCAGCTCCCACAGCGAGCTCTCCAGGGCTCGGCTTTTGGCCGGGTCCTCCTCGTCAGGGTCGTAGGGGTCGGTGTCCAGCTCTGCGGATGAGACCCAGACCTGTTCCACCACCTGCCCCCAACGCCCGCCCGGCGGGACAGCCCCCAGGGTCAGGGCACTCACCAGGGCCCTGGGGCCGGTGCACCAGGACGCGGCAGGCTGGGTGTCTGCGCAGCAGGTTGCAGATGAACGGCAGCACCAGGAGCAGGGCCTCGGGCGGCGCCGTCAGGGCCAGGCAGGCCAGGCGCTTGGCGAAGGCAGCCACCAGGTAGGCGGGCAGGTGGCTGGGCAGGAAGGTGGGCGTGAGACCCCCCCCACCCTGCACACCAGCCCCTCCCAGGCCTGTGCACAGCCCTGTGGGGCAGACTGCGGTCCGGGCAGGGCCAGGAGGTCCTGTGGCCGTGGGGGGAGGCCGGGAACCCTGTCCCCAACCCCCCGAACACTCACGAGGACGACAGAAAGAGGTCGGCCAGGTGGAAAAAGCGCGCCCGGTACTTGACGTGGAAGATGGATGGGTCCAAGAGGCCATAGAGCTTCCGGTAAAAGTCGGGGTACTCCCTGCAGGTGTAGGGTGAATGAGGGAAAGGCAGTGGGGGGACAGCCACGTGGGGGTGAGAGCACAGAGCAAGCAGGCAGCAGGGCCCCAGGGAACCTCAGCCCCTGCGCCCAGGGGCAGAGCAGGGGCCCAGCCAGGGGCAGGGAGAGGCCTGCACACCCCGGGGCTGACACTCACAGGTTGTGCTTGTGAATCAGGATAAAAAGTCCGTTCAACGCCAGGAGACTGATGGCGCCCCCTGCAGACAGACACCAGGCCATGCAGCCCCAGCTTCACCGGCACCCGACCAGGGACAGGGACAGGGACAGGTCCAGAAAAGCCGGACGCTAGGGGAGCCGCCTGCCCACAGGCCCGGTCGCCTCCATCCAGCCGAGGGCAGGGAAGGCGACTCAGGCAGGCCCGTGGTCAGGCCTCCAGGTCAGGGCGCCTCCGGGGCCCCCTGCTCACCGACGTCATAGGCGCGGGTGAGGAAGTCGATGAGGAGGCTGGGCTGGGCCAGGTGCGGCAGGATGGAGTCGTGCACGATCACCAGCACCCTCTTGTAGAGGCTGAGGGGCAGCTGTTGGGGTTGGGGCACAGGTCAGGGCGCACCCCACTCAGGCCAGGGGCCCGACCCGGGAGCCCGCTTCCTGCCAGGCCCTACCTTGTGCTTGAGGAAGCCGAGCCACATGGCCTGGAAGGCCCTCCTGTGCTCCTGTGGGGGTGGGGGTCTGGGCTGTAGCACTGCCCGCCAGGCCCCTCCCCATCCTTCCCGCCCCACCCTGCCTGCTTCCCACCGCCGCTGGGAGGTCGGAGCGCCCGGGACTGGAACTCAGGACGCTGCTGAGAGGAGGAGAGACACCCTGCCTCCTGCAAGCCTCCCCCAGAGCAGACAGGCGCTGCGCCCGCCACCCCTCAGCAAGGACACTGACTGGCCTTCTTCCCAACCCCTTTTGTCCCCACACACGCTGCCTGAACCTGGGGGGAGGCAATGCCCAGGACAGGACTCGCTCCCGGGGAGGCCACGGCTCCTCCACGCCGTCTCACCTTGAGGTGTGTGACCTTCCACTTGTCCGACAGCTCTGCAAGGAAGCCGGGAGGGAAGTGATGGGCAGCGGGGCTGCCAGGGTGCCAGGCCCCGGCGCCCCGCCTGCCCGCCCAGGACGCCCACCTGTGCGCTTCACATAGACGTTAGCGAGGCCGCTCTCCTGCAGAGGCAGGCTCACGGCAGACAGCAGCGTGAAAGCGTTGTTCCAGAAGGCGAGGGGCACCTGCAAGAGGCCTGGCCTGAGCACCAGGGCTCCGACATACCCCCCTTTCCTCCCCAGATGTGGGGCCCAGCCAGCTCACCTCTGGGTGCCCGCTGGCGACCCGGGCCACAGTGTCTGTGGCCGCCTGCATCACGTGGTAGCGGATGTCGTCATGCTCCAGGTACTCCCGGAACTGGGAGAGGAGCAGGGAGCGGTCCTCCTCCAGGGAGAGCAGGCCTTCCACCACTGCCTGGGCCAGGGCGGGCGGGCAGGTGAGCGCCTCTCCACTGTAGGACCGGCCAGCCCAGGGCCGAGCTCGCGCTGCAGCCCCACCAACACCGGACCACCCCAAGAAAGCCCCCAGCTGGCGGTCTGCTCCTCCCATGGGCTGGATGCAGCAGAGCGTGGCACCTGACGGCTGGCCATCCCAGCTTGGGGTCAGAGACATCTGTTGGGCCCTCAGAGACATCTGAGGCCCTGCACCCTCACCTTCAAGAGCTGGCGGGGGAACAGGTAGCTGCCCTCCCACTTGGGTTTCTCCAGGGGATGCGCACCTTCCAGCTGCACAAACTTCATGAGTGTGCTGAGGGCCAGCTCCTGGAAAGAGGGCAGCAGAGTGGCCGTGCTGTCCAACATGTCCACCCCCGCCCCCGGGGCAGACTGGCCCATAAAGCGCCCCTAGCGTTAGGCCCAGGTGCCTAACGCCATGAGGGAAGAGTTGGAGGCGGGCCACAGCCACCCGCACAAAACTGTCCAATGGAAAAAAGAGCGTCCTCATGCAGACAGGTGAGGGCCTGCAGCGCAGGACTCTGCTGTGTGGGGGAGCTCGGGGTTCAGGGAATGGACAAGACAGGGCATGGTCTGGGACCCCAAGACTCACCTTGACCTGAAATGAGGGGTGGGCCAGGAGCTCCGCTAGGCGGTTGCAGCAGCTCTGGTATCGGTGTCTCATCCACACCTTGTACTTCCGAGTGGCCCCCTGGGACCCTGCCAGTGGGGGGCGGTGGTCAGCCCACATTGGTGCCCACTGCTCAGCCCAACTAGGGAAATGACTGGAAACCTTGGCCCCAGATTTGGGGTGGGGCCAGCAGTTCCCCCAGCCAGGGAGAGCAGTGCCTACCTCAAGGGCAGGGACCCCATCCCCTCCCCTCACTTTTCCGGAAAACCAGAACGTCCCAAGACTCAGAAGGCATAACACCAGCTTCACTTAGTACTGACAATGAACATTAAACAAACTGCAAACGTGCACAGGATTCAAGCTTTGTTCAACGTTCACCAGCTGTGCCCTGCCCCTCTCCCATGCCCTCGTGCGCCCGGCAATTAGGTTTTGGGGGCTCATCCCGTGTTGACAAAGTTTCTCTCCAACCTTGCCAGAGAAGGGTCCCTGTGCCTACAAAGACGCTCACCTGCCATGACGGCCTCCTCTGGGGGCAGCTGGCCCACGAACAGCTCCCCCCGCTCCAGCAAGGCTCCGAAAAGGCGGCTGCACGCGCGCACCGCATCCTGAATCTCCTCCGGGTCCTCGGACTGCGAGGAGACGACGGCCGCTCCGTGTCCTGCCGGGAACTGTGGCCTCCCTGCGCCCCCACTCCAGCCCCACCTAACTCCAAACTTGACCCTGGCGTGACTCTCCACCCCGCCTCTGCCGAACCTCCCATCGAACCGTCCGCCCCCGGGACCCTGAGAGGCAAGAAAAAAACCCCAGTAAAATCCTAGATGCCGCCTTACAAACTGTCTATCTCCCACGTCTAGGCGCGGGTCCACCAAGCCCGCGCCCGGGGCCCTCATTCTAACCTAAGACCCCGCGCTCCCGCGCGCCTCACCTGCAGCACGGCCAGGATGTCGAACACGGCGTTGGCCTCGCCGCGGCTCGCCAGCACCGCCTCCAGCAGGTGGCCTAGTGCGCGGCGCGCCCCCCGCGGGCCCGTGTCCCGCTCCATGCCCTGCCCCACGCGCCAGACAGCCCGTCTCTGCGCCGCCTTCCGGCGCGGCCCTGACGTCACGGCCCCGCCTCGTCGTCATCGCTGCGCGCGGATCGCAGGGCCCGGGGCGGCCGGCATGGCGCTCTTCCACATCGCGCGGTACCCGGGGCCCGAGGCGGCGGGCGCGGAGGCCGAGGCAGACGGCCGGGCGCGCGCGCTGCTGGAGCGGCTTCAACGCCGGGCCCGCGAGCGGCAGCTGCAGCAGCAGCCGCGGCAGCAGGAGCCCGAGGAGGCCGCGCAGACCGAGGGCGCGCCGGGGAAGCGGCGGCGGCGGCGCCCGCGGAGGTGCAGGGGAGGTGGGACGCCGGGAAGCCCGCACGCGCCAGGGAGCAAGCGACGGAAAGCGGACGGCGAGGAGGCGGGTGCAGGTGGGCTCGGCGCGGCGGGGCGGGGCAAGGTGCGACCTGGGATCCGGGCCCGCGTGGGGCTGACGCGCCGCCCGTCCCGGTTTTCCCCGTAGAGAGCAGCGAGGAGGCTCCGGGGGAGAGCGGCGTGGACGCGGACGCCGAAGCACTGCCGAAGGCCCCAGGGGTACGGACCCCCAACGAAGCCACCGGGCCCCCCGCCCATCCCCTGCTGCTGGGCGGCTTCGGGAGGAGCAGGGCGCCGAAGGTGAGCGGCCCGGGGGCGGCCGAGGCTGGGCTGTTGTTAGTCCCGCAAGGCTCCATGGGGCAGTCGGAGAAGAACCGGCGCCTGTGGGCGTTCCCGAGGTGTGCAGTGAGCGGACACCTGCGCGGGTGAACGAGCCGCCCTTCGTGCGGGTACTTGTGTAAAAACAGAGTTCTTACTTTCAGTTCTAAAAGTGTTGTATATTTCTGTCAACGAAAAGAAGGTTTGAACCTTTGCAGATGTGAGAAGCGAGGTTTTAAACATTTGCCCATCTGTGGACGGGTTGGAGCGCGGAATTGCAAGCCGTCTTGAAGGGTTGCTCGGACTTTGGAGAGGGAGAGGTGCTCATACAGGCAGGAAGACGAGGGGGCGTGCAGCTGTGCCCCAGCGGTTTTTGAGTCAGGGCAAGGTCTGCCGCGCACCGGGCGCGTCAGGCACCCGAGGCAGGAGCTGTGGGAGCTGGCATTTCTGCGTTTTTGTCACGACGCGGCAGGAGCAGGCACCGCTGTCTACACTCGCGGACCTTTGGGGTTGGGCTGTTGGGAAGTGGAGGTGTCCAGCCCCAGGGAACTCACCAGGTCCCCTTGGTTGCTGACCAGGTTGCACAGCAGCTTCGACACCCTTTTCTTTCTCATTTCCTGCTTTTGGGCACAAGCCATTTGACAACCGTTCTGATCACCCGTGGGCCCTGAGGAAGTAGGCCGTTGGTCTCTCTCAGGGGAGAGCCTCAACCTGCAGAGAGGGCACATGAGTCGTAACATCCTCGAAACCTGGAGATGGGTGTTTGGTTAACATCCACTTTCTGTGCCTCAGATGGACCTCACGGAGGTGGGAAATGCCCCCCAGTGTCCCACGGAGAGGTTTTCCAGGGTTATATTGTGGGTGCAGAGAATGTCGGCGGCGCTGTTGTGACTGCTGTGCCGTTGTGACGACAGCGAGGGGAGGTTTCCAGGAATGCTGTTCGCTGCATGAAGTCATCTTCTTGGAGCCCCAGGCCCTAGCTTGTGCGCCCGTTGAAGCGGGGGCAGCTGAGCCCCTGCGGTGAGACCCACTTCCCGTCGTCTGGGTGCAGTGTCCCCTGTTGTCACCGTGTCGTCTCTCCTGCAGCAGTGTCAGGGCTACAGAGGGGAGCCGAGGACACTCTCAGGTCTGGGCAGTCTCTGCCTGCCAAGTGCTGCTGGGGCGGCAGCAGCCTCAGGCCCGCGAGCCCCTTCAGCTCCCTGGTGGCAGCTCCGGTGTCCCGGAGTTTCTGTCGTCAGTTGCTGTGTGGCCTCCGACGGCCCCGCAGCCTGTCTGCTGCCCTCTACGCACTGCCCGCCCAGGGAATGGGGAGAAGTCCCACTGCTTCCAAACCGTTCCACAGGCACGAGCTGCACTGAAGGCGCAGTGACCGAAAGTGTTAACATGGGCCGTTTGGTACCCTTGGGTTAGGGCACTGACTCGTCCCGCCGGGCGGGTCCTAGTTCAGGTAGGTAAGTTCCCTAGGACTGAGGAGACCCCTGGTTAGCAGAACGCCACCGTGGTCATCTGTCCTCGCGGTCTTGCAGGGTCTGCTCAGTGCAGTGTGGCCGCGGGTGTGAGGGGAAGACCCCAGGGGAGCGGCTGTGTGGGACGCGGGTGTGAGGGAGCCGGGGTGGCGGGAAGGCCAAGACACTAGGTGAGGGCTCGTTGGGCCTCCTGCCTGCAGCCTCTGCAGCCTGGTTTCTGTGGCCTTGCTCCCCAGTGCTGGGCAGGCTCTGGAGCAGCCACCTGGCCTCTGTCCCTCACCCTGTGCCACAGGTCCACCCTTTCCTGCCAGAGTGGCTAGCCGAGCCAAGCCGTGTCAGAAGGAATGTCACCGAAGACACGGTTCCCATTGAGGACATCCCTGAAGTCCACCCTGACCTGCAGAAGCAGCTGCAGGCGCATGGCATCTCATCCTACTTCCCAGGTGCCCCTGTGTGGAGAGCTGCCCGCCTGGAGGCCTCAGACTGGCCCGGGGCCCCGTGCTGGTGGGTGTCCCTGCACAGGCCTGACTGACGTCCCCTCTCCCCGAATCTAGTCCAGGCAGCGGTCATCCCCGCTCTCCTGGAGAGCGCAGCCAACGGGTTCCTGGTGGGAAGAGGTGGCTACCAGCCCAGGGACCTCTGTGTTTCTGCCCCGACGGGCAGTGGGAAGACACTGGCCTTCGTCATCCCCGTGGTACAGGTGAGTGAGGGCCCCGCCCTCCGAGTGGCTGGCGGGCGGGCAGCTGGCCCTGCCGACACCGGAGGCCCTCCTTCTCCCACAGGCCCTGCTGCGTCGAGCCGTGTGCCAGGTCCGTGCTCTGATTGTGTTGCCCACCAAGGAGCTGGCCCAGCAGGTGTGTGGAGCCCATGCCTGGGGGGGTCCCCCCATAGTCCCTGTCACTGGCACGGTTTCTCGGGTCAGGCCAGTGACACCTGTCCTCTCAGGTGAGCAGAGTGTTCAACGTCTACACAGACGCTACTCCTCTGCGCGTCGCCCTGGTCACGGGGCAGAAGTCCCTGGCCAAGGAGCAGGAGACCCTCGTCCGGAAGACGTAGGTTCTGCCCGGCTGTGCGCTCTGGGGGCTGGGCACGGGCCCTGCAGGCTCCCCACACGGAGGTCTGTGCAGGGCTCCTGCTGGGCTACTCTCTGCTCCACAGGGCCGATGGCTTCCGCTGCCTGGCTGACATTGTGGTGGCCACTCCTGGGCGCCTGGTGGACCACATCGACCAGACCCCCGGCTTCAGCCTCCAGCAACTACGCTTCCTGGTAGGTTGCCCACCCACCCAGGGGGAAGCCGAGCTCAGAGCCGACGCTGACCTCACCACCGGACCCTGGGCTGCCCGCCTCCTGCCTCCCGCAGGTCATAGACGAGGCTGATCGGATGATAGACAGCATGCACCAGTCATGGCTCCCACGGGTGGTGGCGGCTGCTTTCCCGAGGGAGGCTGCCAAGGACCCCTGTGCTCTGCTCCAGAGAAGGCAGCTCCAGGCCGTGACTGCTGCCAGGTACCTGGCCCCATCCCTGGCCCCGCTCTGCCCCGGGCAGAGTGCCAGGTCGGTCCAGCCGGTCAGAGGGGCGGCTGGCCAGGCTGCAGCTGCCCACTCAGTGCCTGCTGCCTTTCAGCACCTGCTGCCCCCAGATGCCCCTGCAGAAGCTGCTCTTCTCGGCCACCCTGACCCAGAACCCCGAGAAGCTGCAGCAGCTTGGCCTGTACCAGCCCCGGCTCTTCTCCGCTCAGCCAGCTCGTGGGGGCTGCGGAGATGGGGCCTCGGACGTGGACTCAGGCGGGAAGTACACCTTCCCCTCGGGGCTGTCGGTGAGCTGGGCGTGTGGGCTGGGGAGGGGCCCGGGCTCCTGGGGCTGGGCTGACCCTGCTCTGTCCCCACAGCATCACTACGTGCCCTGTAGCCTGCACTCCAAGCCGCTGGTCATCCTGCACCTGACCCTGCACCTGGGCTTCTCCAGGGTCCTGTGCTTCACCAACTCCCGGGAGAACGCCCACAGGTGAGACTGGGCAGGCCGGTGCGGGCGGGGGTGAGGGGCAGGCGGGCCCCGGCCCCGACCCACCCGGCTGTTCCCTTGCAGGCTCTTCCTGCTAGTCCAGGCTTTCGGGGGTGTGGCGGTGGCTGAATTCTCTTCCCGCTACGGCCCTGGCTGGAGGAAGACGATCTTGAAGCAGTTTGAACAGGGAAAGATCCAGCTGTGAGTGCCCGGGGAGGGTGCTGGCTCCAGGTGGCTGCCTGGCCCCGCCGGGCACTTGCAGCAGATTTGCCGCCTCATCCCATGCAAGCGTCCCCAGTGGGGTGGGAGCAGGGGGCATCTCAGCTCCTGCCCTCAGGCTGGTCCCACAGCCCCTCGTATCCCGACAGCCTCATCAGCACAGACGCCACCGCCCGCGGCATCGACGTACAAGGTGTGCAGCTGGTGGTCAACTACGACGCCCCCCAGTACCTGCGGACCTACGTGCACCGGTGGGTGCTGCGCTGTGGTTTGGTGGGCGGGGCTGGCGTGGGGGGTGGGGGGGAACTGGCTGTTCTGTTGGGCCCTCCCAGGGCAGCAGGGGCCGCTCTGGAGGTGTCCGTTTGGTTGCAGGGTTGGGAGGACGGCCCGTGCTGGGAGAACCGGACAGGCCTTCACGTTGCTTCTCAAAGTGCAGGTCAGGCGAGTGGACCTCGTAGGAGGTGGGGGTGGGCGGCGATGGGAGCCCCTTCCCACTGGGCACACCCCCTCCAGGAGCGGAAGTTCCTCCGGATGCTGACAGAAGCAGGGGTCCCCGAGCTGCAGCAGCACGACACCCCCGCCGAGCTCCTACAGCCCCTGGTGCCGCGGTACGAGGAGGCTCTGGCCCAGCTGGAGGCGGCTGTCAAGGTGAGCAGCTTGTGATGGTTCTAGGGGACATCACAAGAACCATCTGGAGGTTGCTCCCATCTGGACAACAGGTGGACAGTGGGGAGATAAGGTCCCGGTTTGCCCTTGAACTTCTGGCTGGAGGTTGGGAGATCCTGAGCTCGGCACCAGAGCTGTGCCTTCTGAGTGAGCACTGGGTACCTCTCCCTCTTCGAGGCGGTGGCGGGGGGCCGGGCTGGGCTGCAGACTAGTGAGGGGAGACTGCAGCTGAGCCCCTCGTCTCCTCCCGCAGGAAGAACAGAGGCAGAAGGCGGCCTAGGTCAGGGCTCCAGGGGCGGGCAGGACCTTCCACGGCAGCAAGGTGCGTGCGCCCTCCCGGAAGAGGCCCCGGGACATGAGGAGCCCTCGTCAGTGCCCGGGCCTGGCCTCCGGGACCGTCAAGGGCGCACAAGGCCAACCTCTGATTGGGCGCTTTTCCTGGAAACAGCTTCAGTCGAATTGTTCACACTCCCCGAGAACTGACAGGACGGTGGCTGCTGTGTTTTTGGCTGAGGGCGGGGATTTAGCTTTTCCGAAGATGTCGGTGTGCCTGTTCTGCCCCCGGGAGGGTGGCCCTTCCGGCCTCGGCACCACGGACCGGGAGGCGTCTCCACCGTCACAGGTGTCATGGTCAGCGGTGCTTCGCTTCACCCTGGTCCTGCCCTGGCCCGTGTGGCTCAGCGGGTGGGCGCGCAGTCCCTGGTGCGGGTGTGTGTGTGTGGGGGCGGGGCAGCCAGTCGATGTTTCCCTCCCTTTCTTTCACTTCCTCCCTCTCCAAAAGCAATGGAAAAAACGTCCTTGGGTGTGGAGAAGGCCGGCCGGCCCTACGGCCAGGCCCGAGCCCCTGCAGCTGGGGGGCTGCAGACAGGCCTTGGCAGCACTCACCCACTGTCCGGGAGAGGGCTTCCCCCCAGCACTTACTGTAACCAAAAAATGGGAGCAAACTGGGTTTTTCTCTGTCTACATCACTCGAGCTGAGTGACGGTCTGCTCACAGATTCTGGGGCTTCTGGTTGGCCAGGCAGAGGTGCTGGTGGGACAGACGCCAGCACTCGGGCAAAACAGGCCTTTCTGCTGGGGCTGCACAGTGCGCTGGCACCCGAGTCCTGCGGGGCATGGGAGCCGGAAGAGAGGCCTCTGTGTGTGGCCCCTGGCCGGGCCTGTTGGCCTGGCCGGGGACCCTGCTGGCACCTGTCCCTGGGATGCACTGTGCTTCTGCAGAACTTGCCCTGCTCACCACACGCCACCTCCCTTGGCTGGGCTGGGCGGGACCTTGAACCTGACAGTGGGGCCATGTCTGGACTCTGGGCTGGGGGCTGGAGCCTGTCCCTGGCCCAGTGTCTGTAGGGAGGTGGCCACAGCCTGCAGCTGCGTTCCTCTCTACAGGGCCAGAGGGCAAGCTGTCAACACTGTCCCTCATGTAGTCTGCCCAGCGTCAGCCCCCTCGTCACTCAGGGTGACAGCCAGCCTGCCTGCCAGGACCACGCCCGTGGCGTCACTGTACTCACGCTTCTGAAGTGTCTCGTCATCTGTCCGGCCCACAGTTCCAGGGCCCAGATGGCAAGCTGCCACGGAGGGTGTCCCCAGTAAACAGCTGAATACACCGGTAATTTATCCATCTGTCTCAGTAGCTCTGATTTTCTTTAAAAGAGCCAAGTGTTGATCTTTTCAAGGATCTGCCGCTTGATAAAGCTGGTATGGATGGAACGTGCTTCAGTGCACACAGAACAGAGATGACACCGAACGGCGGTGCCCCAGGGAGGTCACACAAACCCCACTGTCTGGCACCTGGTGCCGCTGAGGAACCAGAACATTGTGCCGGTGAGAAGGGAGAAGCCAGCACACACTTTGCCATGTGGCCAAGCAGAGAGCTAGTTTGCAAGGGGGGACAGTGACGGCTGTCCCGTGTGCTGGGAGCTAGAGCACACCCGGGAGCGACACAGGATCAGGCGAGGAAGCGGGCCCTGCCCACAAACACGCTTCCTGAGGGGCTGGGAGGCCACAGACGGGCGACCTCTAGCGCCTTGTTGTAAGAGACGGTGCAGGTGGCAAGCTGCTCCAACAATCACAAGGTTACACCAAACGTAAGGAAGCACCCCCTTTACCAAGGGCACCCCACCTCCCCGTGGGCAGCCACTGTTCCCACGGCTCCGCATACGCACGCACACCTACGAGCAGCTCTGCCCGGCAGTGCCCCACACCCGAGGCCTCCCCACTCCAGGCCACAACCTGCTCTTGGTGGCTGCACTTGACTCCGTGGGACACATGCCACACACCCAGCCTCGGGAAGGTCAGCTGGCTTTGGGTGTGAGTGATGCGGGCCGAAGGCAGGGCAGACCTGCTGCCCAGAATGGGTGGCAGAGGAGTCCCCTCTTCTCTCCCAAAGTCCTTTGAGCCACAGCCTGTCTGGACACCTGACAGGAGGTTCGAGTCCAGGGAGGCCGACATGAGGCCCCTAGGTAGCTGTGGTTGGCGGCCCGTGGGGTATACCAACGGGTTCACCTGAACTTGGATAGGGGCCAAGAGACTCACAGGGTTGGAGGTGCGACCCACTGTGCCAGACAGCGGAGTCCCGTCACCTGGGTGCCCACACCCCGGAGACGTTCATGCACCAGGGAAGGCCTGCCCCAGGCCCCCCCACACACGGCTGGCAGGCTGAGGCCGCAGGGCCGCCTGCTCCGCTGTGACCCCAAGAGCAGGACAGACCGCTGGGTGCAGGTGCCAGGGGGTGGGAGCAAGGCACTGCGGGTGCTGTTGCTGGCCCTCGCACATGGCCAGGCAGGCGTAAAAAGGAAGGTGGAGAAGAGCAGGGCCCGCTGGCTGCCAGGTTGGAGGTGCTGGGTATCCAGACACGAGGCTACCAGAGGCGGACCTGGCCCTCCAGGGGACCCACGGCTGGGGGTGGCAGGCCAAGAAGGGGCTGGGCAGCAGCGGGGGCGGCACCTGAATGCCCCGGTCCTTCCTCTGCACGTGGCTCTGGAACTCTGGGGCCCGGTGGGCGTGGTCTCTGCAGAAGTGAAGGGTGACTCTCCTCCGCCAGTCTGCAGGTGCACCCCATTCCTCTGGGGGGTGGGGCGGTGCCGGAGAAGTAAACCTCCGCCTCCAAAGCCACACAATGAAATAAGCACAACTAGCATCTTCTTTAACTAGTGTTCTATGAAAAACAAAACGAAGGAAACATATAAAAAGGTCGTTTATTATGCCTCTTCTGTGGTGGGATATCAGTGCCCTTTGAAACCCTACTGTTCAAGTACAAATGATTATATTTACAAAGTATTTACAATTTCAGTCTTCGTTTTTATTATCTTAAAACACGACAGCTACCTGGTTACAACAGTTAAACAAGAAATCGAGACGCGAGAGGGGCGCCTCCGCAGGCGCCACGTCTGCGCGTGTGTGGACCCGCCCCCTGCGTCCCGGAGGCGCGCGCCCCTCACGGGAGGGCGGTGCGAGCCGGACCAGCCCTGCTGCTCTGTGCTCAGAAGGCCTCTCCCCAGCAGCACAGGCAGCGCGGGTCCCAGCAGCGGCCCTCTCCCGAACTCACACCCTCCTCTGCGTGGAAAGCCTGACCTCGGAAGCAACGTTCCGGAAGGAGGGTTCTACCTGAGCGACTGCAGGTCAGTGGCAACGTGCAGACGTCACTGAGCCCAGCGATCCAAGGAAACTCCTTCCTGTTCCATACTTTGCATCGCGAGGATGAGGGAGGAAACACCCCGCCCCCCGTGGTGAGGGGGCTGCAGCTGCACACAGCCCGTCTCCAGGAAGCCTGGGGAGGTTCCCGCCCCTGCGAGGCTCAGCGTTCACCGGAACGCCCACCACGGCCGCTGTGTCGAGGGTGGTCTAAGTAAGCGCATCAGCATCTCATCGCCCGAAGAGGGGCTTCCAAGGCCCCGTGAAGGACACGAGGGATGCACACAGGCGTGCGGTGAAGTGTGCTCACAGGACGGCCCCGCGTGGCAGCTGTGCACACAGGATGAAGGGCAGGGGGTCCCCGGGTACGGGGGTGGGGGGCTTCCAGGCTGCACCGAACCAGAACTGAAAGGCCAGGTGAGCAGCTCTGTTTCTGTACGTTCAGTTAACTAAGATGCTGAATCCCCTCTGTCTCTTCAACGACTGACTCTCACTTTTCTCCACATTTCTCACCAAGAACTCACAGATGAAGTGCCCACCGGCTCCACGGGACTTGTGTGTCACTCACTGCCCACGTCGCCGAACGAGGAAAAGCACAGATGAAAACGCCCTCGGGACGCTGACTCCCCCTCAGCACACAGACTGCTCGGTGGCCGGGCCCCGGTGCCGGTGGAGCCCGCTGCCATAGCATATGCACCGCACCACGGTGGAAAAAGCAAGACGGCACAGACACAGGGCCTCCTCCTGGCCTCCCCACCACGGCCCCCGTGACTCGGCAGTCTACACAGACTCACGAGGGTGCGCGTCTGCTCCTGGACGCGACTCTGAGCAGCAGTCGGGGTCTCGGTGCACGAGCAAGAGCGGGCCCCGGGCAGGCCCCCTGCCGGGGCAGGCGGCTCAGCTCTGTGAGCAGCCCAGGGGGCAGCACACCCGCAGCAGCCCGGGCCTCTGGGCCCTGACCGCTCCAGACAGGAGCCCTCAAACCTGCAGGAGCTGCTTCCAGGCACCAAGTCCAAGTGCAAGCTTGACTCCAAAGCTGGGAGGTGTTGCAGGTATGCTGGATGGGAGCAGCCCACAAGGGCCCGGCAACCTGGGGACCGGCCAGACTGGCTGCTCTTTGGACGGAAGCTCAATCACCGTGCTCTTCCTGCTCGCAGGCCAGAGCCGCGTCACCAGTGTGCTTCTGCAGGCGTCAGCGCCAAGTGGTCCTTTCAAAGCCCTGACAAGTCACATTTCAGAGAACAGGAAGAGGCCAGGCTGGCTCTCTCAAACCTGAGATGACAGGCCCCAGATGACCCCTTTCCTTGCAGGACCGTGGTGGGCATCAGTTGGGCATCAAGAACCGAGTAGAGGTGGATGCTCTCAAAACATCTTAGCTGCAGGAAGTCACTGTAATTCACTGCACGTTCCACGTGGCCCCGTGACCTGCAAACCACAGGCACCGACAGCCTCCAAAGGCCCCCACACCCAGCCCTGCTGCTCTGGGGAGCGGCCAGAGGGGAGTGACTGGGCCAAGACCGCCACCGTCGTGTTTCCAACAGGTCTCCTGCAGAAGAGGTGGCAGTCCACGAGGGCCACCACGGGCAGCGAGGATCCCGCAACCTCGCCGCAGCTGTGCAGGCGCTGAACCTCTCGCGTGACACTGCCCGCGGTTCAGCAGGAAGTACAGCCTGCTGGCTCTGGCTGGGGGTGGGGCGCTTGGCGGCCCGCCCCGAGGCTGCTGCTTTCCTGGCTAGGGGCACGGAGGCTTGGTGGGTGTCTTTAACCGGACAGCAGGGACTCTCATCTGCAGTTTGGGCTGCTGGTTTGGGCTCTCGGCGCTGGCTGGCACCTGTGTGGGGTTGGGGACCCCAGGGGCCTGCAGCTGGGCTGCCGCTGTCGTCACCACTTGCTGCTGCATGAGTTTCTGCTGCACCACCTGCGCGGTCGCGGTCACCGCAGGGATCATCTGCACCTGCTGCCCGGTGGCTGTCGCCTGGGTGAGGGTCACAGTCTGTGGGGACGCCTGAGCCAAAACAGAAAACACACATCGCCTAGAACACACAGGTCCCGTGACAGGACAGGCAACACTCCTGGGGGTGAGCAGGGGGCTTCAGAAACCTCACTGGCACGGATTCTTTTGTGAAATGTGAAAACTGCTGGACGTATCGAAATACGCCCTCCGGATTCTACTCAGACTAGAGGAGGAAACAACATGGTTGTTGCTTTCAGGCTAAAACTGCAGGCCTCCGGGAAGGAGGCGAGAGCTGGGGCCTGGGGGCCGGCGGTGGGGGGCTGCTGCGGCTGCCCCTTGAACAACGCAGGCCTGAGCCTGTGCGTGGGCTCCGAGAGCCGGTGGGCCCGTGCGGCTCGAACCCACGCTGTTCGAGGGTCGACAGCCACGGGCTGGGAATGCATGTATGTGGAGGGCGAACGTCAGCTGCACGCAGACTTCCAACTGCTCGGGGGCGGGCACCCCACACGCTACGCTGTTCAAGGGTCGGCTGCTTCTGGTTTCCTGAAACCCACTGCCGGTGTGACTCTGAAAACAGACTCGTGTGAGGCGCTGCTCTCTGCGGCCCCCGGAGCGGCGGTAGGCCTGTCGGGACGTGCGTCCTGGCTGCCTCTGCTGCTCACACTCCCGGCCGCACTTCGGCCCACAGGGCAGCCCGACACAACCGCGGAAGCTCCGGCCCCGGCAATGCGCCCCCTTGGTCCACAGGGTGTGGCGTGCACTCACATTCTTCTATATGTGAAAATCTAAAGTGACTCTCCAGTGACCGACAGTCTACGTCCTCCGGAAGGAAACCAGGACCCTCAGCCTGGCCACAGGAAGGCCCCCAAGACGCCCACGTGCGGGCCTCCCAGCGGCTGCCTGCCTGCACCTACCTGCTGGGAAGCAGAGGCGACCTGCGGGATGCCAGCCACAGGTGTCTGCTGCTGCACCACCGGAGAGAGTTTGGCCACCTTCGACAAAACAGAGAAAGCCAAATGCAGGGTTCAGAAGAACACGGGCACAGAGGGAGACTCTCCCTCCTCGTTCTCCTCCTCAGTTCTCGATGCAGAAACGCGGTGGCCAGAGGGCGGAAAAGAGACCTTCTCCGGCATCTCCCCAGGCGGCGGAGGGAGCCTTCACGCCCTGCGGTCACGTGTGATGGGACACTTATTTTTGGTCTCAGACTTTACAAAGCCAAAGGTTTTCTTTTACTAAACACTGCTCCAAGTTTACATGAGAAAATTAAACCGAGGATGGAATAAAATGTTTTAGCATTTCTGAGATCTCAAGAGAGCCTCTTCTTTAAGACTAGGTGACGTAGCAGGAGGGCGCCCCCCAGGGAAGAGATTCTGCTCTGGCCCAGAGATGCGTCGGAATTGTGAAGTGGTCGTCTGGACCACTTTCCTTAACCATGACTGAGCCCTGCCTCCTACTTACAGAACAAAGCTTCTCACCGTCTGTGTGCGGCCAGGGCCGCGGGGGTGCTGACTGAAGAGGCCAAATGGCACCCAGAGGGCCAGTTGCAGGTCCTGACCCCCCCCCCCCAGGGTACTAACTTGTGGAACAGGGATGAAGACAAGTCTGCCCAAGACAATTCTGGAGAAAATGTGAAATTATGTGACATATTCGTCAAAGTTCCAAGTAAACGTTAGTCCCCGTGATAAAAACTGAGTCAGAAGGCATTTGCTGGTGCGTCGGAACTTGACACACGAGACCGTCACCAGCACTCGCGGAGATGGGAGGAGCCCGGATCAGGCCTCCGCTGGGTTGGGGGCTGGCGCAGCGGGCCAGTGCGGGGCTGGGACTGAGATGCTGCGGACAGGACGGAGGTGGCGCCCGCACACACCGACAGGCTTGCGGAGGAAGGAAGGCCCGGTGCCGGGACCCGGGTGAAGCTGGGACCCTGCGTGGGGAGCAGCGGCTGCGGCCTTGGGCACACAGTCTGGGGGGCCTTGTGCTGCTGCCCCCGCTCCCCCACTGGGGGCTGACGAGAGGCCACGTCCAGACGTACTCTCAGGGGGGCCGCATGCCACCCCCTGGCAGCTGTGATCCCGTCACCCACAGGGGTGTGAGAGGAAATCACCTCTTAGGGCTTGGTGCTGGGGACAGGAGACACAGGCTTAGAGGCCAAATCATTGTCACCTGAGAGAGCAAATCCACAAGCCACAGCTGGTGTGGTCCCGACGGTAACTACAGGAGCCCAGGCCACAAAGCACCCCGCAGACAGGACTCCGAGGAAAGCTGGCTCACAAGAGAACGGTCACCGTAAAGACAAACCCAGCCGCTGCAGTGAGAAGCGCAGGAGACCAACAGGAGACCGGCGGGACCGGATGCACCAGGACTCTCAGGAGAGAGAGGGCCGGACACCAAGCTGAGCGCCCCGTCTGTGCAGCCTGAGGTACGAATGCCGAGCACCAGCAGCACATCAGGGCTTACAGGGGTGAAAACCACACATCAACCAAAATACAAATCTGACTGCGCGGCTTCGCAGCAGACCAGGCCTGGCCAGGGAGAAGTCGGTGACCTGATGGTGGACCTGAGGCCCCTCCCCAGGATGCCGCTGAGCGAGGCGAACAGGAAGCGGGAAGCACGAGGGCGGCTGGAGGGCAGCACAACGGGCAGAGCCAGCACCTGGAAGTGCAGTGGCCGACTGCTCCCTAAACCAGCAAGTGAAGTCAGTGCCCGGGATCCAGAAGGTCGACAACCCCCAGCGATGCTGTTGCAGAACCCTGAAGGTTTTCGAGAGGAACAGGTTTAACGATCACCTTCAAAGCCCCTGGGCCCTGGACGGGCATGTGACTGTCCATCAACGACGACGGAACCAGGAACTCAAATTATGGTACCGAGGACAGACGCTGATCAGCAAAGCCATGCCCAGCAAAAATACCTTCCAGGACGAAGAGTAAAAGGCAGGTATTTCAAACACTCCTGGAAGCTCCAGAGGGTGCGCTCCGAGCAGAATGCACGGGCCTCACTCGAGGAGGCGGAGGGAGGGGACCCGACACAGGAGAGGAGGCGGTCTGCCCCAGGCAGCAACCGACAAACAGAAAGAGGACAGCTAACTGTCCAACTGGCAGAGGACGGACAATGGGAAGTAAATACATGAAGGGCGTGAGAGAAGGCAAAAAAGAACGGAGAGGGAAACAAAACCGAGACCCCAGACCACAAGGAAGGTAAGCCTACCTACACCTGTGCCCCCGTGAAGGGGAGTGAGTACGTTTCAGACCAAACTGGAGACTGAGTGGCAGCAGACTGGTGGTGGCGGCGTCACCACGATGACTTCCGGGGGCTGTGCAAAGCAGACCCAGCACAGAAGTCTGGGGCAGGGGACACCAGGGGCCCCACCAGAGAGGGGGAGGTCTCCACACGGGGCAGAGCGGGCGTCGGGACCCAGGGGCACTGGTGTGGACGGGGCCTCTGCGGAGCAGGGACGCTGCGGGTCCAGGGGCAGCCGACGGTGCGTGACAGCCCTGACCGGAGGGCCCACACGCCCCTCCCAGGGACTGAGAGCGCCGAAGCCACAGCAACGGGGACTGGGCCTAGACACGTGTGCCCCAGCACCGCTGCGAAGCGGGTCCCGGCAACCCCGCCCACAGCACGGCTGACGGGCGGGGTCCGGGGGGCAACATGGAGGGATGGAACGTGCCCGTGGGCTCAGCCCAGGGGAGGCCAAAGGCCAGCAGAACAGCACCGCTGTTCCGGAGCCGGAGGAGAGTTCAGGTGTGCACAGGTGAGGCTGAGGTGCGCGTGAGGGTCTGGGTGACCTGTCCCAAGGCAGCTAGGGTCAAGAATCTGGAATGGGGACAGCAATCGGCTGCAGGTCGGACTCTGGAGTCGCCGCACTGAGACGGACGGAGGCCTCCGCACTGGGGAGCTCACAGGGGACCGAGTGCAGGCAGATGGTGAGACACAGGCCAAACCCCACACCACAGGGCACACACACTTCTGGTGACCAAAGAGGGAATCTTCCCACCCTAACGAAGGGCGATTTAGAAAATGATCACAGTAGCAGTGACGTGGCTGAGCTCCTTCGGTCTGCGCACCTCAGATGCGGCCCTGCGACCTCCCCAGCACGATGCGGCCATGAGAAGGGGAAGCAGGGGAGAAGAGGCCGTGGCCACCTGCCCGGTGGCCAAGCCGCAGGGCCCGCCCACCTTCACTGCCGTGGTCCTGGGCGCCGGCGGGGTCTGCCGTCCGGCCCTCATGCGGGTCCACACTCACCTGGATCTGGGTCTGCACCTGCTGGGTCCCGGCCAGCTTCTGAGCCTGGGAGAGGGGTGGGGCGAGGAACTGGGCTTTAAGGGTGGACTGGGTGGCGTAGGTGACCTTCTGGGGCTGGCCCTGGGCGGCAATCTGCTGCGCAGCAATCTGCAGAGAGAGACCACCCAGGGTCAGAGCCACCAGGCCCTGCTCCACGGGCTCCGACACTCCCCCCACCTGCAGTGTGACCACCCTGTGCAGCCTGCTCTCTGCCCCGTCCCCACAGCATCCCACTGGTGTGTCCAGCCCCTGCGTCACCAGCTTCCTCTCCTGAAGTCCCCACACATTCGGGGATGGGATCCATCCTTACACGCCCATCATGTGAGTGAACCTGACCACAGTGTAGGAAACACACACGTGCAATTTCTCAGACCTGACTCTGAGCACTGGGCATACACACTCAAGACCAGCACAAGGAGGGGCCAACCACTGTGTGTGATCCCCCCACACCCACTCTGGCCTCCAGTCTCTCTACAGGGAACCTCTGCCTGCCCTTGAGGGCCGAGCACCAGTGGGCCACTCGCCCGGCGCACAGAGCCATGGCCACGCACAGGCGCCTCAGGGACTCTCGTTCAGCTGGCGCTGACACGCGACCTGCACTCTGGCCCCAGCCTGTTTCTCTTTGGGACATAAGCTCAGTGGACGCGATCACTCAGGCCCCGCCTGCCGGCCTCTCTGTCCTGGTGTCACCCGGTGCCAGCCAACCACCCTGCACCTGCTCCCAGGAGGCTGACCCACGGGGCTGCTGACGAGGACGGGAGGGGACCAAGAGGAGTTCCCTTCTTTGAACCGCCCACCACAGCGGAGAAGGCCCCTCCCGGAGGAGGACGCCAGCACAGTGCCCGCACAGCACATGCCCGCGTGCCAGCCTGCTGCGAAGGACGTCGTGTGGGGACCAGAATCAGTTCAGAGCTGCCCCCTCTCAGAGTCTGAGCCCCCGGGACACGGAGAGTCCTCCTTCACGTCATACACACAGGACGGGTGCCCACCCACCAGTCCGCCTTGTGCTCTGGCAGCCCAGGTGGCCGCAAACTTCGAGCTGCACCTGCTTCCCCAAACCTCTGGCCCCTCGCCAGCCCCACTGTTCCCCACGAGCCCTCCACGAATGCAGCTCCCTACCCCACAATGCCCTCCCTCCGGGCCTGGGAACAGCACCCACCCCCAGGCCCCAGCAGGACCCATTCAGAGCCCTCTCGTCCTCAGTACGCCCGGGGCCTGGTCAGGGCCTGACTCGGCATAAGGACAGGGCACCCAAGACCCTTGCCCCTGCAGGAACCCAGTACCTTCTGCTGGACGGCGGCTGGGCCCGGGCTGGCCTGCGGCTGGATGGCCTTCTGCTGCTGCGCAGCCTGCTGTTTCAGCTTCAGCAGCTGCTGCACATGCACGGGCTGGGCCACAACGGTCTGTCCTGCCGACACCGTCAGGGGGGCAAGTCACATGCCAAGTCTCACAGCTGGTCCCCGCCCGTCCCCAAGTCATGGGGTAGTTCAGACTGACTGCCCTCTACAGGAAACGGCACCCCGAGACTGGCTGAGACACAAAGCCATCTCTCTCTCACACGCACGAGGTCCCTGGGCCCACCAGGACATACGGGTGCAACAGCGATAGTCAGCCGTGCCCACCCCATGGCACACCCGCTAATCGCTGAGAGTCCGTAGCACACCAAAAGTGTATTTTCTGCCAACCTGGCGGGAGACCGGTAAAACTTTGATTCGTTTACACTGGATGGCTATTGTGGTGGCTGTTGTCTTTTTACGCAACCGCCTGAGGGAGAAGAGGTCAGCGCCCCTGACTGACTGACAGTGGGGTGGTGCAGGTTCTGACGGCTTGGCAGTGCACCGGTTGGACACCGGGAGGTAAAGGGACGGGAAGCACCGCGTGTTAGTGGTTAAACTGAGGGGCCAAACCCGTGCCAGGGGGCCTGGGGGACCCTCTGCTGACGTGCACTGTGGTGCTCTCAAAACAGGCCGGTCAGCCCCGGCAGGCTCCAACGGGCGTGAACAGGCACCTGCGGCTTTCTGAGGCTGTCCGATGGCCACGCTGATCCCAGCAACGTTCATGGGCAAGGTCGTGACGCCTGGCGAGGAGACCACAGCTGCGGGCACTGACACCACCGGAGGCTTCGCCAGGGCTACCTGCGCCGGTGGGGGTGCCTGAGCCTGCATCTGGCCTTGCGTCTGCAGCTGCGACGTGGGGACACGTGTCTAACACAGAAGAAAGAAAGGGGTCGGGGACTCAGCCGCGAGTCTGCAAACATCTCCCCACACGTTGCCCAGCGGTGAGACGTGGCCAGGGCTCCCGAGGGTGGGAAGTGGTGGTCAGCCTCAATGGAGGCTGCCCTACGCTGCTCAGCCTGTCACCCCCAAAGGCAGGGGACGGGGTCTGACAAGACCTGCAAGCTAACTGGTCACACAGCGCTCACACCGCCTGCACAGTCGGTGCTTTGGGAAAGCAGACCCGGGGGACTTACGAGCCGGGCCACCTGCAGGTTGGCCACGGTGGTGCCTGTGAGCAGTGCTCCGGGCCTGGAGGCCGTGACGGTGGTGAGCTGGGGGCTCTGCTGCTGTGCGGGTGGTGAGGGCTGCACCTGTGTGGGGGGCGGCGGGGGGCCCGGCGGGGCCTGTGGCGGGGGGGCCTGCGGGGGCAGCTGCAATTTCTGCTTCTGCATTTTGATCAGGTGTTCCTAAAACCCAGAAAGAGCAGGTCTTCGTCAGTGTTAACTGCACCCACACTGTCTTGGTTTTCCGTTCGCATCTGACCAAAGAGACTGGCTGCTGATGCGCAGGGTGCAAACTGCCCCACGAAGCCTCTCCCCGGGTTTTAAACACTCCATGTCAAAAGTCAGCACGTCACGGGGAGAGCCAGAAACAGTGGTGCTGACCCCTGAATGAATTCACAGCAGAATGTCCAGGCTGTTACCACTCACAAACAAGTTGATTCAAATCTGCTGCACCACCAAAGTTTTTAGGGCTTAAAACTGCGGCCCCTCCTTAGACTCTGAAACGTTAAGATGTGCACTAATTCTCACTCGCTCACTTAGCCCCACCATCTGCAAATAAAGATTTCACTAGTAAACTTCATGTCTTTAAGTCAAAATGCTAAAATACCACAATAGCTCAAAATGTATTTTTAAGGAAAAAAAAACCTTTAAAAAGGACGCTCAGTGAGTTGTTCGTGACTCTCCCTGAGAATGAATGGAGTGACCTGGGCGGAGGAGGAGGGAGGCAGCGGCCGGGAGGGGCAGGCTCGGGGCAGCTGTGCAGGGTGAGGCACGGCACCCGCTGTGGGTGTGGGAGGTGCAGGACGGCCAGAGCAGGGCCACCTGGGGGAGCCCCAGCCCCACTGACAGCCTCTGTGGGCCCGCCACTCCCCTGGCAGCATGGGGCAGAGCTCCCCGCAGGGATGGCTTGCTCAGGAGCTGAGCTGTCTGTGCTAAAACCATGGCCACCTGTGGCCACTGATCCCCGCAGCCACTGAGCCCTGCGACTGTGGCTGGAGTGACTCAGGAAGTGAATGTTCTGCTGGGCTGTTTCACCTCCCTGGTGTGTGCTCCGGTGCCTCGAGGAAGCCTCGGTGCCTGCCTGTCTACTCTGAGCTGGGGGGATGGGCCGTCAGTTGGCTGGAATTTTTACTGCGCCTCCTCCGGTCACTTCCTGTGCCCAGTGTTGGTGCTTCTCCGTGGACAGCAGGAACACGGTGTTCCCTCCACGAGTGTGTCTGCACGCACGTCAGCACAGGTGTGCAGACAGCAAACCCAGAACACCGAGCTCACACGACGCCCGTGAGCAGCAATGCTGCCTGGGAACCAGCCCTGAGTTACACGTCCTCACTGCCCCAGCCCCCAGCCTGGGGAACACACTTCCCGGCGTGTCCTCTGGGTGGGACTGGGACCCAGGGAAAGCAGGAGGGAAGATGGCTGGGGACTGGGGCGGAGGCCTCCAGAGTGCTCAACCACGTCGGCGAATGTTTTTAAAGACAACACCAACACACTGGTCTCCGGCGGCATCTGCAGGACAGGCCTTGAGGGACGTGACACACGCACGGCAGTGTCCAGACAGAGCGCTGCCTGTGGTCTCCCGGGGGTGCTCACCGGCGTCAGCTTGCTGACGGCTTTGACCTGTGCGGGCGACTGGGCCTGGCCCTGGAGCTGTGGGACCTGTGCCTGGGAGGGCGGCGGGGGCGGCGGCTGCTGCTGCTGCCGGAGGAGCTGGAAGTGCGCAGGCGTGAGGGTCTTCCCTGGGAGCTGAACCCCTGTGGCTGTGGAAGTGGTTCTGTTAGGGGGCACGTGGACACCAGTCTTCTCCCCCACGACCACCCGAGGCTGACTGAGTCCTGCCTTCCAGGGCAGGGTGGACCCCAGGAAACCGAGCCATACTTGCCTTGGGACACCTGGGTCACCAAAGACCGGGTCGGCGTCTGCGCTGCAGTCAGGCTGGTGGTGACCACGGCCGAGGCCGTCACGGAGGTGACGGCTCTAACGCCCTGTGTTGGTGCCAGGGACACCAGGTCAGAAGTGGCCGGGGAGCCAACTGCTCGAGGCTGGGTGTGGACCACTTGGGCAGGTGCCGAGCCTCCGGAGGTCTGGAAAGGCAAGGCGAGGGCCTGTCAGTGACTTTGAAACACGCTTCGAGGCTTTTCACCGTCACTGGACGGAAAGGACACCCGAATCTAAACCCCAAGGAATGAAGAACCTGCTGGAGATCTTGCTGACTCAAAGAGCATCACGGCAGGTCACTTGGCCACACAAGGAACGAGCAGCGCCCAATGCCAGCCTCCCACGCCGTCTGCAACACCACCCTGTCCCGCTGTCCTCATGCAACAGACCTGTTGAGACCTGACCATCCCCAGCAAGCCCGTGTCGAATCCCCCAGAGCACGCAGTCCAAGGCGCTAACTCTGCATCCTCATCACCCCCAGTCGGGCACGGAAGTCACGGTGCGAACCTCCTTCCTGGGCTCAGGGCTCACAGCTCTGCAGCCTGGCCTCACGGAGAACACGGGGCAGCCTCCTGCCTCACACCCTCCGCCCAGTGCCGAGCTCTGACCCCGAGTCCCGGCAGCCTCGTGCCCACCACAAACTGGTGCAGACCCTGCTGACTCCAAGTCTGATGCCCTTAAAGGTGTCACATGCCCCTGCTGCAGTCACCGTGTGCTCCTGGGCCACTCGGTCTGTTTCCTTGCGTATGTGTTTAGGTCTAAATCTAGTGTCTTGGTCTGTGCTTTCTCACCCATCGTTTGTATCTTTTCATCTCCTTTCTTGCCTTCTTTCAGGTTTTTTCCTCCTCCTATTTTCCCTCCCAGTTTGGAAGTCACACCCCGTTTTTATTCTTTTGGTGTCTCACCTGCAAACCACACCATGGGTACCTACTCGAGTCTCACGGCTAACTCACACTTCCCGTGAACAGTGCGGACGCCAGAGCTGTGTGGCGCCCCTGCTCCCGCTCACCCCCGGGAGTGACGTCCACCTTCCCCTCGTCACCCATACACTGTGTCTTTGCTCTTCATGTGTCAGCCCTTCCACCTTTCTGTGGACACCCTCTTTCTGCCTAAAGGATGTCACTGAGTAAAGGTCTCATGGTAACTCTCTCAGCCTTTGTTTGGAAATGTTTTTATTTACCCTGTCTGAGATATTTTTTCTTTTTTCTCTTTTTTAATATATATTTTACTGATCATGCCATTACATTTGTTCTATTCCCCCCTTCATTCCCCTCCACCCTGCACACCCCTCCCCCACCATTCCCCCCTTTAGTTTATGTCCACGTGTCTCAAGTTCTTTAGATTCTATATTTCCCATACTATTCTTGCCCTCCATCTACTTTCTACCTACCGTCTATGCTACTTATTTTCTGTACCTTCTCCCCCCTTCCCCTCCTCCCACTCCCCTGTTGCTAACCCTCCTTGAGATCTTCATTTCTATGTTTCCACCCCTGATCTAGCTGTCCTTTTAGTTTGCTTTTGTTTTAGGTGTGGTTGTTAATAACTGTGAGTTTGCTGTCCTTTCACTGTTCACCTTTTTTATCTTCTTTTTCTTAGATAAGTCCCTTTAATATTTCATACAGTAAGGGCTTGGTGATGATGAACTCCTTGAATTTGATCTTATTTGAGAAGCACTTTACCTGCCCTTCCATTCTAAATGAAAGCTTTGCTGAATAGAGTAATCTTGGATGTAGGTCTTTGGATTTCATGATTTGGAATACCTCTTTCCAGCCCCTTCTTGCCTGTAAGGTCTCTTTTGAGAAATCCGCTGACAGTCTGGTGGGAACTCCTTTGTAGATGACTGTCCCCTTAGCTCTTGCTGCTTCTAGGATTCTCTCCTTCATTTTAATCTTGGCTAATGTAATGATGATGTGCCTTGGTGTGTTCCTTCTTGGGTCCAACTTCTTTGGGACTTTCTGTGCTTCCTGGATTTCCTGGAATTCTATTGCCTTTGCCAGATTGGGGAAGTTCTCCTTTGTTATTTGTTCAAATAAGTTTTCTACACATGGCTGTTCCTCTTCCCCTCTGGTACCCCTATAATTCGGATGTGGGAACGTTTAAAGATGTCCTGGAGGTTTCTAAGCCTCTCCTCATCTTTTTGAATTCTTGTTTCTTCATTGTTTTCTGTTTGGTCATTTTTTTGTTCCTTCTGGTCCACTCGATTGATTTGAGTGCCAGTTTCCTTTCCATCACTATTGCTTTCCTGTGCATTTCCCTTCATTTCAATTAGTTTAGCCTTCATATGTTCTTCTAATTTGTGGTGAAAATCAACCAGTTCTGTGAGCATCCTGATCACCAGTGTTTTGAACTGTGCATCTGAAAGTTTGGCTATTTCTTCATTGCTTAGATTTATTGGCTCTGGGGCTCTGAGTTCTTCTTGAGCCATGTTTTGATCTGTTTGCACCTGTTACGTATGAGGAGCGGAGCCTTAGGTGTTCACCAGGGCGGGGCCACCAGGGTCGCTGGGTTGTGAGCTGTATGTGGGGGCGGGGTCAGAGAGGGAGCAATAGCGGTCCCCTCTGCTGCTTCCCGCTGCTGGGGGCTGCCCGGTCTGTCTCACTGCTCGCTCCTTCGCTGGTTTATCTGTGCGCGAATGTGTGACCAAGATCAGCCCGCTGCCTTTGCCCTCAGTGGGTCCACCCGCTGCTACTCCACACCTGGGATTCGTCCTTGGCTGCCGGCGTGCCTGGGTTGCATGCCCCAGTCAGTCTGGTGGATCTTTCCTGCCCGACCCCGCTCTGCTGCTAGCTTTGCCCCTCTTAACGGTTTGGCTGAAGGGTTTGTTGTTGTTGGACTTCAGTATAGTTCAATTTTCTGTGGTTTGACTGAGTTTTTGTTGCTAAAACTTTGTTGTTTTTAAACTTGGTTGTGTGAGAAGGCACAATGTTTCCACCTGTGCCTCCATCTTGGCGGAATTCTCTCCTGAGATATTTTCAAAGGAGACAGAGCCCAAGGTCGGTGGCTGTTTCCCCCAGTTACAGCCACGATGGCGTCCCCTCGGCCCCACTGCTACCAGGGAGCTTGCGCTGGTCGCCTTGAAGACCTCCAGGCCGCTGCAGTGTGCAGGTGTGGGTCTCTTCTCCCCGCCGGACTTGGTCATTTCGGCTTGTGGTCAGTTCTGGAAACACGTCTCCAGAGAGAGTCGCTCCCCAACCCTGAGGCTCTCAGACTCTCCGTTCGGCTGCCCGCCACCTCCCCACGCTGCCTCAGACGGCATCCTCCGACCTGCCTCCTAGGGCACCGTCCTCTCTCCACCGTGTCAGCTGGCAGTGAGCCTGACCAGGCTGTCTTTTCCCAACATTGGTGACCGTTTTTCATTTCTAGCAGTTCTCTGTGTTCTTTTAAATACCGTTTCCTGGCTTTTAGAGACATTCTCAGGGTTCCTTTATTTCTCTAAATGCACAAGCATCGTTGCTTCAGAGCCTGTGCCCAGCAACCCCACTACCCGAGTCTGGCGGGGCTGACCGCTCTCCGCTGCCTGTTTCTGCCTCCGCAGAAAGCCCCCCCGCCGTCTGCAGCTGCGCTGGGTCCCGGCCTCGGGCGGCAGGAGGCCGGTGAGCACACTGTGCACCTCCCCTGCACCTCGAAAAATGCTTCGTGGGTGTGTTACTGTATCTTTTAGGACATCACAGAAATAGGTCTTTTCAACAGACCCTCTGAAGCACGGCTTGGTTGTTCCCGTTTTTCCTAATTATGGGTGAAGCCACTATCCACGTTCACGGCCAGGTTTTTTGCGTAGACATTTTTCTCTTGAGCGAAACCAAGAAGTGGAACTGCTAGGCTGTTGGACAATCGCAGGTTCACTTTTATAAGCAGTAACCCAACTCCACCCCACAGTCCCCGGCAGCCCCGCCTCCCCAGCACTCGGCACCACCAGGCCTCGGTGCTTGGTTTCCAAGCCGTGCTCATGGGTGTGTGCCGGCGCATCCCCACGTTCTAACGGGCGTGGTCCCGGCGAGTGTGCTGCACACTTACTCGCTATCCACGTATCCTCTCTGGTGAAGTGACTATCTCTCGTGCATCTTTAAAAGTTGTTTTCTTACTGACTGAAGAATCTTTGCACCATCTGAATACCAATCCTTCATTTGCTATGTCCCATAAACACGTTTCAAAGAGCAGTTGTTTGTGATTTTTGATGAAGTCAATTTGTTAATTTTTCTTTGGTGACCCACAGGCTGTGGCATCCTGAGAAATGTCTGCCTGAGCCGACGAGGCAGAGACGTCCGCCGCGTCGCCTTCTGGAAGTGTGGCGTGGGCGTTCGCCTTCTGGTCGGTGACCTTCTGTGAGTGACTTCTCGCGGGCAGTGGGAGCCACAGGTCACAGCCTGCCGACAAGCCTGCCCTCCCTCCGAGCCCCCTCGGCACCCGGATGGAAGCCGGCTGAGCTTCCACATGTGAGGGTCTCCTCCTGACCTCTGTCCTGCCACAAGGACCCTCGAGTCCACCCTCTGCCAGGACCGCACCGTCCAACGACGACGGCTGCGGCTGTGCACGGACACTTCTCACAGCTCAAGAAGGACACTGTTCTGCCTGCCGAAGCGCTGCTGCCCCTGAAGCAATTCCTCCTCACTCACACTGCCCGTGGGTGCGCCACTGAACTAGAAGTTGGGGCACACGTTTAGACTCTCGAATCTCAGTAGGTCTGCTCTTGATGCCAGGTGGCTTGTCACGAGGTGTGTCTTGCTGGACGCCCGTCTTCTCTGGTTGGTCATCGCTCTGGCTCCTGACGGTCCCACACACGGTGGTCTGACGGCTCCGTGTCTGCCACTCGGCCCAGGTTCGGCCCCTCCCTGCTCCCGCGCCTGGGTCTAGACACCCCGTAAACAGAGCACCTCTCTGCTGCCTGGCCCGCCCCACTCCCAGCAAGGTGCGTGGGCCATGCTCAGGTGACACCACGGCCCCTCCCCCTGCATGACCCCCAGACCAGCCCTCTCTGTGTCCCCACAGCCCTCCACAGGCACAAGGGGCACCCCACGGGCGGCACCCCCACAGCACCCTGCAGAGGAGGGAGGTGGCAGTGAGGGCTCCCGTCCACACCTGCAGATGCACAGCAGAGAACCTCTGCTGGCACCTGCCCGTCCACACGGCTGATGAAACTCCAGCTAGGCCAGTACTTCCTGCGCCCATGGCCGTTTTCTCCAAAAGGCAAACAAACCGCTTCCTGGGAATCTCCGCTGGGTGTGCACTGCACCCGCTGGGAGCAGGGGCGACTCACCGTCAAGGCTCCCGGAGCCACGGGCGACGCGAGGCGCTTGTTAATGGACTGGAAGGTGGCGGCGGGGACACCCGAGATGGTGTTCACAATCACGTTGCCGCTCACCGTGCCTGCGGGGAGAGGGTCTGTGAGGCAGGAGCATGCGCGAGCAGAGCTCCTGCCACGTGTCCCCGACCCTTACCTGCCGGCACGCTGGTCCCCGTGACGGACGTTTTGATGGCCCCTGCCTGCTGAAGAGAGAAGCCGTCTGAAGACCAGACCAATCTCGCACGTGCGGTGAGTCCCCCAAGGCTCCCACATCAGCAGCATTGAACCCAGGCTCCCGACCACGGTCGCTGGCCACACAGCCGACTCCAGCCCCCCTTCCCCAATGCCTGTCACTGTGGTGTCCACCCCTCTGTCCCCAGTGCTCCAGCCACACTGACCCTGACCCTACAGCCGCGAGCTAACGGCTGCTGCTGGTTTCCACTCTTTCCAGAATGACCCCTGTCACTCAGGCCACGGCCCAGGGGCTGGCTCTGTGGAGAGCCCCCTCCTGACCACCCCCGCCCCCCGCCCTGTTCTCCTTGGGGCCCTGCCAGTCCCAGCAGGACAAACTCCCTGGGTTCAGTGAGTGCGTTCTCTCAGCGTGTGAGGAACAAGGCTGCCCAAGTGCACAAGAAAATGACACTCCAGCTACTGGAATGAAAACAAAGGGGCTGGTTGGTCCTGCAGGACACCTCCCCCACACCTGGATGGCGGTGCAGAGCACTGGCGCCCCCACCCAGTCCCGGGCACTCTTCCCACGGGTGACCTCGGCATGAGTCACATGGGCACGCAGGGCAAGGTGGCGCGGCAGGGCACTGGGGACGGCACGGGGCACGTGAGATGGTGGGCCCACCTCCTCTCCCTCGTGTGTGCGTGAGCACGTGTGTGCACGTGTGCCGCTGCTTCGAGAAAAGGGGGGACGGGGCCAGGAGGAGGGGGCAACTTCTTCAGTTACAGGTCACAGACCCATCTCACTCCAGACTCCCCAGGCACTGCGCCAGGAAGAGCTGCCTCCGGCCCAAGCTGCGGCTGAGTCCCCCAGCGCGGGAGCTCTGGACAGAGCTGGCGCAGAGGAGACACCCCCCACCCCAGGGAGAGGGTGGGCCTCTACCTCCCCAACGGGAGGGCTGCTGCTCTGGGCGCCTTGAGGGACAGGAGGGCCAGCTCACCAGGACGGCAGCGCTGCCCACGGTGGTGATTGCGGGCGACGCCTTCGGCGGGGGCTGCGCAGGCTGAGCTGGAGGCTGTGCCTGGGCAGGGGGCTGCACAGCGGGAGGCCCCGAGGGCTGCTGGCTGCCTGCTGCGGGGGGCTGGGGCAGAGGTGGTGGCGGCTGCTGGGGCGGCGGCGGCTGTGGCTGCGGTGGGGGTGGTGGGGGCTGTGCCACGGGCGGCTGCTGTGCCTTCTGCTGATCGGCCAGTGCCTGCAGGGCAGGAAGGAGAGGAGCGCGAAGCAGCCGAGGCTGCAGCATCTGACAGCAGCGGCCCCACCGCGCCCAGGTGCACCCAGGCTGCACACCTTCTTCTCTTTGGCGATTCGCTCTGCGCGGAGAGATGCAACCTGGATGGGAGGCAGGGGCTTGTCGTAGTTGATTCCACTGAAAGACAGAAGTTGGTAAAGATGAACAGGCAAGTTCTCAAGTAGGTACATTCTCAAAACCCAAAGCCCTCGCCGTCCAAGCTGGGGTGCTGGCGGCAGCTCCAGCCCAGCGCGAAGGTCGGGGCACCGAGCACATCAGCCCAGGAGGAAGAAAGGCCGCCTTGGCCACCCCAGCCCAGGGCCCCATTCCCCTTCGGGCCTGTCTGGGGCCCTGCGCTCCGCCCTCCAGGCCCAGAGCCGACCAGCAGACCCCAGGGCGTGGCCCCGGCAGGTCTGCACCCCCCTTACGGACTCCTGCTCCAGGGACTCCTGCAGCCTCCCACACTTGTCACCTACGAGCTCCTTGATTCACGCACGCTCACTCCCAAACTGGGTGTGTTTTCATACCAGAGCTAACAAATGTCTGCCAGATCAGGGGTGGGGAGAGGGCAGAGGGCCCTCCTGCCCTGTTGGTGCGCCCTCTGCCTGACGGCGGCAGGGCCGACACCCGGCACACCCTCCGTGTGCTCCCGGACAAGAGCCTCTGCAGCGCTGGCTCGGCGGCTCTGCCGCCCCCAGCTGGAGCCGGGACCCACCGTCTGCACAGTTGTGGAGCTTACTGGGTGCAAGAGAACGCTGGAGGATCAGCGTTTCAGAGTGAGAAGGTGTTACAAACACAGAATACCTTTCTGCCAACACGGAAGCGTGCTTGGGGTTTTTCTGGAAGGGGTTCATGCCAAGCCTGCAGCACGGAACGGAGACAGCAGTTACCAAGTGAGGAAAGGACACACACACACGACAAACGAGAGGTGAGCCCCCCCCGCCCCGCTTGGCTGGGTGCAGGGGGAACGCGGCCTACAGAGGTTTGATGGGGGGGCTCCTCTTCCCAGCGGTCGTCTTCATCAGGTCGAAGTGGCTGGTGTACAGCTGGGTGTGCGTGGCATTCTCGTCCTGGGCGTAGATCTGTCCCGTGCGCAGAGGACGGTTGTTCTTACTCTGAAACAGGATAGACGACCCACAGTGACCTGGCGTGGGGCTCGCTGACCTGGAGGCAGCGACCGAGGCTTTGTGATTAACGCCCCTCCTTCCTGAGACCTGGCACAGACGGCACAGCAGCGGTATCTGCCGCCCACCGACGTTGGTCCTCGGTCTGTGCTGGGCCTTTCCAAACGTCGCCAAGGGAACCTCCAACCATCTGGGGACAGAGGGCCCACCTTCTCTGGGGGGGAAGAACCACTGACCAAGCGCCTGAGGCCACTGACGAGGGATGCAGCCAGTGCTTTCACCTGCAGCCCAACCTTCCCGACCAGTCTCTGTCTACGGTGGGCTAACAAAGGTCCCTGAGGTCAGACTTTCCATGGGGGCTTCAGTGCTGCTTGTGCCTGGTGACGCTGTCCCGCTAAGTCCCACAGTCCCACCAAGCGCCCGCCCGCCCGCCCCCCAGACCTCTCAGCAGCCCACAGAGCTCAGGACAACTCCCTGTGCCATGCGAAGGGCTGGCTGGTGACCCTGTGGGCCGGGCTCCTGAGTTCTGAGTCCTGATCGTCTCCAACCAGAGTACAATATGGGTGGAGACAGAGCTTCCACAGGGGAGGGGGAACCCGTGAGGGGGACAGGTGTGCTGAGCACTGCGTCCACGCTGAGGGAAGGCCCTCGGCTGAGGAGGGGCGTCCGAGGAGAGCCGCCACTACAGAGCGCACTGAGGGCAGCCGCCGTGCCGTGTGACACGCCCTGCCGTGTCGGCAGAACTGGAGGTGACCGTGCAGGTGACCAGGCCCAGACTCAGACCCCGCGGCGGCACAGCCCCGGCGGCACTGTCTGGGTTCACCACGCTGTGAAGTGCGCCCCTTGCTGGTATGAGTCAATGGGGACCTCGTGTGTCCCTCCACCAGCACCACCCTCCCCACCACTGCCTCCGTCACAAGCGTCACTGGGGTGTCCCCGCGGGTGGCAGCCTCCCCAGCAAAGACCAAACCAAGGGCGCACGAGAGGCTCCCTCATCACCAGACTGGTGCTTCCCGGAGGTCTCCTCCGACTCGGGGTCGCCACGACATCTCACACTCAGCGTTTTCCTCACTTTCACCCTCGGGTGGCAACAGGAAGCCAAGTTACAGCTTCACACTCCTCACGTTCAAATTAGAGCCACTGTGAGAAAGGCTTCCAAGTGTAACGGACCTCACATGTTCCTGGTGAAGGCACCGGAACTGCTGTCGGGGAAAGCTGCTTGTTTGTCGTTTTTAGACAAAAAACTCCAAATGTCTCATTTTGAGAGAACCGTTTCCAGAAAGACTAAAGTGAGCTGAGGCAAAGGCTGGCTACAGGAGTGATTAGACACCGCCACAACTTAGAAGTGCAGGCAGATGTCCCTTCCCAGGGGACGAGCCTAGCAGTCCCCTCCAGACAGGGCACCAGGCCGAGACCAGCGCACAGAGCCGCAGCGCTGCCCAAGAAGCAAGATGACAAGTGTGAGACCGACTGTCTCCAGAGGGAGGAGAAAGGCGCCTGGGTGCCGACCTGCACCGCACACTGACAGTGCAGTGGCCTCCTGCTGACGAGCAGTGGGGAGCCGCCGCCCGGGGTCGCCGCCCGGAGTCGGCAGCGCCCGGGACACTCGCAGCTGGTCAGGGCGGAGCATACTGAACCAGCGCACCAGCGCACCAGCGCACCAGCGCACCAGCACAGGGGTGAGGCCCAAGACAGCCGGCACTTTTCTTCATGTGAGCTGCCGGCACAAAGCTGTGCTCTCCTTGTCTATGTGGGGGGTCGGGGGGCTGTGCTTGAAACCAGCGGACGGCACGTAGCACTTCTCACAGGACGGAGCAGCACATATGCTCTGCGTCACGCAAAGCTCCAGCACCGGCAACTCCAGCCTGCACCCAAAGTGGCCGTGGCAGCCGTGCCTCCCCGCCTGCGCCAAGACAGACCTCGCCCAGCCGAACCTCCGGAGGCCCTGCAAACGGACGGCCCCAGGGCACGCACTCACCTTCCCCTCCTCCCTGGGAATGAGCACGCTCTCGTAGCGGCTGCGGCACTGCTTGGAAGAACGGTAGATGCGGCTGCAGGAGTTGACGACGTCGCTAACCAGGTCCCAGTTGGGCGTGTGGGCCGGGGACACGATCGTGAGGTTCAGAGGCAGTTCCAGCAGCTGCTTCACAGCCTAGAGGACCGAGGTCAGGCCCAGGAGGTCAACACACTGAGCGTCATCAGACTTTCCCGGAACCGGAGTGACGAGGACGTGAACGTGCGTGTGGGGAGGTCAGGCTCACCTGCAGCAGCGCCCAGTCCTCGCTGATGAGCCATTCGGGGTTGTCGGGACCCGACTCGGTGGCTGGCTTGGCAAAGGCGGGCAGAGGCTTGGCGAACTGTGTCTGCTGCTTCAGCAAGAGGCTCTTCTTCTGCTCCTTCCCCTCCCGGCGCATCTTAAGCAGGCCCGGGGCGGCCCGGTCGAACAGCGACCTCGGGGGCACCACGGCCTCCCCGTGACGCTGCTTCTTCTTCCTGCCTGCAGCTGCGCAGAGAGGCCGGCTCAGCGCGGCGCTCACCAGAGCACCCCACCCGCCTCCGCGAGCGAAGGAAGGAAACAAGGAGCCAGCAAGGACGCCCAGGCCTCCAGGCGCTCGGGGCAGCCATGAACCCCTCCTGCTCTCACTGCAGAGAGCGGGCACGCCAAGGCTCCCGCCTGCCCCTGGACGGCCGGTGCTGTGGCACCGGGGTGCAGTCGCAGCGCCCACCTGAGGGGTCCGTCCTGTGCCGCCGGCGCTCCTTCCTCACGTACACGGGGGGCAGCTTAGACTCCGGGATGGGCGTGGTCTCGTACATGAGACACATGACGGAGTCTATGTAGATGTCGTTGTCGTCCTGGGGTGGCGTGGGCGGGGTCCAGAGCTGCACGGAGAAGGCAGAGGCCTGAGCTGTGCGCCTCGTGGGGGGCAGCCGGCACCACGGGGGACGAGGACCACTAGGCTGACACTCACCGGCATGAGCTCCGTCTGCCCGTCTGCACCTTCACAGACGTATTCCTGAGAGGGACAGAGGGAGGCTTTCACTGGACAGCCGGCCCGCTCCACACCGCAGGCTGCCTTCGCAGCTCCTCCCACCGAGGGCGAGGGACCCCCCGCCCCACCCCACCGGGCGGGGAAAGGCCGAGTGGAGCTGAAACGCGGTGCAGCGGCTCTCTGCCGCGGCTCCCTGTGGGGACCTGTGACGGGCGCGCACCGCGCTGTAGGCGTCCTCCCTGGTGTAGGTGAGCAGCTGCTCCTGCTCCAGGTCCCGCAGCGCCCTGGCCTCCTGCTCCCGCAGCGCCCGCAGGTTCCGGGCCTCCCAGGCGCTCACTGCGGTCAGCACCGCGTCCTGCCGGGAGACACGGGCCCGGACACGGCGCTCGGCACCATCCCCACCGGGCGCACGTCTACCCCATCCCCGTGTCTCACTCAGGCAGGGGACCCTCCTGCCCCTGTCACAGCTCCCTCTGAGCTGTGCCTACTCGTTTTCCAGAACTTCTCCCCTGCCCATCACGGGGCCTCTGTCAAGAACCACGAGGCTTTGGAAGCCCTGAAACCGCCCGTGCAGGCTGCCCCGAGACTTTGCTGTAGGTGAGCTCCGGCACCTGGGGCTGGGGGCTGGCCCTCAGACACCAGACGGGCTGCACCCCTCCAGAGTTGATGCTGCAGAGGCCAAGCTACCCTGGCCGCCGGCAGGAAGGTGGCCTCACCTCACTGGTCCTCTCCTTTCCGTGGTCAATGGCAGTATGGAATAATTCCAGGTAGTTCAAAGCGTATTTTTCAATTGGGGTAAGCTGTTTCAAAATACAAGTTTTGGATACAGTTAACTACAGGTTAACAAGGGTTAAAAGTCTCTTACAAACCCCACCTACAGTTCAATCAAAAAAGAGGTTGCTCTTGGCCAAAGTAAATAAGAGATGACTCATGAAAGGAACGAGTTTTTAAAACACAGACTGGGAGGAAAAACTGGGGGGACAGACAGGAAAAGGCGCCCACCTGCTCCATGAAGTCAGCCAGCTCCTCCAGCTGCGAGGGCTCCGGGCCCCGGGGGCTGGCGGGGCCTGGGGACGCCGGCGTCTCCCCCGCAGGCTCCTGCGCACCCCCCTCCAGGCACTCGATGCTCCTCAGGGCCTGCGGAGCAATGGGCTCGGGCTGGGTGCTCTGACAGGCTTTTCACCTGTAAGTCCAGGGGTTCTGACAGAGCCGCGCCCTGCAAAGCCGGCCGGCCACACACCCCGGCGCCGAGCCCCTGGGGCCACACACACGTTCCTCAGGGGCCTCTCCCAGGTGGACCGGGGCCGCGAGGGGACAGAGTGGACGCGAGACTCGGCACCAGGCTGGACGAGGAGGAACCACAAGCACGCAGGCCAACACACGTGATAAAGCCCTTGGACCCACCGCAGAGCAGGACGGGAGCCTGGTCTCACAGCCACGCCCGTCGTGCCTCTGGGTCCTGACCGGGGACTAGCTCTTCCGGGTGTGACACACGGGCCCACCCACAGCGTCAGCCGCAGGCGACCACCCAGCATCAAAGCTGCTGAAACCAAGCCCACAGAAAACGGGACAGAGAGACAGGCACGTCACCATAGTTCAGAAAATGCAGATCAAAGGACACACCACCGTGTGCCTGTCCCGACAGCCGGGGGCACACGCCCGACAGTGTGGCGGAGGCGGGACACACTCCTGCGTTGGGACGGCCACACCCTTTGTTTAGAGGGTGTCAACTGGGACACAGAGCAACCTCCTTCCAGGGCAAAACCTGCCGAGTTTAAAACACAGCACCGCTCCACACCGTGCAAACACACCATTTCCAGGCAAACCGCACGGGCGACGGTGAGGAATAAAACAGAGACACAGAGGAGGAAACGGAGGGGAACGTGGCCTGGACCCAGGGTGAGAGCCTCTCACGCAGAACGCGAGAGTGCCGACCACGTGGCGGAGATGCCCGCCGCGGCCCAGAGTTTCTCCTTGGTGAAAGACAGCACGAAAAGGCAAACCTTCACCTGGGGCGAGATTTCACACAGATCCGAGAAAGGCCTTGCATCCGGGACACAGAGAGACACACCGGCTGAAAACCAGGGCCGGGGCACGGGCAGGACGGGGCGCGCACTCGCCGACCCGGACCTCGTGCAGAAGAAAGCACAGCCCAGAAACGAGTCCCCGCCCCTCCTGCGCTCTCAGCAGGGCGGGCGGCACAACAAGCCCGGAAACTGGCAGCACCTGTGCAGGGACACCTCTCAGCGAGGACCTGGGGCCTCGCCGGGGACCCTGGGCTGAGACGCACTGAGTCCACCGACAGCAGAGCGGCCACAGGAGCACGGCTACGGCGAGAACGAGAGTCGCTGCGCAGGACAGGAGCCCAGCACGGCTGAGTGGGGTCAGGGTCCCGGGAGCCCAGCCCCTGGGAACCCTCCCAGTACACCCTCCAGGGTCAGCTGTCGTGCGAACGCTGATCGAGGACCTGCTGCGGGAGAGACACAGCTGCGCCAGCGCCCAGCGCACTGGAAGTAAAAGAAGCCTTGCACAACCACAGGGCTGACGGCAAACTGGCCGCCCCCCTGGGCTGGTGGAATTGTGGGGGGGCACTGCCCTGATTCTCACCTGCACCCACAAAGCCTACGGACTCCAACTTCAAAAGCCCCTCTGTCCTCAGCTGTCCCACCTGCCTGCCGCCTCCAGCGGTGTCGACGCTCCCGGCCTCTGACCTGGTCCCACAGAGCCAGGCGACCGTTTGGAACCACAGGTTCCAACACCTCATCTCCGCCCTGCCCCCTCCAGGGCCCCAATGAACCCCTGCTGTGTACGCACTGAGGCAGGCCCAGCCGAGCTGTCCCTCTCCCCAACCAGAACTTGCCTTACCCGACGCGCATGCTGTCCTGCTGTCTCCCCTAGGGGAGCACAGGCTCAGGAGCCCAAGATCTGCCCCCTGTCCAGTGCCAGGTCCCTCCGCCCACGACAGCACCTGACGCGGCAACACCTCCCGCCAGTGCGTCTACAGAGTCTGCTTCGAGGACACCACCGCTCTCATGCACACACGTGTGCACATGCCTGTACCCTGGTGCCTCACGCGCCTCCGGGGCACTGTGACGTGCAGCAGAGGTCACAGTTACCTCCAGAAGGGTCTGTCCCCATCCTGTCCTTCCTTACCACTGGGTCTGCGCCCCCGACGTGGGGAGCGCTGAGACGCTGCCAGGGGGAGGGACGGGACCCACAGGACGCTCCCGAAGGAGACGCCAGGTGGCCACCTGAAGGTCTGTGCAGACTGATCGGTCACCGTAAATTCTTGAAGCTTTTACCACACCCCTTGACTGCTTCTCAACTACGGAGCAGCTAATATTTAAAAATGGAAGACGAGAAGCGAATCCTCCTCACCACAGGCCCAGCCGCCAGGAGGATGGGGTGGAGTGGGCGCAAGTCCTCAGGGGAAGGACAGGGAGGAGCCAGCAGGGACTACGAGTGCGGGGGGGGGGGGGCCATCTGTGCCCACCTCTATGAAGGGCCGTGCGATTCTGGGTGCGATGGTTTCCGACACCGAAGGCTCCTGGGAGAGGACGACGAACTCCTCGGCTTTCACTGGGAAGCCGGCATCGTCCAGGGGGGCGTACACCTCAAACAGCTCCTGGATGGTGCGCTACACACAGAGACACGGGGGGCTGTCCAGAAGCACAGGCACGGCCTCACGCCTGGCCTGCGCGCAAGGGCTCAGCGCCCAGGAAGCGTCAGACGACTCCTCACCGAGAGCCACGAAGGCCACACACTTCCATCGCCACACAGAAAGCCCCCTGCAGGCGCAGCCCCAGAGGGTACCTGTGTCAGAAACGCCATGGAGTAGTCGTTCCCCTGAGCAGCTACTTCCCGGATCAGGTCTTTGGTTCCGTTCTTCAGAAGCTTCTCTTCGATGGAGTTGCCGCTCACCAGCCTGCACACCAGACAGGACACGCTCGCAGACGGCGGAGCCGCCAGGGGCGCAGGGCTCCGCAGGCAGCACGGTGCGGCGCGGAGCCCAGCCGGCTGCTCGCCCCTCCTGGGCGGGCACTGCAAGGCCTCTGAAGCGCAGTCCACGGTGCCCACACCACATGTGGCAGGTCCCCAGGGCTCCTTCGGCCTGCCGTCCGGCCCTGCCCCCCCCGGCCCTCCCCACCTCCAGCTGCCGTCCTCAGCAGCGGTGAAGCCGGCAGCACCCCCGTGGCCACACCTGTACACATGCACGTCCTTGCGCCTCCCGATCCGGTCGCACCACTGCTGGGCCTGGGCGTCCAGCACGGGGTTCAGGTCGTGGTCATAGAGAACCACTGCATCAGCCTCCACCAGGCTCACGCTAGGGGCGCGGCTCCGCGTGGAGAGGAGGGCGCAGAACACCCGCCGGTCCCCGTTGAAGCTCCTCATCAGCCCCTGCGGTGACGGGCCTTGGTCAGGACCGCCAGTGCCCCTGGTCAAAAGGCGGTCCCCGCAACTGTCGGAATCACGTTCCCACATACAAGTCGCACCCCATTCTGGACTCTGATGCTGACTTTTTAGTGCACTTGCACCCTCGCTCACGTCCCCACACACAACTGAAACCAGGCGAGTCCTCACACAAGGAGGCCGTCGGGTTCCGGGACGTGCACTGTCAGCTCAGTTCGTAGGCCCCCCAAGAAAGCAGTGTCTTCTGGGGGAGGGAATCTGTGCTTTTTCATGTCCCCCCGGGCAATGCCAGGGCACTTTACAGCAAAAGCCCCTGGAGTAAGGCTGAGGGAGCAGGGACACGAGCCAGGAGAGGCCCCCGTGCCCTCTCAGGCCCAGCAGCCGGGACGGCTCACTGCGCACATCTCCTCCGCCACCCACGCAGCCCCAGGTCAGACCATAACAGGCAGCCGACCCTCCACAGGCACGGTGTCCGCTGAGAAGGAGGCAGCTGGGTTTCCTGTCTCACCACGGCCAGCCCTGTCCTGCAGTAAGTGTACGCCAGCACTTTTGATTCTGCGACCCTGGGTCACCTGTGCATGTCTTAAGTGAAATGACTTATGAAAAAGAAGTATCAGCCCTTCTGGTGTGGCTCAGTGGATTGAGTGAGGGCCTGTGAAGCAAAGGGTGGCCGGTTTGATTTGCAGTCAGCGCACATGTCTGGGTTGTGGGCGGGTCCCCAGTAGAGGCGCACGTGAGAGGCAACCACACATTGCCGTTTCTCTCCCTCTCTTTTCCCTTCCCTTCCCCTCTCTCTAACAATGAGTAAGTAAAATCTCAAAAAAAGAAGTATCGAAGGACGAAGACTCACGCACTTGAGTTCAAAGACACAGAGGCATCTGCTCCCCCTTCCGTTCAGAAGGGCTGTGACCACACTGGACCCACACAGTGCTGAAGGTCAGGTCAGACTCCGGTGAGTGAGGCAGACGGTCCCCTTACCTGGCGCTGTTCGCTATTGGCGTTTTCATCGATCCGTATGTAGGTGAGATAATGGAAGTTCAAGAACATCTCTAAAATGTCTAACATGAGAACCATCTGGGACAGAATCAGCACCCGACGTCCTTCCGACTTCAGCTTCTGCAGCAAGATTGCTAAGGCTTCCAGCTTGCCTGCGGAGGGACAGCACCATGCGTCTCACCGCCCAGAGTGGCGGGCGCGGCGAGGGAGCGTGCGCCCAGGCCTCCCCTCATACCTGAGTCGCACTGGACCAGCCGCAGCTCAGGGAACCGCAGGGAGCGCAGCGCCGTCGCCTGCTGCAACTGCTGGGCGTAGGGCGCCGCCTGCTCCCGCAGACGGTGCCTGAGGATCCTCATTCTGTGGCTGTAGAGGGAGGGCGGCCGCGCCACCCATAGAGACGGGGGCGCGGCCACCACTGGCGGGATCACGCACGCCACCCTGAGAAGCAGAAGGCAGGCTGGTCACACGCAGCACCGTGGTGTCTGCACCTTGGTGTCTGCCCTGTGGAGCCCCTTAGACAGTAAGAGTCACTGGGGGGGACGAGCCTGTTGGCTCCCCCTCCCTGTCACAGCAGCCATGGGAGCAGGCTGCGACCGTCCCGGCCCACCAGGGCTGCCAGGGCAGACACACCGGCTTTGGCACGGGCGCTCACGGCCCACTCCCTGTGAAGGACGAGTCTCCTGGTGGGAGTTCTGGGACCGGGTGCCCCGTCTCCTGGCCAGTCTGGGGGAAGAGTATGGAACCAGAGCTGCTGATGTTACTGTGCCATAGGAGGGGAGGTGGCCTGGGAGGGAGGACCCGCGTCACGGCCTCCGAACGGCCACCTGCACCGGAAAAGCCCTGGAAGTCGGCCCAGGCTGGGTTCTCGTGACTGGCCACCGATGGCACGCATCAGCCCAACACCGGGGAACGGAACCCAAGAACTAAACAAACGGAGAGACGCTCCGTGTTCGCAGAGAGACAGACAGACTGGATGTTGTCTGGCGCCAGCGCCTCCCAACTCGGTGCAGACGCTCGGCACAACCCAAACTCCCAGCAGCCGTTTCGTGGGCACTGACAAGCTGATTCCAACGTTCACTTCGAGGCAAAAGGTGCAGGACAGCCACACGCACTGCAGAAGAGCAGAGTCTGAGGACCAGGAAGACACAGCGACCGAGACAGCGGCACTGAGGGAGACGAGCAGACCCGAGGAACAGAGCGGAGAGCAGGGAACCGGACCTGGCCAACGACAGTCGACGGACCTTCGGCAGAGGCACAGAAATGAGGCTCCAACAGAGAAAGGGCCTTTCCAACAAACGGTGTTAGAACTGCACACGCAAAGCACGAACCCACACGCAGACCCCGCACCGTCACGGGTATCAACTCCAATGGATCACAGACCTCAACGCAAACTGTGCAAGGGTGGAACCACTAGAAGATAACACTCAGGAAACCTGAATAACCCTGGGTCTGGAAGCAACTTTTTAGATACAACGCCAAAGACATAGTCCGTGAAAGAAAGAATTGATAAGCTGGACATGATTAAAATTAAGAGCTTCTGTTTTGCAGATTGCTGTCAAGAGAATGAGAATATAAGCCACAGACAGAGGCAAAATATTTGCCAGGGAACACCTGATAAAGGACTGTTGTTCCAAATGTGCGGAGAACCCACGAGACTCGACAATAAGAGAACCTAATTAAAAAACGGGCCAAAGACCTTGACGGGCCGCCCACCAAAGGTGATGTGCAGACGCAAAGGTGCCCCCCTCACGTCACTAGGAAGCACAACACAGGACAAGGAGACGCCAGCGCTGGTCACGCCCAGCCTCCCTCTGGGAGGACTGCTGGAGGACACAGGTGGCCTTGTCTCGCACAAACCCAAATGCACAGTCTCACCGCACGGTCCGGCACGGAGCGGGAGACTCCCGCCCACACAAACACCCGCGCACACGTCTGCAGCAGCCCTGGGCCCGATCACCAGAACCTGGGGCCAGCCAGGCGCCCGTCAGCAGGCAGAGAGCAGGGGAGCTGCGGCCCGCCCAGACTGCAGTGTCCTTCGGCCAACAAGGAATGGGCTATTAAGGCACAAGAAGATGAGAGGGAACCTCAACTGCACATCACTCAGGGAAAGGAGCCCACCTGAAGGGCTACATGCTGTGTGACTCCCACTGTGTGACACATTCTAGAAAAGGCAAAACGGTGGAAAGGGCAAGGAGCAGGGGTTGCCAGGGGTCAGGGAGGAAGGGACGAATAGGTGAGCACGGAGGCTCACCTGTCGATAACATCCTGGAGGGACTCTTGACGTTGAGTCAGCGTCAAAATCAGGTCCTTCTGACTCTCTGAGGGGGACGTGCAGCTGCTCGCTGGCCTGGCCGCCTTCCCATACCTGCTCCCCGGAGCTCTGAGCCCCGGGACCTGGTCTCTGCAGGCCAGGGAGCAGACCCCCAGCAGGTCTGCACCGTAGACGGGTGCCCGGAAGCAGCGCCGCTCATTGACAGAGTAAATCTGGTCCAGCCGCTCTTTCAAAAGTCGGGTCTTTTCCTCCTGTATCAAACAGTGATGAAAATGGCCAATGAGAAACGACAGGCCCGTTGGCCACCTGCTGGGGTCCTGAGGGTCCCTGGGCAGGTCCCACCGGGCAGAGCGCACTCCCAGGTAGGGCCTGCTCCACAAGACGGGCAGGGAGCAGTGAGAAAGCAGGTGAAGTTTCTCGAGACAGTGTTTCATATGCCTTTTAGATATAACGCCAAAGACATAGCCCGTGAAGGAAAGAACTGATAAGCTGGACTTCATTAAAATGAAGAACTTCTTAATTTCTGAAGGTGGGCAGAAGAATATAAAAATCGGTGAAAAGCCCAGCTGCGTTTCATTCGGAAAGTACTTTTAAGGGACTAGTTGGAGAACACGTCCCAGTGGCCCATGACGTGGACGGCAGTGTGGGGTGGGGTGGGCGGAGGGCAAAGGGGGAAGCCGGGGACAACTGTACCAGTGACGACACACAGTGACTACAAAGGGGGAAGTGCTCCTGAACTTGCGGCCTGCGCAAACGCCCACTGAGGCACACAGGAGCGGCCAGAGCGGCGGGAGCACCGTCAGCGCTGCCCGTACCTGGGTCGGCCCTCCGAGGGGCGAGGCTGGTTTGGAGGCCATCCCGGGTTCTCCCACAGCCAGCGGGTTGACTGCCACTCGACCAGGCACACTGACTGCAAATCAGAAATCACAGTTGCCAACACGGCTTCGGCCCTCAGGCGCCCCACAGACGCGCCCCTCCACGGCGGGCGCTCGGGCTCAGCACCACTGCCCACTGGTGCAGGTCCAGACTGGCGCGCTCAAGCCCGACCGGTCAGAACCAGCACCCCTGCTCTCTGGCCACTCCGAGCCAAGGCACCAGTTTGCCTCTTCCCTTTGGCGAGAGACCATGTGCACCAGACTCAGGGCCCCAAGGGCCAGGAGTCAGCACTGCCCTCCAGGGCAGCACAGGGTCGCCGGGGGAGCAGCCAGGGCCATGCTGCCCGACAGACCTGTGCTCACGGAGGCGTCTGAGGCTGGAAGGCCCAGCGGAGGGGGGCCGGGGGGCCTTCCCTCCTGGAGGGCGTGCGAAACCGGAGAACACGGGCCCCCCCAAGCTCCCGTGCCTCCTCCCACTCGGGGGAGGCCAGGAAGGCCATCGTTAAATGTACTGTGGGAGACTGGCCAGCTCCTCGGTCAAGGAAACGGTCCTAGAATGTGAGCCTGCACCGTGAACCGCTGGCTCCTGGCCCCACACAGCTTCTCTGCACGGCCTGCCCTGCGTTCCGCACGCCAGCCTGGCACTGGGAAGGCCCGTGTTGCAGAGACTCTGCAGACAGGCCCCCTGGGGTCCCCGCACAGCCACGTCAGTCGCAGCCAGTCCTCTGGGTTATTTCTTTGGAGCCGGCAAGCAGTGACACACTGTCTGCCTTTCCTAGAATGCCACACAGTCGGACTCTCACTCACTCCGCTCTGCACAACAGGAGGGCGGCAGTGCTGAGGCTGGAGTGGGGCCAGGGAGCAGGCCGCGAGGCAGCATGGGCCAGGCCAGAGGGAGGAGGGCTACACCCTGCCTCGCTGCCTTCAGGCTCCGAGGCCCCGCAGTCGGAAACCACCCCGCCACCCGGTTACCTTCTAGGCAAAGAGAGCCGGGAGGCAGCACTGCAGCCGGTCTCCTTCCTGCTCGGGGTACTCTACCTGGCGGGGTCACGGGGGCAGGGCCCGGGCCCCCGGCCGGGGGCTTGCTGCCCAGGGCGCTCAGGGCGCCTGCCTGGGACACGGTCTGCATCACCACAGGGCCCGGTGGGCGCAGGTAGGGCTGCCCGGGTGCGGACACGATCTGGAGGACGCTGCCTGCAAGCACACGCGCACCAGGGGCTGCTCAGGGCTGTGCCCGCGGGACATGAGCTCCAACGAGCAGCAACAGACGAGGCGCCCCAACGAAAATCCAAAGCCAACTCTACCCCCAACATGGCAAAGCTCAGTTACTTGGAGGAAAACGAAAACACTGTTCACGGTGGATGTGAACTCTAAGGAACAATGTCATTTTTCTTAAATGTCCAAATAAAGCTCATCTCTTCCTAGACTCCTGATGTCTGTCAGTGCAACGGGAACCCCCTCAGGCTCTGTCATGTCTGTTTGAGGCCTGAGTCACAGGTAGAAGGTCCCAGCTCCCAGATCCGCCCATCAGCTGGATAAAGAAATATCTAAAATCTTGGATTTTAGCCCAAATGCTGCAGCTCTGCTGGAGGAGCTGACCACTTTGACCTCTGGTGTGGGGGCTTCTCTCCACCTGTCTGGCTCTGGAGGAGGCCCTCACATGCTCCAGAAGCTGGAGTGGACCAGGCGCGGCAACCCAGGCCTCACTCCTTCCACCAGAGGCCTGGGGGGACCCGGCATTACACCCACGGCACAGACCCTCTGCGGGGGCTTCCTGGGCCTGCCCGCTGCTAATGGTGACCCCGTGGTGACCTTCTACCCTGATCAGCGCCGTGAACAGCTTGCCCCATGAACACTGCTGGGAGTGGGGCCCAGGGGCTGCTGCTGACGCCACCCTTGAACCCAAGCCTGAAACAGCTGAAACGGACAGGTAAGTGGGCTGTGGCCATGTGGTCACCTGGGACTAGTTTGAGCAGCCACACAAACTGCACCCCCCTTTCTTCAAAAAGCAGCCACTCCGTGGACACGATGCCCTTGGCCATGGACCTGGAGGCGCCGGTCTAGAGTCGCCTGAGTGTGTGTAAGACCACAGTTTCTCCCACGTAAACTGCCTGTCTGCTGGGGTTTTAGGACCAGTCACCTCACAGTAAAGTTAGAAAGTAGCAAATGTTTCTGTTTTTATTTTGAGAACAGGGGACTTCTGTCAAAGGGCAGGGCTTTGGACACGACTTCGGCTTCGTGAGGAGGGGCACGTTGAGGAGGGGCAGTCGGGTGACACGCACACGGCCCCTGGCCCTCCCAGCACCCTCAGCCGTGGTACCCTCTGAGGTCGAGTTCGCTGTGGCGTTTACGGGGAGGCACCTGGGCTGAAAGTCACTGAGGAAAGGACGAGCTGGCAGCTGCCCGCCGTCTCCAGAGACGGAAGAGCCTCTAGTGCGGCTCTCGCGGGGACGGGGCTCAGGCTCCCTCTCACCTTGCAGCTGCAGGGGCTGGCCGGCCGTGAGCTGCCGCAGCTGGCTGTGGGACAGGGTGAACTTGTTTCCCTGGAACTGCAGCGTCACTGGAGTTTCCGGCTGGGCAACTCGACTCGGTGGTCCTGCGAGTGAAGCCAGCTGCGCGATTTTGACCACCTCCCCGCCTGCGGGGACACAGAGGAAGGGAACACTCCTGTGGAAAGTGTGCGACTGTGCTGCTGACAGCCGTCTGTCACACGGAACGACCGTGGCAACTGAGCAGTCAGAAGAACACGGGTTACGTACCGCTGACGCTTTCAGAAAGTAACTATTGTAATAGGAAAGAAAAAGTTAAAGTCAGGTTTTAGTGGTTAACTTCTACACTGTAACTGACAAGAGATTTTAGACATCGGACTGCAGTACAACTAACCGAACTGTGAGGGACACGCCCTCTGCTCTCCAACCAGCACGTGAGCAGCGGACGTCGGGGACAGGCCCTGGACACCCTCGAGTCAGCCTCTGCTCCAGAGAGCCCCCCGGAGTGTCCCGCACCCAGGCTGGCCCACAGGGTGAGCAGATCTGCCAGGCCAGGGGTCCAGGGCAGAGCCGAACAGCCCCGCACCCCCTGCCTTCTCAACGCTGGAGTCCGTAACTGCGGCCCCCGAACGTGGCTCTGAGACGGGAGGACTCACGGCGTGGGAACCAGACCGCAGGACCCCGTCTGCGGCTCCCTGTCAGGAAGTGCGAGCCTCCGTGTTGCTCGGAGCCTGTTTCTGAGAACCAGACTCAGCTCGTGTGCATCTCAAAACACCGTGTTTGCGAAGGACTAAAGACGTTTTACCTGATGGCTGGTATGTGAGCCTGAACACTCAGGAAAACCCATGTGAGAATTATTAGTGACGAGATACAGGACACAGTAAGCAAAAGACAAGAAAAACATCCAGGTCTCTGTGCACAGAAACCGTGAACAAGGGCAGAAGGAGAAAGAGACGGAAGGTCTGCGCGCAAAGAGCCCCCGCCAGCCCTCGCGGTCTGCGCAGCGGCGAGGCCACCGGACTGCGGCGCCCCAGCTGCCCGAGCTGCAGGCACAGCTCCCGGGGCACGGCCACGGAGGCCCGCTCCAGGCAGCGCGTCCGGCAGGCAGTGCCCCGGCAGCGACTGCCCGTGGGCGGAGGGTGAGAGCCCAGGTGGCCGGCGGGAGCCCTCGGGACCCCGCGCCTCTCTCACCCGCTCCCCAGGCCTCCACACAGTCTGTCACATCACAAATGTGTGCGTGAGGCAGCACCTGAGACACAGTGCAGCCCGTGCCATCACTGGGGCACTTTCCACAGCAGAACCGACTGGGTCCAAGTGAGGTTTGGAAATATGCTAATCACACTGGTCACAACAAGAAGTTCTGTTGAAACAGTCAATGAGCTTGTGAGGTTTCAGTCATTGACTTATTATGAAACGTCCCCACTGAGCAGTAATTTATCCCAGATTTAAGTTCGGTAACAATGAGAGGCACAAAGGAAGTCAGTTTTCAAAACTAAATGCTCATCCCACGGCTGGCAAAGAAGTGCCCCGTCCTCACCGTGCCCACCTGCTCCCCAAGTGGCCGAGGCACTGCTGGCCCGAAGCCTGGCTGACAGGAAGGGAGGCGCAGTCATGAGCACACAGCGCGGAGCATGAGCGCAGAGGAAGCAGAACTGACGCACAGGGTCAGGAGAAAGGACAGAGAAAGGATGGGCCCTGGGCATGGGCCTTGGAGACTGGAGGCCAGAAAGGACAGCATGGCAAAGACAGCACCTGGCATAGGGGACAGGAGTGGACAGCAGGCCCTTGACACCACGGGCCTAAAACACAGCTTCCTGGGGGAGGAAGGGGCAGAACCGCCAGGACAGGCGGGGCCACTTACTAGGCAGGCGCGCCTGGGCCTGCGAGGTGAGCAGCAGCCCCTGAGGCAGCGTGCTCTGCCCGGCCGGGTGCGGGGGGGCCTGGGGCTGGGGCTGGGGCGGGCCCGGGGCGGAGGCCTGGGCCGTGGTCTGAGCCCGCAGTTTCGCAGGATGGGCTGGGCTAGGAGCTGCGCTGCAGGTCGAGGCGGCCTGGGGTCTCGGAGCGCCGGTGGGAGCCTGAGAGGTCTGCAACGGGGCTGCTGCCGCTGCAATCAACAAGGGCGGTTTGCGCAGAGCTGTTAGAAGTTCTCAATCAGTGCAGTTTCTAAACCCGAACTTTAAAGAAATAAAACAAACATTTCACACTGTCTCTCAGGTGAGAAGCTCCACCAAGGGGCAGGAGGCCGGCGGGGTCTCCGATGTGAGACGGGCACCACTTTTCACCATCAGTCGCCTGTCCTCACGTGGAGTCCGCAGACCGTGCGGTGCGTTCCCACGGCCAGCGGGCGTTAGATGTCCACTGTGTGAACTGCAGCGTCCACCAGAGCCCATCCTGACCACACGCCAGGCGCACACAAGCCTGCACGCGGCTGTGCCAGGAGCACTTGCACCGGGTGGTTCTGGACGGCCACCCGCTGCCAGGCACGTGGCCCCAAGGACGCACTGACCGGTGGCAGCACTCCCTGCCACCTCGCTGCCACTGCGCCCCGCCCTCCTCTTCCACAGTGACTCGGGGACGGTGAAGCAGGGCACGGCACGGGACGGCAGCCTCATCCAGAGCTCCGCAACCAAGCCCCACGCGTGAACACGCCCCCCCAGAAGCACCCACACTGCCGCTCCAAGCATGACCCCCTCAGAGTGCAACGTCTTGTGTAGAAGCCCAATTTAAAGAAGTTTTGAAAAGCCTCACGCTTGTCCGAGGACTGCACGTGCCTCCTGGGAGGAGCCAGAGCGAGACCCCACGTCAGAAGTTGGGGGAGCCCCTCTGAGGTGCGAGCACAGCCCCCTGCAAGACGTACCTTTGGAGTCCGGGTTTGCAGAGAATGTGGCAACCGGTGGTCGTCCTCGAACGTGGCCCTGTGGAGTGGCAGTGGCCGCGGCAGAGGTGGCTGTCCGGGGTGGGTGTGTGCTGGGGAAGGCCACTGTGCGGCCCTCTGGCTTCTGGCCATACTGCACAGGCTGAAACAACCTACACGCGTGCGTGGGCATGAAGACACAGCGTCACTGTGGAGCAGGCCCGGGCTCCTCCTCCTGGTCCTGGTTAGGGGGGCAGGGCCCCTGGGTGGTGCTGGAGACTCGCGGTCCCTAAAAGTGGCACCCCGTGCCTGTGTGGTGGGGCGTGACTCCCACTCGGCCGAGCCTCCGTCAGTGTGGCCTGGGGAACAGCATCTGACACAGCGTCCACCGGCAAGAGGAAGGGGTGGAAGGTCAACGGCACCATCCGGTGACAAGGCAGCACAGGTGACAGGCAGGTCACAGAGCCTCTCCCACCACGCAGGGCTACCCCGTAGGCGCACACCCTGCCACAGCGGCCGGGGTGGGGTTCTGTCTGTGCGGCCTGCGCTCACGGGGAAACCGAGCTGCAGGACGTGCACCCAAACGGCCCTGCAGACGGGGACGGGCAGGAGCGGCCGGCTGAAGGCACAGTTGCCGCGGCTGTGTGTGTCCGGGGGCTGTGGGCCCCGCCAATGCAGGGCGGGGCGCAGGTCCCCAGGGACCGCGTGTGAGGAGGAGGCAACAGGAGGGGCTGCCAGTCAGCAGAAAGGGTCCCGTGTCTCTGAAACCCTCCCTTTCCCTCTTCTCCCTCGTGTGCCCCAGCCTAAGCCTCCACCTGTCTCCAGCCGCTGGGTCAGCCTCTCCTAAGCCACTCGGGTTGTGCCTGCGTCACAGGACATCGCCTGCCACGTTGCAGCCTCGTGTCACCGCAGGTGTTCCTTCTGCAGAGTCAGGGTGCAGCCCTCTGCCCGCCTCAGGCCTGGCACTGCCCCACGGCGCCCACTCTGCCCTCGCCCTGAGGACATCCGGCTGTGACGGCTACCTGACCACCTGTCCCCAGCACCTCCCCGTGCAGAGCCTCCCCAACCCCAATGCTTCTCAAAGACAGTGAAGGCCACTCCTCAGGTGGGCGAGTGCAAAGGGCCCGCACTTCCGCTTACACAGGGCGTCTGGGCGGCTGCAGAAGCAGCTCACCAGCAGTGACGGGCCCTTCTCCCCGTGGCCCGGAGCCAGCGTCCCCAGGGAAACACCAGTCTGCTCCCAGGCCTCCCCCATGTCCCACAGAGCCCACCCCGCAGGGGCTCGCTCATCCACCGGGCCCGGGCCTCTGCCAGACTAGGCTGCTGGCGACACTCCCCCGCTCTCACCTGCTGGGCTTCAGCCGGACAGGGGGCGGCCTGCCCGGTGGGGGCGGTGCCGTGAAGAGCTCCTCGACGAGTTTCCGGGTCACCTTTTTCTTGCACAGCCATTCAGCCTCGTGGCGAGTCATTTTATTTTCTAAGCCAGCAAGGTCAAATATCGAAAGATCGGTTTCCTAAGCAAAAGAAGAAAATGAAGAGCTACGTGAGGCAGCAGGAAAAGCCTGTGACTAAGAACCAAAGAGGCTTACAGACAGGAAGACCAGGCTGTGTGCTGAGCAGTGCTCTCGAAGCCCTCCCCTCCCCTCCGCTCTGGGGCTCAGCATGCCTCGGTCTCCCCAACTCTGAGACACAACGATGGCACTCGGTCACCCTGAGTGGCTGTGGAAGTAGAGGAGACAGCACCCCGGGACCAACGGGACCGAGTTGGGAAAGGGTGGTCTGGGAGGGGTGGGGACTCCAGGCTTTGCCGGGGGAAGGCACCAGGAGACCCTGGGGAGACTCGAGAGCTGGTGCAGACATGTAGAACGTTGCTTGCCCAGCATCAGCAGCAGGGCCCTGGGGACGCTCCTTCCTGGGGGAGCACGCACGGCTTGCAAACCCAGCTGGGGACCCGAGAACCACCCGCCTGGGCTCCTCTCAGCTTTATCAACAAAAGCACCAGTTCACCCCACAGGGTAGCGGGGTGGGCAGGGACACAGGGACCCAGGGACCGGGCCACCTCCAGCCTGCGCACACTGGCAGGAGGGAGAAGGTGCAGCTGGTGTTCATCAGTCAGCACCCGGCCCACACTTCCAGCCCCAACACGCTCCTGAGGAAAACCCACCCGTGTCCACGAGAAACCACCAGACAGTGCCCACGGCAGCATGACAGCAGGCAACACCTGGAAGCGACCTAAGTGTCCAGCTGGCGAATGGACAAACTACGTGGGGGTGTGCCTGCGGGGGAGCCACACATCTTCAGAGAGAGGAAGGCCCACCGTGACGTGACAGACCCTGGGGTGCTCCCGCTGAGGGTCAAGTGCGCACCCTGCTGGCTGCGCCTGCACGGACCTGCGGCCTGCATGGGGCAGGGGGTCCGCGGAGGGGTCTGAGGGGAGAAGCCGCAGGGGGTGCAGAGGTGACGGCCAGCACGCATGCCCGTGCCCTGGGGGGCGCTGTGCTCTCAGGTGCAGGGGACGGCTGCACAGCCCTGGGAGTGCGGGGAGGTGGGCACAGTGCACACACAGGAGGCTGCGTCAGGGTGAGGGGTGACCTCAGACACCGCGTGACACGCAAAGCAGCTGGGAAGGGCGGCACCCCCTAGGCTACGCTGGGGGCAGCAGTCGGATGCACCTGTGCTGTCCACGGCTGCCACCCTGCAACCCGCGGAGGACCGTGTCCCTGTCTGAGCAGTGACCGCAGCGGTGGCAGCAGCAGGCTGGCCCACTCACAGTGTACCTGCTGCCCGTGGGCCCTCAGACCACTGCACACTCACGGGTCACACCTCAAAGTCCCCTGGGCAGGGGACGGGGCACCAAGGCTGCAAAGTCCCTGGCCTGTCCCCAACCTGAGCCCACAGCAGCTCAGTCCAGGCACCAAGCAGGCTCCCAGGTCCCAGGCCCTGGAGCCTGTGCCCGAAGCATGGCCCGTGTGCCAAGCAGGCCTCAGCACAGCTGCGACCCAGTTCTCTGTCACATGTGTACGGCACCGTTCCGCAGAGTCCAAACGCACATGCCGTGCGAGGAAAGCTGGCCCCAGGGTCAGTGCCAGACGTGGGCGCTGTGTCAGAGGGAAGCACGGCACAAGGGCTGCTCAGCGCTGCCTGGCGTCAGGACCTCCGGACGGCTGGAACGGCTGCACGCGAAGCTGCCCTCCCGGGCGCCCCTTACCTTCCAGGCGTCCCTGTCGAGTGCCTTCAGGACGAGGGAAGCCAAGCGGAGCTGCAGCGGCCCAGCGGAGAATGAGGACTGCGGGAGCCGGGGCTCCACCAGCCCGGGGTGGTTGCAGATGCGCTGTAGCCTCAGCAGGATGCTCAGCACGTCCACGAAGCGCCCGCCCTTCAGCGCCTCCTGGGTCCTGCCTCGGGAGACACAGACGTTCAGCATCTGCTCTGCGTGTCATCTGCTCTGCATGCCGCACAGACGCTGCCATGTGTGTCACCATGGGACACAGATGGTGGGGCACCCGGGCTGTGGAGGGAGGTGCAGTGGAGGGTGGCTGCTCTGCCACCAGCGGGGCTGTCTCCGTGGATGAAATGCGGAGGGTGTGGGACTGTGGGCGGGTCGTGTGGGAAAGCGTCGGAATGGTGTCTGCGTGGAGAACACCATCGTAAACAGCCTTGCTATTGGTTCACAGTGTCTGGAAATTTTAGGATGGAGTGTAAGCGTGTATTGTTGTTGGTGTGTATTCTGAGACAGTCCTTCCCCTGACAGCATTTCTCAGGGACAGACATCCCTCCTGAGCCTTGTAGACACCCCCCCGGCGTGCATGCCACACGCCTGAACTGCAGCTCCCGCCCGGTGGCCTGGGATCCTCGGGCTTCCTCACCGTCCCCACGAGACAGGACAGAGAGCCAGAGAGCCAGGGATGAGGGTCACCGGTGGGCACAGCTCTCTAGGCCCCCACTCAGATTGGAAGGGGACTTTTTAAAAAACCCTCATCCAAGGACGTGCTCATTGATCTCAGAGAGACAGACAGAAAGAAACATTGATCAGTTGCCTTCCATATGTGTCCTGGCCGGGGACTGAACTTGCAACCTGAGCATGTGCTCTGACTGGGGACCAAACCCACAACCTTTTGGTGTCCAGGTCAACACCCCAACTGACAGAGCCACCTGACGAGGGCGAAGGGGACACTGCACACAGGGCAGTGATGTGTGGCAGCCCAGCTGTGACGAGTGCTCTGACGCTGTGGCAGCATCTGACAGCTCAGGACAAGGGCCCCTGGCTCGGAAGGGGAAGAGCACCCAGGGGCAGGGGTGAGCGCACCCCACAGAGTGTCCCCTCATCTCTGCCTGGCAGGGGGAACAAGGCGCCCCACCCACAGGCCTGTGGGAGGGGGAGGGGCCACCCTGAAGGGACAGGCTGGTCTGCAGGCTCAGGAGCAGTGGCAACAGCGCAGAGGGCAGAGAGGAGCAGTGACAGAGGAGAGGCAGGTTTCGGACAGGGGCCGGCGGATGGCAGGACAGCCCAGGACAGAAGCACGGTCCCAGACTCAGGGGCCCCTCCTGCAGGCACACAGGGAGTCCCAGAGCCAACAAGCGGGTGGCACCACCACCCCAAGTGTGCAGCGGCCCCATGCCCCAGCGCACCCCGGGGAGTGAGGGCCTGGCACCCTGATACCAGTCCTAAGCCCTGCATGAGCTGCTGTTCTCACCACCGAAACGACCCCTCACCAAGTGACGTTAGGACCCACTGAACTATGTGGCCGATGCCCAACTTTAATCTCTGCTCACACACCGGGGGGGGTGTCTACAAGGCTCAGGAGAGACGTCTGTCCCTGAGAAATGCTGTCAGGGGAAGGACTGTCTCAGAATACACACCAACAACAATACACGCTTACACTCCATCCTAAAATTTCCAGACACTGTGAACCAATAGCAAGGCTGTTTACGATGGTGTTCTCCACGCAGACACCATTCCGACGCTTTCCCACACGACCTGCCCACAGTCCCACACCCTCCGCATTTCATCCACGGAGACAGCCCCGCTGGTGGCAGAGCAGCCGCCCTCCACTGCACCTCCCTCCACAGCCCGGGTGCCCCACCATCTGTGTCCCATGGTGACTTGCACCTGCCACCTCGGGGCGGCACACCAGGTCGCCCTTTCTTCCCACAAGTAGCAAACACGTGAGCCAGGTGAGCAGCCCGGGGCACCTGGCAGAAATGCAGGAGTCTGTTCTAGAAGGCCGCCGAGGCCAACTTCACGCTAGACGGGTGGGTCTGCACTGACCTTCCTCAGCCGCCTGACACACAGTGGCTGGTGTTACTGAGTGCAAATGCACGGACCTAACACCTGCAAGGCTTTCACTCCGAGCTTGTGTTTTTATTTAATTCAAACTCGGGAAAATGAAGGGTGTGGTAGAAAGAGCCCAGTGACTGTGGAGGAAGAGCAGAGCGAGAAGCAAGGGCCCCGCACTCCCAGGCGCAGCAGCAGGCGGCACACGGCAGCCCCCCGACACGGATGCTGCCTGCGCCCTCATCGGTGGCTTCACGTGGCTGCAGTTTCAGCTACTTGCAGTCCAAAAACATCACCTGGAAAGCTCCAGAAACAACCAGTTACAGGTGTTCAACTGGGCGCTCCTCTAGACAGCATGAGGAGCTCCCTCCTGGTGGGGGCGTCAGCCACCCGTGTCTGTGAGGGTCGCCCACTGTGGACGCTCCCTGCCTGCCGGTCACTGAGAAGAGCCGAGGACTGCCTTGGCACCGAAGCACTGTGCTCCCGTGACCCCTCTGTTCCTTCCAACGGCCCCTAAGAGAAAGGGTAGTGATGGTGGCCGCGAGGACAGGCCGAAAGAAGCCAGAAGCACTTCCTGTAGTGGAGAGGTAGAAGTTCTTGGTTTAATAAGGAAAGGAAAACGTGGCGTGCCGAGGTCCCTGAGAGCCACAGTCAGAACAACCTCCGTGGCGCCGTGAGAAGGCCTGCTGTGTACAGACTGGCAGACACAGGGCCCGGCGCCGTTTCGGGCACCCGCTGGGGGACCTGGACAGACCCTCTGTGGGGAAGGGGGTCGTGCAGCCATTCTGTGGCATGGCCAGCCTGAAGTCCTATGTCTGTGGGTCTCCTGCACCTGTCTGACCTGCACTACTGCCAGAGGACGCTGTGGTAACAGAGGTGGGAACGGCGCACCTGCCACACCTGGGTGGGCCAGGTGCAGAGCCACCGGGGAGGGCCCGGTGCAGGGCGGCGCGCTCACCCGGGCTGCAGGATGACGTCCTCGTACAGGGCCTTCTGTCGGCTGGACAGGCGGCACTTCAGGACGTGCTCGTACTTCCTCGTCAGCTGCTTCTCCACGTCTCTCTTGGTCCTCCTCAGGATAAACGGCTGTGTCACCTGGACAGAGCACACGACCCATTGCTTTCTCTCCGGGAATGACATCACCACACCCTCCGTGAGCCCCTGCACCTCCAGGTGGGGGCCACCTCGTGGCCCACTGGGGCCCCATGCACGGAGCCGCACGTACCCTGTGCAAGCGTATGACCACCTTGTGGTAGTAGTCCTGGTTCTCCTCGTTCGGGGCCTTCAGCGGGAGGTGCAGGTAGGGCCGGGAGAGGCCTGGCACGAGGAAGTGCACCACGGTCCACAGCTCCAGGAAGGTGTTGTGCAGGGGCGCGTCGATCAGGAGCAGGCGCTGCTGGCTGCGCACAAACCAGAGACCGCGTCTGAAGCCCCAGTGTGCAAAGCTGCATCGGAAGTACTTAAGGGGCTTGGCAATTTTATGGGCAACTCTGCGTCCGGGGGCTTTAAAAACATGGGCTGAACTAAATGAACACTCTGAGGGTGTACTCAGCGGGACGCACTGTGACCAAGGACACAGGCAACGCCATGTATGCCTGCAAATGAACCTGCCCTCAACAACCCGGAACCCAATGAGTGGCCAGCAGTCAGACCTCTGCAGGGTGAACACGGCTTCCCAGTGCCGCTCGCTCAGGCCCTTCACACGCTGCATCTCATCGATGACCAGGCACCGCCAGCGCAACCGCGTGAAGGCCGCGTAGCCCCGGAAGAACTGCTTGTAGGACGTGATGCAGACATGGAAGCTGTTGGGCTCCGTCCATCCCTGGGGAACACGAAACCAGGCCCCGCCTGTCTCCCTGCCCCTGCCTCTCAGGCAGTGACCAGGGCCCACTGTCTGCGTTCACCTGTCCCCACCCACGGTCACCTCCCTCGCTCTTCTTGATCACTTGCTATTTCTGCACAGAAAAGGGCCGAGAGTGTGTTCTCATGACCCTTTCCTCCGGGGACCTAGAGCACTTGTGTGGATGGGTTCAGTGGCCGCTCAGGCACGAGCAGCTGTCTGCGGAAAACAGAGAGACAGGGAGTGTCGTGCAGGGCGGCCAGCTGCCCGGGGCTCGACCCGGGCGAGGCGGAGCACGCGGGAGGCGCGGGTCTGCGCTGCACTGACTGCGTCACAGCCTCCCAACAGGAACGAGTGACCAGAGACAGTGAAAAAGCGTATCTCAGGGCATCGCTTCGTCACGAAACGCTACTCAGTGCAACGGCCTACGGGTGAGCCAGAGTTCATCTTCGCTGGAAGATGTGGTCTGTAAAACCCTTTTACTGTGAATCTCACGGCAGAAACTACTGGGCAGAGAACAGGAGAGTCCAAAGGCTCCCGGAAGCGCACTCCATGTGGCAAATGTGCCTCACACACCCTGCAGGGCCACCCTGGCACTCGGGCAGTACCCGGTCTCTCGTTTATGCCTGAGAGCCAGGAGGCCTCAGGAAGAAGGGCCAGGGCCCCCCAGAGCCTGCTCCAGCTCTGAAGGGAACACTCATCTTCTGGGAAGTGACAGAAGGCCACGTGCACCTGTGGCTCTGCTGGCGGGTGTGCAGGGCTGCGGATCTATAACAACCTGAAGTCCTGGCATCTCACAGTGAACACACCGATAAGCACGTCTTGCCATTTTGAAATCTGTCTCCTACAGAAATTAAGATGGTTTCCTGCCCAGTTTTGTTTCACGTTCAAAATCAAATACCTGTCTCTTTGCTCTGAGCTCTCTGTGGCTGCCCACGTACAGGAGGGTTCTGAGCCCAGGACACCAGCGCTTCAGCTCCAGCTCCCACTTGAGGACGTTGCAGCTTCTCACAACGACCAGGTGAGGGCCCCAATTGCCTGTGGATGGAGGGAGGGGCAGCACCTGCTCTTCAACTGCACCGTCTGCTGAGTCCAGGTACCAGTGAGGTGTCACATGCGGACATCCCCACGCAGGACCAAAGGAGCTGCCCAGCAGGGCGCGCAGGCACCTGGCCCACCCCGGCCCTGGGTATCGGATGGCCCCGCCCCGTTCCCAGGTCTGGCTGCCCCAGGAGGGAAGTCTGACTCTTAGGAGGCACTCAGCAAAGAGAGGTTGGATGAGCAATAGCTGACTAACGGAAGTATTTGCTCAGAAACACGGCAGACCCCTGTGAGATGGGGAGGAACCCCCGTCTACAAAGAATAATACTCAGAAGGAGCAGCCGCGGCCTCAGGGCCCGGGGCACACCCTGTGGTGCCAAGCTGGCTCTCGTGCGGCTCCCGACCTCTAGCCAATGCACCCAAACCACCCCAAAATGTCCGATTTCAATTCATTCTTCCAAGAAATTGGGGTTTCTCAATTACTGGGTTGGCCCAAAAGTCCATTTAGTTTTTTCTATAAGAGACAGTTTTCCTCTTCCCCGGCAACTTGACTGACTGGGTACTTTGAGCCTGTCAGCCGTCTCCCTCCTGCCTGGGCTGGTGCTGACGGGGCTCAATTACTGTCTGGATTTGGATCGCTGTCACCTTCAGCTGGTCTGCTCGGCCATGGAGAGGCACCCAGCGAGAGCGCTCCGGCCTGAAACTCCACAGACACTCGTGACACGCTGGCTTGCTCACTGCACCTTCTCCTCACATGGCACAATTTTTTTGCATTTGTTGCATTTTTGCCTTTCTTGAAAAAATAAATCTTAATATGCCAAAAAGGTTGCTTATTTTCTTCCATCTTCACTATTAAAATGACTATAAAAACATTCACCCATTTTGATAACTTTTTTAAAAAATGCATGCTGATACGACAGCTGTCACAATACAATCCAACAAAACTGTTTCAAATGAACTGAAAGAACTAAGTGCTACCAGAACCAGCGTACAGGAAAGAGCCAGACAAACTTGCTGGCCAACCCGACAGAGTAACACACACACAACAGAGCTCCACTTGTGTGCCGGGCAGAAAGCACAGAGTGAGAAAGAAGATGGGAATGACAGGCCCGGAGACAGCGCCTGCAGCCCACACCTCGATGGCCATCGCTGCTCGGCACCATGTCACCGCCCACACGAGAAGGGCCCACCGAGGAGCAGGACGAGCCAGCCTGGGGAAGCCGCAGCCCTGGGGCAGGGGCGTTGGGGAAGCGGCTGCAGATGCAGAGGCTGGAGGGGCGGCGCGCGCCCGGTCACAGCGAGGGGTGCCTTCCCACCAGCCCGGGGCGGCACCCGTGGCGCTGGCTCACACCCGCCTACTCTGCCATCCACACGCTGATGAGCAGCAGGACTCGGGAAGTCACGGAGCCTCAGTCGCGGCCAAGCGGCCGGGCGGGCTCCCGTCTAGTGTGACTGGGAGAGGGTCTCTTGCTCGTTCGTGCAACCTGCCCCCTTGGGTCCTGAGGCTCAGCCTGGAGCAAAGGGACAGGGAGGACAGGCCAGACTCCGGCCTGTGCTGCGGTCTCAGGAACACGTGCTGCTCCAACAAGCACTCACCTTCGTTACACGCGAGGTGGGCAAAAAAGGCGATAACCTGCACGGTTTTCCCCAGCCCGGCCTCATCTGCCAGGATGCCATTGAGACTCTTCCGGTAGAGCTTGGCCAGCCAGTCCAGGCCGATTTTCTGGTAGTCCCTGAGTGTGCCGTACAGCAGGGATGGGACCCCCGACTTCACCTGCAGTGACAGACGGGCCAGTGAGTGTGTCTCAAAGTGACCCCAGGGCATCTTGTGCAAAGTCAGGTCCAGTCAGCCACACGAGGGGCTACTAAGAAGCCACGGAGAAGGGCTCCGGGGAACGGGAAAGCAGAGCCCGACGCTGCTGCCCGGCAGCCTGGAGGCAGGAAGCACCCCCGCCCCGGCCCAGCCCGCAGCAGGGCGCCTCACCGCGGTGCTGATCCGCGCGCTGCCCTTGGGCAGGATGGCCTCTGCGGCAGCGGTCACTTCCGCGATGTCCTTCGTGTGAGGTTTCCCGACACTCATTCTCTCTGCGGCTTTGAACTGGTCCATGATGAACAGCGAGTCGATGAGAACCACGTCCTTGCGGCCCTCCTGGTCAGCTGGGCCGTCTTCCACGTCTGTGAACAGTGGAGAAACAGGACTTGCAGCCGCTTTCACAGTTTTGTGAGCACACTTCACATTTTTTTTTAAAAAAGAGAGTAAACCAATAGAATCAAAATACGTCAAATACAAAATTCAACGCCAACTTTTTTAATTTAATCTGCTTCGTATACCCAACAACACTCTCTGGATAAATGGGTACAAACTCTCACGAAACATTCAACCCTGGGAGCACTCTGAAAAGTCCTCGGGTCAACCTGGAAAGCGTCTCTGTGCCAATCAGGAGCTGGTGTTACCAACAGATTTACGGGCTCCTAAGGGTTTCGTGACCACCCTTCCACCACCAAGAAGGGACAAACTAGAAGCAGCCTCAAGTCCAGGCAAGTAAGGGGCCACCAGCTCCTCCCCCTAGTCCTTTTGCAACCAGGGTCCTGAGAGCCCCCCACCGCCCCACTCACAGGCAGCACATCTAACAGTCAACAGGCAGAGAGGCACCAAGGAGAGAAGAGTCTGGGTGCAGCCTGTGTGTCAGGAATGTCTAATAAAAGTAAAACTCCTTAGAACTGGTGTGTTCAACAAACAACACAGCCTGAGGTAACAGGATGAAAATCTAGGTCCATAAAATGATGGCGTTTCTAAGTCTGGAGAAAAATCAACTGTTCACAACATGATCAAGTGTTCTGGGGATTATGCCAACCTTATGAACAGAAACAGAAAGCACAGAATTTAACAAAGCGCTGTTCGATATGATGTTATGCATTAAACACATCCCCAACTTTCCCTTTCCTCAGACGGAAAGAGAGGGAGGTGCTCACACTCTGTTTGAACCCCCCTCTGGGAGCGCGTTGTTTTAAAGCCGAGCCCCCGGGCCTGGCCGGGCGGCCTGGGTGGACAGAGCGCTGTCCTGATGAGCCCGGTCGCAGGGCACGCAGAAGAGCCGACCAGTGAATGTGCAGAGGAACCACAAGTCAGTGTTTCTCTCTCTGGCTCTTTCTAAAATCAATCAAGCAATCAACTAATCGATAGAAAGAAGAAAGCGGAACCCTCTGAAGACACTAGAACAGACCTTCTTCCTCACTCGTCTCCTCAATGTCAGGTTGAGGCTGGGGCCACTGGAAATTCGGCAGAAAGGCACCTTCGTACAACTTCATCAAATCAATGAGGGGTAACTCGGCTGGAAAAAATGCAGGAAGAAAGGCGGTTACTTCACCACAGTGCTGCCAGCTGGCTGGAGCGCCTCTGGGGGTCACGTGGTGCAAATTTGTCCCCAGTCACATGAGCAGCCCCCTGCCCACCTCGGCGCTGTGGGGGAACCACAGCAGCCTCTCCACGCACAAGGCTGAGGGGCAGCGGCGTCGCCACCCGGGCACCACTGTGGCCGCTGAGGGGCTTTAGAATGTCGCTGACCTCCGACTTCCCAGCCCCACGAGTGTGCCCTGGGGTAACCGACGCTAGACCCAGACTCGTGTCTACACACTGCACACGCAGCCCCACTCACACCTGTGTGCTACCTGTCACTGAAGCCCGTGGTCCGACACCACGCAGCACAGTGTTACACCCCAGAGAGGCGTCAGCACAGGCACCCACGACACACCCAACCCCAACCGACACCCCAGGCGTCATCTGCTCCCAACCAAACGGCCGCCAGCCTGGGCTGAGAAGCTGCGGAAGTGCAGTGGGGGGTGGACGCAGTGGCGGGCACCTGTGGGGCCACCACAAGGCTCTTCCCACCTGGTGGAGTGTCCGATTGCTTTGGGGCAAAATGCTGGGAACTGTGCACGGGCCTCTAGGCAGGTGGGGGGGGGGACCCACAGGGAGAACGTGAAAATGGTGACGCAACGAGGTGACGCGGTCGGGGTCGGGTGATGCGCTGAGTGTACCGGGACCACCCTCAGCCCACGGAAGCGAGTTCAGACGTAATAAGGGAGAAAATACTTCCATCAGAACATTAAAGACTTGAATCTAACTTAAAAAAAAAAACGCACATCATCTGCCTGAAGAAAGTGCTCCGAGGTCCCCGAGGGGCACGAGGACACCTGAGCGGGCATCCCACAGGTGGTGGCAGCTGCCCCAAGGCCACTGCCCACCCTGGTAATGGCCCGTGCGGTCCCCTCCCACACAGGCCAGGGCTGGTCTGGGTGACAGCCAGGGGGCATGAACTGAGAAGGAGGGGCTCGCTCTGGGCGGACCGGCCATCAGGCCGCCTGGACACGAGGGCCCTCGGGCCCGGCAGCTGGGGGCAGCCACACAGGCAGAGGCTGAGGACACGGATCTAAAGCCCCAGGCCAGGCTGCTGCATGTCCCTGATCCATGGGGGGTGCCATGCTGCAGCAGTTACCATGGCAACGCTCACTGTGGTCAGACAGTCCTACAAGAACACAAACAGGCGACTCCACGGCTGGGGGATGACGGGCAGCGTGGGGTGTGCACTGAGTACGGGACTCCCACCTCAAGGTGTGCCTGTCCACTGACAGTGGCCCTTCTGAGTTGAAAACAAGCTCCCCTGTCCCCAGCACCTTGGCCCACATGTCACTGCTAGCAGCGTCACAAGGCGCAGGGCTACAAAGGGAAAACTGTGTCTCTCTGGAGATGCAGAGCTCGTAACACAGAGTTCGGCAGGCTGCGGACGGAGGACCAACAAACACACACTGACCGCATTTCCGTTGTGCTTACCAGCAACCGATTAAAAACACAAGTCTTCAGAAGATGCCCCTCACCACAGCTCCAAGGCTGCAGGGTGGGGCGGAAGCAGGGTTACAGCTGTGAGCATGTGAAACTCGAAGTTCATTCTCCCGTTATTTATGAACGACTGCGCTGTTCCCACACAGACAGCCATACACCTACTTCTGCGCTACCTCATACAACACGGCTGAAAACAAATCCACTAGGAACTGGCACGTGGGGCACAGGCTGGTCGAGCACCTGACAGTCCGTGACTCCCTCCCGACACTGGGTTCAACCACGGAGCGACCGACCTCCCAGCGGGTTTTCTGTGACCCTGAGCCCAGCACTTGGGGCAGCTGCTGAGTGGCCGACACTACATTTTCGGGGGAAGTATAGGTGTGTCACCTGCCCTGGGACAGTGGGTTATCTATTTGCAAAAAAAAAAAAGGAAAAATATTTACACTCTTATTTCACACTACAGACAAAAACAACTCTTGATGAGTTAGACATGCACCTGAGAAGAAAAACAAAAAGTTTTAGCCGACACCCAGACGTTCTCATGATGCAGAGCAGGGCGGTCAAACTCATTCTCACCAGGGGCCACGTCAGCCTTGAGGTTGGTTGTCTCCTAAGGGCCGAATGTAGAGCTCCTTGCCCCTAGTCAAGGAGTAGTTGCATGTCTAGTCCTAACACTGCATCCGGCCCTTTGAAGGCGACCACGAGTCTGACGTGGCCCCGGTGACGATGAGTGTGACGCCCCTGATGCAGGGGTAAAAAGAGGTTTTTAAATCAATGAGGTCAGTCAATCCAACGACACTAAAACTAAGAACAGCTGCTTATCAAAAGGTACCACGAAGGGAATGAAAACGGGGAAAGGTCCCTGCCACACACACACACCCCTCACACAGAATCCGTGTCCAAGACACGCGAGGAACACGCCAGTCAAGAGCGGAAGGAAAACCCACAGAGACGCCGTCCCCGCCCCAGAGTGTGGCCTCGTCACGCGGGCCAGGCACGCAGCCCAGCCCAGCAGAGCACCTGCGGCCGGCGGGTGGGCGCGTGGACACTGCCCAGCAGGAGCGTCGGCACGCTCACACAGCACAGAGGTGTGGACACGGCCCCAGAGGTGTGCTGAGCAGAGAGGCGACCGGGTGGACCCACGGCGGACGCGTGCGAGGCTCCAACAACGCACACAGAGCAGTGTGCTCGGGGACGGACGCAGATGCTGGGGACGGACGCAGGTGCTGGGGACGGAGCCGCAGGAGTGACCAACGTGAGGTCCAGGTTGCAGTCGCGGTGCAGTGCGGGCAGCGGGAGACGGGCACCTGGCGCTGTCCCCACGCACAGCATCGCGGCTGACCACGCAGAGCCCCAGGCCCCGGCTCCCCTGCCTCGCAGACACCGCGTCCTGCCACAGCGTCTGGCGGGGCGCCCGAGGCCTACCTTCCTTGGCCAGAGTAGACAGCTCTGTCTGGTGGTCCACAGCCCCTTCGTTCGCCTCCTCCTCTTCAATGGTCTCCTCCTCGTCCTCCACTGCAATGGAGACCACCCAGCGTCATGAGACGGAGGCCGGGGCTGCGTCAGCACTACCAGCCTCAGCCCTGCGTCAGCCCTGCGCCTTCTCGTTTCCCAGGCTAAGTCTGCAGACGGCGAGCCCACTGAGACCAGAACATGGGGCACGGGGAACTCGTCTGCCTGCTGAGCCCGCTGCAGAGAAGCGCACAGGCATGCTGTCTGTAGTCACGGTGAAACTGCCGTCACCCACGGCCACAATGTCCTGGCCACTGTCTTGAAGGAGCCTCAGCCCTGCACCCTGCACCTCACTCCCAGGAGAGACTGGTCTTTGGCGCAGAAGAGTCCACCGGCACTCCCAGCGGAACTCGACCATCCACAGCCATCCATCCCCTGGACACAGCCCTCGCCACCTGAGGCCTTGCCCAGTAGGCCACACCTTCTCCCCTGCCAGCCCCTCCCCCTGGAACGGAGCGCACCCTCAGTCCCGGGCTCCCCCTGCTCCACCAGTCAGCACTCTGTGTCTTCCCTGTAAAGCCCCCCACCCTGAGGCACCCAGCCAGCAACGGCCCCAGCGACTTCTGGTCACGGTCGCCGTAAGTGGGCTCGCCGCTCATGAGTTCAGGGCCCTGCAGAGGGGACAGCGAAGGGCAGCAGGACAGACCTTCGTCATCAGTGAGGGACGTGCTGGCTCTCCGTTTCCTTCCAGGCGGTCCCGAGCCCTGAAACAGAACGAGCCTGCACACACACCGTCTGCAAGCCCGGGCGAGCCCCCAGGCTGCAGTGCCTGTCTGACGTGCACCTCCGAGGGCGCTGGGAGCCTGTGACAAGCGTGCCGCCATCAGGCCTCTGGTGCCAGGAAAGGCCCTGGCAGTGGAGGAAGCGCCCGGGAGCCCGGCACGACTGAGAACCAGTTCTCCCCCAGAGCAGGCGGATGCTATGGTGACAGGGAGTGACGCCGTCACTGCCGGGGCTGCAGGTAGAAACAGGGACGACTCCACACAGACGGGCTCACCCTGCTGCCCAGTGCACCCAGCGGGGACAGGTCTGCACTCACCAGGGCACTTTCCGGCAACGCGTCAGGTCCCTTGGGCCTCAAGTCCTTTCCTAGAAACAGGAAGCACGGTCCGCTTCACTACAACGGTGGGGACGCCCCTCACATCCGTCCAGGGCGTCTGACGTCTCTGCCGAGGAGACGGCCAGTCCCACCCCCTGCGGGTGACCCAGGGCAGCCCTCAGCCCTCAGCATGGGGATGTCTCCGGTCCGGAGAGGACAGAGCGGCAACGGCGAAGCTCCATGCTCAAGACCTATTGGTCTCACAGGTCGGTGATGTCGCCGTGGCCATCTCTCCACCTCCGCTTCCTCACCAGTAAAATGGGAGTTGTCGCGCCCACCTCCAACTGTCCCTTGCCACTGGCAGCCACTGTGTGGTGCTGCAGGAAAGTGCAGTGGCCACTCACAGTGGCTCCTCGGGGCACGTGCCTCAGTCCCCGCCCAGGGACTGGCCAAAGGGGACAGGCTCAGGCCTCAATTCTGAGAGCACCCCACAGCTGGTCAAGCCCAAAGTTAACTCGACCAGCAAATCTTGAAAGAAAACCACACGCTAGGGTAGTGGCACCGAGGGCACCACAGGGTCACACGTGGCCGCGAGCCAACAGCCTCCGGGGAAGCCCCGCTGTCGCCAGGCCCGGGGCGCACAGTGCTGGGGTGGAACCCGGTCTGGAAGTGTCATACCTTTCCTGGAAACTCTCTGTAAATGCAAGGCCTTCTTCCTCTTCTCTTCCAATTCAACCTGCAGTTTTATTTCCACGACCTGAACGCAGGAGTTAAACACAGAAGCGTATGACAGGAGGAAGCTAAGGCAGCTCTCAGACGCACACCAACCGGACCCACTCACCCAGGCGCGCCCAGTGATGCACCACCTCACCGCACCTGCCTGGCCCGATCAGAGGCCAAGGTCCAATTTTGGGAACCGGGAGTGGGAGCCACCACTCTGAAGAGAAGCTGCCTCTGTGACCTGACCCCCGCCCCTAGGAGCCACGGGAGGGTCTCCCGAGGAGTGGTGGACACGCAGCACAGGCAGCAGCCACGCGAGCCCACACGCAGCCAGAAGCAGAGCAGGAGCCCCGCCTTTTAAGCAGCAATGGCGAGGGACCCACCCTGCCCAGCCTTCGAGGGGACGCTGTAGGCTCTGCCTCAGCACCGGCCCCGACAACCTGGGCCTCCGGACCCTGGTGAGACGCCGAACCCACCTGTTCAATGTTGGACCAGAAACACTCTATTTCTCTAGCGGTCGAGGCAGCGATGCGCCTCAGCCGGTTCTGCTCCTCCCGCTTCCCCCGTTCTTCACGAAGCTTCTTTTCTTCGTGATGACGTGCCACTGTCCTGACAAGCTGGCAAGGAGAAGTTGGAGAATTCCCCGTGTTAGTCTGTATCACATCGCACTCTAAGAAAGGCACGGGAGTTTCTTAAACGTGTTCTCAGCCCAGGACGAGCCCGTCTCGGTGAGATGTAGCCGCGTGTGCCCTGAAGGCCGTCAGAGGCTGGGCGGGGAGACACGCAGCCAAGGCACCCCAGGGCCTTCGAGTGGACTGATGGCCGCAGGCCCCGTCTCACCTACCTTCTTGGCGGCAGCCACCTTCCACCGCCGCTCCTGGGCGAAATCGGTGGCCATCCACTGCATCTCCTCCAACAGGTAGTCCCAGTGTGCGCGGGGGCGCGGGGCCTCCTGCAGCTTTGGCAGCCGCCTCAGGGACCACAAGCCGTCCTTCCTCAGCTCGGCTATTCGCTGATGGACCTGGTTCTCCTACAGGGAAGGGCAGGCATCACGTGGTCATTCACTGCACCCCCAACGCAGACCCCACGCTTGTGAGACCTGCTGCCTGGCAGTCTTGGCAGCAAAGGTTAAGACTCAGACATGAGGTCGGAAGGAGCAGGCAGATGACTGTCTGGAACCTCAGAAGCTGAAGCAACAAGCCTGCCATCTCAGAGCCACGGCCAAGGCCCATGCTCACACTTATGAGGGAAAGAACACAGGCCTGGAATCTGCTTCGACCCACTGGGGAGGCAGAGAGACCAAATAAGGCCGGCCCCATGCTCCTGGCTGTACCGGGACAGGGCAGGCTGGGTTTATCGAGCCCACCTGTTTTGCTGTTCCTTTTCATGCCTCTAATGAAATCAAACAGAGTAACTGCCTAGGCCCCCAACGAACAGCAAGAGCCACTGGCTGGGCCATGACCTTAACCAAAATGGGGGCCCTGAGCACTGTCCCCCAGACTACGACACACGCCACCTCCCGGTACCTCACCCATAGCCTGTGATGACAACAGCGCAGACCGCTGCCTTCAGCACAGGAAAGACTCCACAGGACTCTCCCTCCACAGCACAGGTCACACGACTGGTGTCAACTGTGCCACCCGACCACAAATCACACTGCCTATGCTCGCTGCTGGGCCAGTAGCTGCCAGCTGCGCGTCCCGAGAGAAAAGAAGCTGCGTGTCACGGGCTGGAAGGTGCCAGCTGCTCACCAGTGCCATCTGCTCTGCCAGCTTGTCCTGAGAACCGTCCTGGGGCGCGGCCACACTCTGAGCTGGGCTCTGTGGTTTTGCCGGGGCTGACACGGCCGCCCCTGGGGACCGGGAGACAACTGGAGACAGCGTCTTGCTGGCTGCTGAGGAGGGTCTGCTCACTGGGGAGGCCCGCGCAGGTGAGGGTCCTGGGCCCGAGATGCTGCCAGGAGCAACGGATGAGTTGGAGGAGGTGGGCGGGGGCCGGGTACAGGGCTGCATGGGGTCTGCGGGTGGTCTCGCGGACGTCACCATCTGGTAGGTAGAAAAGAGGCAACAGGTGAGAGGAGTGCCGGCCTGCCGCCTCGCACGGCACGCAGACCCCACCACAGACATGCACTTGCTCCTGCCACCTCCTCTCAGACTTTTCCTTTCTCTTTTTCCAGCCTTTCTTTTGTCTTTGAGGGCTTTTTTTAGCTCTGTCATCGCGTCAGCTAACATTTACTGCGAATTCCCAGACGCTCACTGCGCCCCTTCCCGTGCAGGGCGAGCCTCACCGAGCAGCCTCCCACGCTGGAGGCTGCAGGCGGGCGTCCTGTCTGTGGGGCAGAGACCAAGGCACAGCGGTGGGACCCCCACCCCTGCTGAAGATGAAGGTCAGCCCCTCGGGAAGGAAGTGGGCAGCAGACAGTGTGGCGGGCCAGGTGCTGCCACAGCCCGGGGGGCCAAGGACAGTAGATGCAAAATGCAGCAGGTTCCTAACCCAGGCCACGCACTTTCCCATGTGTGGCTTGTCTCTGCACGTGAAGCAATCTCTTCCTCCTGGGGTCGGCGGCAGAGCCTCAGCAACCACACGGCTGTGAGGCCTACGGCCCGTGACGCTCCCTCTCTCTTCCCTAGAGAAGCCTGCCAACCCCGCGCTGAGGAGGGGCAGTCTTGCGAGAGCCCTCTCAACAACCGCATTCCACAGCCGGTCCTTCGACACGGCAGGAAAGCGGACCCGAGGGAGGCCTCGGTGCCGCTGGAAGTCGGCGTACGTTCACAAGACTCACGGCCACAGAGCCCTCGCCAGCGATGCCCAGAATGGCTGCCTTCCTGCCCTTGGGCACCTGCCCTCTCCAGCAAGTGGACAGAGCTTCGACGTGCACCTATGTGAACAGGGCAGCCAATCACAGCGCCTCCAGTCACTGGCCAAGATGCATGGCCTTGCTGACCATGACCACAGGCTTTTCCACGGGTGAACGGAGACCATAGACTCCACCTCACAGGGCCGCCAGGTATAAGAAATACGAGAATGCTGATAGTGTGCTCACCACACCACCTGACTGTTCTGGAAGATCGAGCTCTGCCATGAGGCTCAAGAAACCAGAAAGAAGCTGAACTGAAAGCCCAGGAAAGGCCTTGTCAGTGAGGGGAAAGGGAGGCTCTGAAGTGGCTCCAGCAAGCACACTCACTGACACGACCCCTGGACATGTGTCTGCAGAACACAGAGCCTGGTGGGGGGGGAGCAGAGGCCTAGAAGACGGTTCAGAGCAGCCCCACCACCCCCCAGCCTCGTCTCTGCCCCAATCACACAGACTCTTGCCCCCCCCCCCCCCGCCACAGTCAGCATGTCAAGTGGGACAGTGACCGTGAAGCCCTTTGCATGGCTCCCTGCTCTGAGTGTAGATTCTCTGATGAGTCGGTGATGACGACTGTGACCGCGGACCTCACTCCCTGTACGAGTCAGTCACCCCTGGCTGAGGCACCCTCCTGTCACACCTGCCACCCGCCCTCCCCATCCTACACAGCCCGAGGCCCAGAGTACCTGCGGCTGGGACGGCGGCAGAGGGGCCTGCATCTGCACCTTCCCGGGCCCCGGGCTGAGCAGGGTTGGCTGTGCGGGCTGCGATAGCACAGGCAGCTGGCCGGCGGCAGGGGTGGGGAGGGGGGCGTTGGGCTGCTGGGCCTTCGCGGGGATATGCAGCTGTGTCGGTGGCTCCCCCATGGGTGGCTGTGGCGGGAACTGCAGCGCAGGCGGCAGGGGCACAGCTGGGAGGCCAGCCGGGGGCAGCCTGCTAGGTAGTGGCGGCGGCGGCGTGTGCAGGCTGGCGGCGTTCTGCACCGGAGGTCCGGTGGACGGGTCGTACTGCTGCTGGCTTTGCTTCTGTCCGGCCAGCTGGGCAGCCTGGGGGGCGGGAGGCATCCCTCCTGCAAGACAGTGAAGGCCCCACCGGAACTGACTCCGGAGCTCGGAAGTGTCAACGATGAGCCAGACATCACTCCCAGGGCTTGTCACAGACCTGTCCCTCTAAACCATCGCACATGCAAATGGGACGTTTCACTGGTGGGGAATCTGAGTTACATCAGATCTAATGTTATAACTGAGCACATAAAAAAGAACAGAAGGAGCTGGACCTTTGCGAGTTAGCACCAAGCAGGACAGCATCGAGTAACCACAGGGGTCCCTACCGTGGCAGCAACTACACAAACACAGGAGTGGAGACTGGAGAGAAGCCCAAGGACAAGGCTGTGAGTGGCTCGTTAAAGGGACAAGAACTAGCCTCCGGGGGGGGGGTCTTCATCCTGCACTAACTGAGGCTCAACACCCCAATTTCAGGAGCCACTTCAACCGCGCCAGCTCGACGGCACGTGCTTTAGTCTGCCGCAGGTTCTAGGCCTCTCTGCACTCTCCTTCTGAGCTACAGGAGCTGGTTCTGGCGCTGGGTCTTACCTTGAACTGTCGGCATTAACTGCTGGAGAGGAACTCCTGCATTCACCCCTGGGTGCTGGAAAACTACCCCTTGGTGACCCACTTCAAGTCGAGGTCGCTTAGACTGCTCTAGAATAATTTTCAGAAAAGGTGCAGTTTGATGTAAAATAAAACCACAGAAGTTGTAGAAAAAAACATGTGTGTTTTTATAGTATTTGAACGGGGGAGGGGCCTTTCTATGCATGAACCAAAATCCAGAAGCCATAAAAAATAAAATTGATAAATACTTCTTTTCATTAAAAATTGGCAAATATAAGGAAAAGCATTTTAAAAAGGCAAAGGACAAGCGACAACCGGAGAGACAATGTTTGCGACACACATGACGGGCACACGGCTGGTTTACTCGGCGCTCAGAGAGCCCCCACGGTGACATGCAGAGCACGGGACCGGACGGACGACGTGGGCAGGGAAACCGGCTGGCAGGGGGGGAGCCGCGGCAGTTCATTCACAGGAGAGGTTCTGAGCAACCTTTTCAAAATTAACTCATATCGAGGCAAGAGATTTAACATTCACCCATCAGATCCACAAAGGCTGAAAGACTGGTCATAATAAAATGGCCCAAACACGCGAGAAGCAGGAGCTCTCGACGGGAGCGGACCGTGGCCCAGCCCCTGGAGGGCCACTGAATGCTGCCAGCAGCTAAGTGCTAGCTGCTGACGCGGCAGTTTCATTGCCCGAGTTTTTCCTTAACACCCACCGACACACACGGTGGGAAAAATGTAAGGGAGTGTTCAACGCTGTTTGGATTACAACAGAGACAGGTGGTGAAAACAAGTGAACACTGACCACCGTCTGAAGAATAACGGAGGAACCACCTGCACAATGGGATACCATGCAGCCATCAAAAAGCACGAGGCCCGTGGGTGGAAAAGATGGCCCAGTAAGTCAGTATCAAAGACAGACAACAGTGTAGCCCTGGCTGGTGTGGCTCAGCGGATTGAGCACTGGCCTATAAACCAAAAGGTCGCTGGTTCAGTTCCTGGTCAGGGCACATGCCTGGGTTGTAGGCCAGGTCTCCAGTTGGGGGCGTGCGAGAGGCAACCAATCAATGGTTGGTTCTGTCCCTCTCTTCCTCCCTCCGTCCCTCCCTCCCCTCTCTCTAAAATAAAATAAAATCTTAAAAAAGAGAAAAAAGACAGCAGTGCCCGTGTGGCCACAGCAAAAGGAAAGAACGACCCATGTCCCGAAGCTTGTGTGGATGGAGCGTGGAAACGCACAGAGGTCCCCAGCAGCTGCCTCTGTGGCAGGACACGGGCAGGAAGTGCCAGACCCGAGGTAGGTCAAGTGACCCCTTCTGAGCTGTCGAAAAATTTCCCATAAAACGTACTAAGTCCGTAGTTTGAAGAAAACAACCAGCCCGAGAGAACTAAAGGCGGGCGAAGGTCTGACACCACCGCTGGGGGGGGGGGGGGACGATGACGAGAGGAGCCGGAGGCGCACCGAGGCCTGCAGCGCCGCCTGCCGCTCCACAGGAACACCAGCCCGAGGACAGCCAGCGTTCAAAGTGGAAGCGAATCAGACTCAGCCCCCCAGCCCCCCAGCCCCCCCACTCTAGAAGCCTGTGGCCCCTGAGCAGCGGGCCCTGCTGAGGAGCGAGGAGCACACTGGCTCCTGGGTCTGAGACGTACCTGCCGGGGGCCCTGCCGCCTGCCTCTTAAAGGGGTCCGTTTCTGCTGCACTTCCAGCCCCTGCCACCAGGGTCCCCGCGAGGGCTTGCTGCTGAAAAACAAGGAAAGAATCAGGCTTGGGCCATTTAAGTGCATTGCAACAACAGACAAAACTACCACAACTGCCCCAACCACTGACCTCATTCCATTTTAATAAGAATTATCTACCAATGTACTTAAATATACATATGCAATGTATATTTCTACATAGTAAATAATTCAAAGTTCTAACTTACCTCTGGAAACAAGAAAGGACTTGTAAAAGGTCAGTCATTCTGGTTTTAAAAGGACTGCAAAGCAGTGCGAGCCCACAGCCCCCCTGGCGGGAGCCGGCCTATACGCTGAGGGGCAGGAGTCTGAGACAGACTCCCGCCCCGCCTCCCCGGCCAGCCTCCCCGCCTGTCATCGCTCGCCCCCAACACAAAAGCTGAACAAGGAAAAAGACTGGAACTGTTTTCCTACAGGAAAATGACACTAAAACCCCAGTTAACAAGTCTGATTCACTTGAATCTTCCAAAAGGTGCAGGGCACACTCGGCATGTGAAGCGGGGTCACTGAGTCACTGACTCTGACTGTCTGAGCGAGACGCCACTGGCCGAGGTGGGGCTGCGTGGGGGCACTGCACCTCCCTCATCTGCACCACCCCTGCGGCGGCACGTTAAACGCCAAGGGTGATGTCCCACAGCTGCGAATGGCTCGTTTCTTTATTCAACGACAACTACTCTATTTAGTAAGGCATTTTAAATGCAAAAGTCGCAACTGCCTAATGAAGTCGCTGTTCCATGTGGGGGCTGCTGACCCTGCAGCGTGAGGAGGGGACACAACACAGCCAGTCGCAGCCAGGCTGCGGGGCCACTGCCTCCCCTGGGGACAGGCTCAGAGTGCCTGAAGGGGTGAGTAAGCACCCAGTTACAGTTAAGGAAGATGGGGGACAGGGAGGGAGGGAGGGAGGGAAGGAAGGGCAGAGGATAAGAATGAGTTGAAAAACAGATGATATGTGAACAGTGGTTATCTCTTGGGAAAGAACTACAAGGAATTTATCATCTGTGTGTGTGTGCACTTTTCTAAGTTCCCCAGACATTTCACAGTGAACGTGTGTTACTTATAAAATCAGAAAAAGGTTTTAAATACAGAAACTGAGGAAGGGCTCTGTACCCAGTAACGGGCAAGTGTGTGCTACTGGACCAAATGCACCCCAGATACACCAACTCCAGAGGAACAGAAACCCGGCCCCAGGGGCGTGAGGGCCCATCTGTGCCCCCGGGACCAGCTCGGCCCAGACACCCAGCCTCCTGTCTGCGAGCACAGGACGGTGCGGGAGGCCAGCAGTGTGGAAAGGGACTCTCTCTCCATCAGCGCCACCGCCCCGGAACCTTGCAGACACCGAGGCCTGAGCACAGCTGCGCTTCTTCCCGTGCAGACGCGCGGCTGCCGTGAGAGAAGTGCAGTCCACACGCCCCAGACTCCCTGCAGCCGCCAGTCACCGCACTGGAAGCCCAAGTCAAAAGCACTCCGAAACACAGCCACGAGGAGACACAGGCCACACTCTGAAAACCACTGAGGGGCACAAGCCGACCGCCCAGAGCCGGGAACCGCGGTGAGGATTTGCTGGGGTTCTAAGGAGTATGTTTGGGAGAGAAGGAAAATACATCATCGTGAGGGACAGAAATAATGAACTGTTCAAACAGGAAACCCAGCGGTAATCCTAGAACCGAGAACTAAAACATCAGAAATAAAAAATGCACCAGAAGGCTGAGGAGCAGCGTGGGGTGCAGGCCGGTGAGCTGGGACAGAGCCTGGGTCTGGGGCGCTGGGGCCGTGCTCACCGGGACGCCCTGCTGCTCATCAGCGAACAGAGACGCACAAGGAGCCAGGCGGGGGCCGCAGTGACCGCCACCATCACCCTACTTGCTGCAGGCTGGGAGCAACCCGAGGGAGTGCGAAGCCTGCCCGACAACATGGTGCTGGAAGACAGAAGACCTGGGTGAAAAGACCGACGCGCTGGACTTCTCATCACACACGGAGGGGAAAGGCCGACTCCCTGCTCCTGACACCTCTGCACCGCCTCCCACGCCCGGTTCTCAGCATGACCTTCAGTTTCTCTCACACCACGTTCACGACGATTTTATCAGGAAACCTACTGCGGGCTTTAAAATACAAACGATTTTAACTACCAGTCACGTGTCAGAACTGAAATAAGAAACAAATTCTCATGGAGAAAAGGGAAGCCCTTGGACAGGAACTGGACTGTGGCTGCTGCCCACGTTAACATCAGAACAGACTCTACCCATCGAGAACAGCAGGGCTCCTGGGGGGTCCGGACAGCGCAGAGAAAAGAGCACTGGAAGGCCTGGGAGAGGCGGGAGCACCCTCCCCTGCCCCAAGACACAGGCTCCCCCGAGCTGCAGGGGCAGTGACCGGGGCTGAATTTCTGCCTGATCTGAACGAGCAGACAAAGCGCACACTGAGAGAGCAAGATGGTGCCTTTCCCAAGCCCCTCACCAGGACTGACAGCCACGGACGGACAGGACTCGAGGCTAGATGACCCCCGGCAAACCCGGGAACAGAGAGGAAAGCACTTTCTCCCAGGACGAGAGTGTGTCCACTGAAACCAGGTGTGCCGCCACTTCATACCTGCAAACTTTCACCTAGAGCACATATGAGCACGTGTGTCAGAATGAAGGGCAATGGCTGGGGTGGGGCTACGGAACTAGGAGTGTTCATTTTCCCTCACATCAGAGTCATTAAAAAATGATCTCCAATGAGGAAGGTTTTTCAGATCTAAATAACTGTAACAAAAGTGTTACTTTGCATACAGTAACCACACTCCAGAATGCCCCTCAAACCTGGGAAGCAGAAAGAGGGCAATCCTCTCGGTTCACTTCCAGAGCTTAACTAGCAACAGACTAACTTATGATAAAAATCCTGTAATTGACTGCAAATAACAAAACTCAGCCTGAGACTAGGTCTTAAACTCTGGAGAACTCCTAACAGTGCGGCAAGACCCCACTAACACTGGATGCGCTCGCGTGTTTCAAGTGACACCGTTAGCCGTCACTAAGTGACGCCCCGGGCCGCACACCAGCTGCGGACTTCCCCACGCACGGCGGCTGCTCCTGGGTGTTAACCAGGTGGAGCAGACAGAACCTCAAATCGGAAGTGGTGCCAGTGAGCCCTGGGGGCGGCTAGAGTGGGAGTCCGAGTGAGTGGGCCGTGCAGACAGGGTGCTGCAGGGAGTGCTGCGTGAGCGCAGGTGTGAGCGCACCGCGCCGCCCGGCACCTACTCATGTGACACAAAAGCCTGTGAACGTGGTCATTAGGGCTGTGAACCCACAGGCCAAACGGCCCTTTTCTCTGACGGAAGCGGCAAGTGGTCCCCTCCCTAGACAGACGTTGGGGGGGCCATCACACACAGCTCTGCTGCCCTTGCCAGACGCTCCGGGGCCTGTGGGGGCAGACAGGGGCCATGTGCATCCCACACCGAGCCCTCCGGGTCGATTTCTGGGTTTCATGCGGACACATAAATTGGTCAATATAAAAATTCTACAACAGGTTGTAAATGAGAAAACTCATGCTGAGATTTTTCTAATAGAAAAAACAAAGGGTGTTCTTCCTTTCAACCCATTACGAGAGACTCCCCATTTCCCATTTCCTGAGACATCCATTCGGGGTTGCTTGGGAAACCTGCAATTCACAGGGACACTTCTCAGTTTTCCTTTTAGTCTCCTAAAGACTTTTCACTATGACACACATCCTACACACAAAAGATATTAACACAGACATGCAATTTTGAAAGCACAGGAAACGTTAATCTGGATTTAGGGGGAAGTGGGTGTTCACTGAACACTCCAGCTTTCTCTCTGTTGGAAGTTTTCCGCAGTGAAGCGCTGAGGGGACGTGGGAAGCCTCGTCTGCACAGCTGCAGACGGCAGCCCTGCAGGGATCACTCAGGGAGGCATCCCCGGGCTCAGCGAACAACCTGCGCAGCAGGCAGCGGGCCTGGGGGCACGTCCTGCAGCGCCCGCACCTGCGGCGCCAGCTCCACACCACATTGGTCGGTTCTGCTTCCTGGTGAGCTGTCCCTGACAAATTCTGCACCTGTCTTCTGGAAGCCCAGGGGTGGCACAGGGCACCGTGGAGACCAGCTTTCACGCAGGGCCCTGAGCTGTGAATGGCAACCCCGCTGGCATTCCCGTGGAGGGTGCATGGCCGTGGGTGTGCAGCGCCGCCGGTGGACATCTCGTTCTTTCCAGTGGGGGGCTTCCACAGACAATGCTGCCGGAACATCACTGTTCCAGTTCTGGCGCACAAACCCGGGAGTTGCTCTGACAGCACCTGCCGGCCGAAGGGTCTGCCCACGCTCCCCTCCTCCACACCACGTCTCCACACTCACCGGGGGGCAGTGGAGGGGCACCCCCATCCCACTGTCGCACCAGATTCTACCCAGCGTAGTTCTCGGCCCTCTGGTGAGTGTGACAGGGAGTCGCCGCGGAGACTGCACACCCTGCCAGCCTGCAGGCCCTCCTCGCGTCTACTGCCCCAGGGTCCCAGTGCCGATCCCTCCCAGAGTGGCCCGCACGCCCACCCGTGTGGTGCACCCCTCTGCACACTCCCAGGGGAGGTGCCCAGGAGTCAACACTCTGACAGCCTCCAAGTCAGCAGCTCTTCCACTGTATCAAATTCACAAGAGGAGTCCCTGAGCCCTGGGTTCCGATTAGTTCTTCCCACCAGCAGGAGGCAGGCTGCTTGCTCCTTGTGCACAATGGGCCCGAACCCACTGGGTCCCACAGGCACTCGTCACACTCAAGACGCATGTATTCCCTGCTCACAAACCTCAATCCGCATGACTCACCACGTTCACAGACCCAAGTAGAAAAACATCACAAGGTCACGGGAACAGATTCGGAAACAGCATTTGACAACACTCAACACCCGCTCATGATAAATAATGGGATTCAAGGAAGTTCCTTAACCTGCAGAATCTACCGCTGACCTCAGGCCCAGTGGGAAGGAGGCAACGCTTTCCTGGCACAGACTGGGAAGAAGGTGAGGTCTGTTCCCACCACTCCCACTCTGGTCTCTGCCCGTGCAATACAGCAAGATAAGAAAATAACCACACAGATAGGGAAAACGTGGTAAGTCTTGCTTTCTTTGCAGACATGATTCTCTCTGTGCAAGAGCCCATGAAACCTACCAAAAAAGATCCTGAAACTAATACATGAGTTTAGCAAGGCTGCAGAACACAGGTTCAAATAATCAACTGCACTCCTATATACCTGCAATGGACAAGTAAAGTTTTTAAGTGTAAGCACCAAGCACGATGCCACAGAAAAACTAGAGTCCCCGAGTATGAATCTAAAACACACACAGGACTGGAGCTGAACACCACACCACGGGGAAGGGGGAGAACAGAGAGGCCCACAGCAACTGGACAGATGCGCCCCGTTCCGGCTGGGAGATGCCACGCTGGTCAGCGGACTCGGTGCCATCCCAGTCAAAACGCTGGCAGGAGGGCGTGTGGACGTCAAAAAGGGTCAGGAACTAGAGCCACCAAAACCATTTCGGAAGGACACAGTCGAAGAGCGCACGCGCTCCGACCCCGAGCCCCACCGCACCGCCCCGGCAGTCAGGGACAGCGCGGCAGCGGCACCGGCGCAGCCGAGCAGAGGGGGGGTCTGGAAACAGGTGCACGCGGGTGGACGGGCCCCTGGCACACACACAAAGCCACCTGGTGTGCTGACCTGTCCAGCACAGTCCTTTTTCGTGGTGCTGGGTCTCCCGGATACTGATGTGCAAAGAAATGAACTCAATGAACTCATGCTCACCGTGAGTTCACTCATTACAGAAAACTTCACTCACAATGAATCACTGAACAAAACGTAAAACGTGAATCTACATCACTTCTAGAAGAAAATACAGGAGAAAATATCTATGACCTTGGGTTGGACAAAGTGGTTCAACATGATGTCAAAAGCACAATCCATAAAAAAAAAAATTTAAACATATATCAAAACTTAATGCTTGCTCGGTAAAAATAGTATAAAAGATAAACCATAAAACAAAAAAATTGCAAATTTATATCTGACAAAAATCATATCCAGATTATTGTGCCACAATAAAACAAATGATGCAACGAAAAAGATGGGTGGAAGCCCTGGCTGGCAGGGCTCAGTGGACTGAGTGTGGCCTGTGAGCCAAAGGGTCACCAGCTCAATTCCCAATCAGGGCACACGCCTGGGTTGTGGGCCAGATCCCCAGCAGGGGGCACAAAAGAGGCAACCACATGTTGATGTTTCTTTCCCTGTCTCCCTCCTTTCCCCCTCTCTAAAAATAAATAAATAAAATCTTTAAAAAGATGAAGATGGGTGAAAGAAAGGAACAGATACTTCCCCGAAGAAGATACACAAACGTCAAATGAATACATGAAGACGCACGCATCACCATTAGTTTTCAGAGCCACGCAACTGAACACCCTGCATCAGTGTCAGGACGGTGACACGAGAACCGAGCCCACAGCCCCGAGCACCGGGGACAGGCGGGCGGCTCCTCCACGACACAGCGCAGCAGCCTATCCCCCGGCATCCGCCAGATGAAGTTCAGGCCTGCGTCCGCACGAAAACCTGTGTGGGCACTCGCTGCAACTTCACCCCTACGTGGCGAAAGCTGGAGGCAACCCGACTGTCCTTCCAAGGCGACAGGACCCAGGAGCAGCCCTGGGCAAGACCGAAACAGTCCGCTGGCGCATGCAGGCGCACGGAGTCTCCCTGGTGCGCTGTGCAAACAGCCGGCGGGCAGAATGGGAGGCAACGCCGGAACAGTTCCGTTGCACCTCGTCCCGGAGAAGGCAGAACCGCAGAGGTGCAGACGGAGGGCAGGGGAGGGCGAGACCCGGCCGCACTCCCGAGGCACAGGAGGGAGCGCTCAGGGGACGACAGAGCTCCTCTGCCCCCGCGGTCACTCCACTCTCCGTGCCTATCAGGACGCCAGGACTCCCAGCCAGAAAGAGTCAATGCTGCCGGGTAAGCGCAGGTGAACGAGAGAATAAACAGGGTTAGCGGCCTGTTATAACCACTAATGGAAGTAAGAATCCACACACAAATACGTAAACTGAAGAGAAAGCGCGCCATCACAGCCGAATGCCAACTGACAGGTGTGAAAGGCTCCACGGAGTCAGAACACCCACCCTGCAGTCTCCAACAAGATCGGATGACGATGGCTGAAAGTTTAACAGACACTAGATGCTTGTATGTGGCCTCAAAGTATCTTCCCCAATTTATCTTATCATTTACCCAAAGAAAAAGAATGACCTTCCACTGAAAAGCCACGTGGCCCAGTGACGGGACACGCCGGCGTCACGGCCTCCTCACATGGCCCCAAGCCGGCCCCAGCGTCCCTCCTGGGGAATCTCTCAAAAAGGCACCGCCACACCAGACACGAGGCCATGTCAGACAAGCCCACGTCACGGCGCACGCTGGCAGTGACTGGCCGGGACCCCTCACACACAGGAAGGCCCTGAGAGACTGGGGAGCCGGCCCCGATGGAGGAAGATGGGGACCCCAACTGCAGGAGAAAGCACAGAGGACGCGTCTGCAACAGAGGCAACAGCTGCCGAGTCGCAGCCGAGTCACTGAACTGCCTCGCACCAAACCCTCCCGACCACGGACGCCGCGCCGCGGCCCCGCGGAGCATCTCGGGGTAAAAGTGCGCACCACGTCCTCTCCAGCAGCTCAGGGGGCGGGTGTGTGTGTGTGTGTGTGTGTGTGTGTGTGTGTACACGACAGAGAGGATGAAGGTGATGCAAACGGCAGAAAGTTAGCAACGGGGACACTTGGGTAAGGGAGGCAAGGGGAGCTCTTTGTACAATTACTGCAGCTTTTACACAGGTATGAAACTGTGTCAAATTTAAAAGTAAAAATAACATTGTAATAACTATGTATGGTATATGAGGTGAGTGCTGGACTTACCAAGTTAGTCACTTTATAAGTTATATAAATGTCTAATTGCTATGTTACGCACCTGAAACTAGTGTGTCAACTATAGTGAAAAATTAAAAACTTATTTAAAAATGTTAAAAATATAAAATTCTTAAAAACTTATCACAAGATGAAACTGTGTTCAGAACCCAGCACAATCTACTCCAAAACTACTAGAATCGGGCTATATGCTTTTTTAGGCCTTTGGTATTATTAATGGGACAGTGGGTGACTTGCTTTCTAAACACGTAAAAAAAACCAGTCTGCGCTCGCTAACATCCACGCAGGAGCCTGGGGCCCCGACGATTTCAGAGGTGTCACAACGGTGTGTCTTCAGCCACAGAAAACATCAAGTGACCATCTGCTTTAACCCTTCTCTTCCTGTTTCTGTCTTGCACTGTTCTCAGGAGCAGGGAGCAGACACAGAAGAACCCACATGGAACATAGCACACGCAGCGTCCTGGCGCACAGCGGGCAGGGCCACGAGGACTGGACGACATGCACACTAAAGCTACGGCTGCGGCACAGGTCCGCACAGGAGTGGTGTGTTAGCTCTGGGCTGCTGTTCACTCATGCAACTTAACTGGACAGTTCTATACGCAGCAGGACGACTTTTTTATTTTTAAAAATAAGGAATGGGCTCTGGAAAAAAATGCTAGGAGCAGATAGTAATTGAAGGATAAAATACCTGGATGAAGGGAAAGCTTGGGATGAGGCTACATTTGAGAACCATTGACAAGTACCTGAAATGGTTGCTGCTGGGATGAAAAAGCAGCAGAAACATTTGGCGGAAGCTGGGTTGCTATAGCAACGGGAGTACCAGTCTGCCCATCCTTTCCTGTCACAACCTTTACCTGAGAGGAAATATTTTGAGAAAAAAAGGCAACGTGATTTTTAAGACTGCTCAAAATCTTGTTAGCATTTTACTGCTGACGCCTCCCTGATGTTTGATGTTTAAAAACGGAACATGTTTGCATCAGACCCCATGAAGGGACGATGGACTCGTTCAAGGCAGATTCATAACATAACCACCTCACTCAACTGCAAATCTTGCAGGAACTCTAATTTCAGGCACAGGTGCAATACCCTCAGACTGCACAACCTCACACTATAGCAGTGGGGACGGCAGGCAGTCTCAGGACCACGGGCTGGACCACCGCCCAGGCGGCCTGCACAGCCTCTGTGGAGGTCGTCGGCCTGGAGAAGGTCTGCTCCAACGGGAAGTTGTAGACGGGACTCGCTGTTCTTCACGAGCACAGATACAGGGACTGAGTCTACAGACACCACCAGTGCACAAACATGAAAGGAACTCAGTTACACTATTTCAGAGGGGAAAGCCTCAAAATAATCACGTGACCCTGGAGAAAATAAAAATGGTCCGTCCTGGAAAGGGCGTTAAAAAAAACACAAAATGGCACAGCCACACAGACACGTCCGTGAATATCAATGAGGACGGCTGAGCAAAGAGACCAGTTTCTGTTCACCGAAGGCTGATTTCTTTGCAGGAAAAGAGTGACAGATGTCAGTCATTTCGGCCACCTCCTAAAACAAAGTCAGCCGCACCAACGGAGTGCACACCACACGACAAAGAGGCGCACGTACAGGGCACGACAGCCCACGTCCCTCTCGCTCTGCTGGGACCAGCTCCTCCTCAGGCAGTGCGCAGCCACGGGCCGGAGTCACACTGGTGTCGAGAAACCTCGGTTCGGGCATTTATTACGCACCCATTCCAGGCACCCCAAAATTTCACTATTTAAAAAAGATTCCACCTTAAATATCACTCACAGCTATTTGTCCAAGTGTGAGTTTAAAAAATAATCTCAAATCTAAGACTACATCTACAAGTCCTCAGTTTTTGCTGTACCTGTATTTTGATCATGAAGACACTGTCAATATCTATACTGACTTGCGTTTAAACCTTTTGTTTTAAAACTACATTCGTGGAGCTGCAATGGGTGGACCTACGTAAGTAAAATGTGCAAACCGGACGGAGAACCAGGCCGAAGGCGTGGGCCGGGGGAGTCGGGGCCGCCAGGGCGCCCCCCCGCAGACCCCGGCCGGCTGCAGCCGGAGGCCGCCTCTCCACCGGGGCAGAGCCCTTGCCCTCAGGGAAGGCACCTGCGCGGGCACCTGCCCCCAACTACTGCAGCGGCTCCTCCCTCCCTCCCAGGAAGGAAACAGCAAAAGGCCTTCCTGGGCGTGAGGAGCACCGGGGCTCGCAGACTCGCCTGTGCGCGCAGCTGCCTCGACTCCCCGCGCAGGGCAGCCCTCTTGTTAAGACACTGCTGTCCTCACCTCATCGTTGATGACCTCAGACTTTTCTTCCTCTTCCTCTTCTTCCTCCTCTTCCTCCTCCAGGTCCAGATCATTCTGCCTAAGATAAGCTTGTAAAGGGGCGTAGTGCTTCTTCCTGAAAGCCAGGAAGTCCATCATGTTCCCCTGCAGGTGTTGCAGGAAGAAGAGCTCGATCAGGTACTCCTTGAAGGCCTCCCGCAGCGCCTCCATCTCCCGGTGGTGAGAGTCCAGGCACTGCTTCCGCATCTGGGCCAGCTCTGGGGAGGCCGGGGGGATCTCCTCCAGCTTCCTGGGCACCTTCCTGTTGCCCGTGCATGGGAGGGGCAGGCTGGAGAGGCCGGGGGGCACTACAGTCCTGGAAGGGCTGCTGGGGGGCGGTGGGGATGTCATCCCGAACGCTGCTGCCCCCCCGACCCCGGGCAGCAGAGGTCGGGTGAGTGGCGGCCCCTGCAGCCCCTGCTGCTGCTGCTGGACCAGCTGCCCCTGGATGATGCTGCTGATCTGGGGCGGCAGGCTGGCTGTGGTGATATGGCTGGGGCTGGCCAGGGGCGGCAAGCCAGCCCCACCCGAGGCTGCAGGGCTCTGGGGTCCCAGGTGGTGCACAGTGCCCCCGGGCTGTGCATGGGGCTGGGACAGTCTCCGTTCTCGCGCTGCGATGGGAGCCCCCGCGTGCTGCAGCGAGACGGGCGCTCCCTGGGCCACCGGGGCGAGGCCTGAGCCCTCCTGGAACACGAAGTGCCCGCCCGCGGACGGGCTCAGGCTGATCTGCCTCACCAGGACGCTGGCGTCCACGAAGCCTCCGGTGGGGCTGCTGCTGCAGAGGCCCAGGCCGGGCCCGGGGGTGCCCGCCCGAACGCTCTGCAGGCCCGGCCCCGGCCCGGGGCTGGGCTGGGTGGGGCTCTGGGTCTGCACCTGCTGGGACAGTGGTGAGGTGACCTGGATGTAGGATGGTGATCCGTGCTCAAAGCGCCTTGGCTGGGCACTAAACTGGAAGCCCGGAGAGGTGGGGCTGGGGAGCGGCAGTGGGGCCAGTGTGAGCGGGGGGTTCCCTGCCACCACCGGCCCCACATTCTGCAGGGTGAGGTTCACGTTCGGCCCAGCCGCAGGGCTCCTGCTCATGAGCTGCTGAACCTGGTACCCGGGTGACTGAGGTGCAGACGGGCTGGCCGAGGGCGCGAAGGGCGCGGCAGGGGATGGGGGTGGGTTTGGGTGGGCCTGCTGCTCTTCTTCACTGCTGGCGAAGGCCCGGGACCTCTGCAGCTGGTGCTGGACATTCGGAGGGCCACCGCCGTGGTGCATTATCGCCCCCCTTTTTTATCCAACTTAATGTTCTCCTGAAAAATCAAAGTTAAAATCAAGTTACTTAAAGGCAGACACAAGCATCTGATCACCCCTTCTTGCGAGCACCACTTGGCAGCACTGGAGGAGACACGGGACAATCCGTCCCCCCGGCAGCGGTGCAGAGGACAGCCTCACCGATCCGCATCGAGCTGCGTGCTCGGCCACACCGCCCGTGGTCGGCCTCCTTCGCACACACGAGAGACAGGCCCTGCTGGGCTCTGCTGTGCCCAGGGCCAAAGCACGGCCTGGCAGGAGGTGTGGGAAGCTAACCAGCTACCTGGGAAGGTAATAAGCATCGCCGCTCAAGGCCAAGCAGGATGTGACTTCGGTCTGGCACTCGTGACCAGCGTGTGGTCTTCGGGGACACTTCTCCCTGCATGGAGGTCTTTCTGAGTTCCCACGTGCTGTAGACTGTGTGCCTGTCTCTCCCCGTGCAGGGACAGACTGCACAAGCAACCCCTTGTCGCCAGACAGCAGTTCCCACGAGTGCCTGAGCTACCTCACGGCTGCACTGTTAACCGAAAGCACACACGGCCCCCAGGATGTCACACCCTGTGCTCTTCGGAAAGAGCCCAGCCTGTCACAGGTGCGTACGGAGGGGACTGCCAACAACGAAACTCTCCCAGGGGAAAGGGAATGGCCAGAGAGACCACCATGTCCTGGAACTCCGAGAACCGGTGCGGCAGCTTCCGAGGGGCTCCCGGCCCCAGCCTGCTCAGTTCACAGGGCTGGAGAGAGGGTGGGGGGTGGACGGGACTGCTCGGCCTTCAGGACAGGAGCCATCAGAGGACGGCAGCAAGGGGCCTACTCTGAGCCGAGTGGGGACCACGTTCCCAAGACAGATGTGGCTAGAGTCCAGGTGTCCACTGGAAAACAGGATGACCACAGCCCCTCAGGCCGTCTTTCCCCGCTGTGCTGGGTCACAGGCTGAAAAATGTCCCCCCACCATTTTAAACCCTCAGTATTAACAGACACACCAGCTGCCCGCTGATGGTGTTGCTTCACCGCCTCCCTGAGACCGACGGCAGCGCCATCTCCTGTCCAAGGCACTGCCGCTTCCCAGAGACAGCGCGCCGGGGGGACGCCCACGCCAGGAATCGCAGAACCCGCAGAGGCGACACACGCGTGGGTGTGAGTGGCCCTGCTGTCCTGGACCCCTGGTGCAATGCACACGTGCCTGGAATCAGAAGCCATGGGTGACAGTTGCATGAGTCAGGGCTGAGGAGTAGGGAGGGTTGGCGCACACAGGACCCTCAGAGGAGCAGGTTTGCTCTGACGGCCGTCTCCAGTCGGCGGCAGAGTCAGGACCGCAGCAAGGAACGGCGGGTGCCGTCAGGCCCTCTGCCGCCGCTGCCCTCTAAGCAGAGAGCCCAGCCAGGCAGTGGCACTGGGGTGGGCGAGGCATGTGGGCACCCTCAGGCACCCCGAGGCACTTAACAACGGTCTCCGTCCCCATCTCTTCCAAGAACTGGATGGGAGTCAGTGTGGGAGTGGAACGCAGCAGACCACCGGGGCCGCCCCAGGGTCAGGAGCAGAGAGGGACTCTCGGACACAGTAACTCATGTAACTGGGTGGGGGGGGGGTTCTGGGGAAGCGTCTTATGATCACTGATCGACACATTAAGAAACTTTTGAGTTCTTCCCACAAATCATTCACCAAAATAAATGCATTTGTTTAAGCCAACATTCCGAGCTTTATACTAAATGAAAAGAACTCAAAGCAGAAAGACATAAAAAACACAAAAATAAATACTTACTAAAGCTCTGAATGAAGCTCTGCTTCCAGAACTTCAATAGGTCTATGGCCATACCACCCTAAACATGTCCAAACTTGCCTACAAACTTAAACGGTAAAGTCTTATCTGAAAAGATGGACTTGAAGACATAACTTAAAAATGTTTAAAACTCAAAAGTGATCAAAATCACAACCCAAATATGGCCCTGGCTGGTGTAGCTCAGTGGATTGAGCGCGGGCCTGGGAACCAAGCAACCACGGTTCGATTCCCAGTCAGGGCACATGCCTGGGTTGCAGGCCAGTTCCCATCAGGGGACTCACAAGAGGCAACCATACATTGATATTTCTCTCTCTCTCTCTCTCTCTCTCTCTCTCTCCTTCCCTTCCCCTCTAAAGATAAATTTAAAAATTTAATAAAAAAAAAAATCACAACCCAAATATGTTGGGAAGAACACCTGAAGTGACTGTAACAGAAAGTTTTTACTAGGAATACCAAAAGCACAGAAAGAAATTGAAAGAAAAATAAATTAAGGACAAAAGACAAAAACACCCACTTCACCAGCTTAGAGGACACCACCCAGCCTCACCGTGTACAACTCTCCCCAATGCACTGGGCCGAGTGGCGGACAGGACACCCCGGCTGGCGTGGGAGGCAGAGCAGAGACAGCCAGGGCTCAGGGCCTGCCATGTGCCCACCAGGGCACCCCCTCTCCTCTGCCCCCTCTGGAAATCTCTCGTAAGGACACTCACCTACCTATTTTTTTTAACTGTGCATAAAAACAGTCACTGAAGAATAATACAGTACAAGTAACAAATGTAACCAGAAAGCCCCGAAGATTAGGTTCTAGATGGATACTATGTAACGAAGAGCAGAGATATTTCAGATGAATTAGTAAGTGCGGAAAGCAGGGCACCAACCCCACCACACCGCCACCACTCTGCGAAAATGGAAACCAAAACCGCTGCTGGACAGCCACACAGGGGCAATGCTGCTGACACGCCCGCACCAGGAGGCACACAGCACACCAGGGCAGAGCCTGCCTCCGGCGCAGCGCCCTGCGGGTCACTAACACGACAGGCACAGCCACGGGGGTGGAGATTAGACAGAGCCTGCGGGCAGCGGGTGGGGTGCAGCTCACTCGAGAGAGGCAAGAGGGGATCTAGGGGTGAGGAACTGTTTCTAGACTTGATGTGTGATGCTGGTCACCACAGGGCGGTCGTCCGAATCACCAGAACCGTACACAGAAGTGTGAACTCCGCTCTGCGTGAACCCCACCTCACCTCTTTGGAGAAGCAGTGGGTTCTGGGGTTCCCCACCAGTGCCCGGGATGGCACAGACCCGGCTCAGCACCTGCGCCTGCAGCTGCTCTGAGGACGATATCAGCAAAGAGCACCCATGTCTGGGTGCTAGGAAAACCACTCTAAGTAAGAAAGAATCCCCTGGTTTCTGGCTGGTGTAGTTCAACGGACTGAGCGCCGGCCTGGGAACCAAAACACCGCTGCTTGGGTTCCCAGTCAGGGCACACGCCTGACGCGTTTCGGTCCAGTCCCCAGTACCAGGTGTGCTAGAGGCAACCATACATTGATGTTTCACTTCCTCTCCATCTCTCTCCTTTCCCCTCTCTCTAAAAGTAAATAAATAAGGTCTTTAAAAACAAGAAAAATAGACAAACAAGTAAGTAAATAAATAGCCCCCTGGGCCCTATTCTCAGGGCAGGCCCACGCGTGGGGAGGAAGGCACTGGAGACCTGCTCCTCCCCTTCTTCCCCTTCGACGGAGCAGGCGGCTCAGGTCTACCCCACACCAGCTCCCCCTTCCCGCTCTGCCCTTACATCCCCCCCACAGATCTGGCCTCTGGTGGGTCTGGGCACTTTGGGTAGTTAGTTCTGCAGATAAAGACCACCGGGCTGCACGGAAAGTGAGAGGTGAAGGGCAGGGGACGGGGCTCGGACAACGTGCACACAAATTCAGGGGGGAGGGCACAGGGTGGGGGAGGGGCTACGAAGAGCGTGCAGCTGCGTCTTCCGGTGGAAATCCCAGGACGCAGTTTGGCCGGGTCTTACAGCACATTCATGCCTCTGACCAGGAACCCAGCTCACAGAAACTTTACACCAAGAAAGGTGGCGTGCCCTGCGATGAACATCAACGACTCGATACACCCATGCAAAAAATGTGACACGTAACATGCGACAGGGCACGCTCTGACTTTTCTCTTACCTTTCTATGCTTCCCAAACTTGTCCTTAATTGGCGAGTTCCACAGTGCAGTGCTGGCGGCCAACTGCTCCTGGCTCTCCTGCCAGAAGCCACAGAGGTGTGCATTTCCCAGCCCTGCAGCTGGCGTGCGCACAGGCCCCGCCTTGGCGGTGAGCAACCACGCTGACTCCCTCCTGCTCTGGTAACACGGGAAGTTCTCACTGAACACTAGCGATCGCCTCTGTGACTTGAACCAAAATGACTTGAAACAGGCTCTACCGCAGGCTGACTGACGTTAACGAGAGTGAGGTTCCTACAGGGTCTCGTTGACGCGTCAAAGAAAGCACGTCATGTGGAGGAGCTGCTGCACAGGGAGCACGGAGACGAGGCCCAAGTAAGCAGCGCCACAGCGAGCCAACTGTGGGGGCGCACTGTGGGCACAACGCCCGCTGGCTGGGAGCCACTGACGCGGCATCTGGGGTGCACCTGTCATCTGAGGTGCACCTGGCTAAACGGCACACGAAGAGAGCGATACGTCACCGAGGGGACTCCGCACTTCCACCTAGCCCACCCCACAGACCCCAGTTATGATCCCTAAGAAACAAATGCCCTGCTTACACCTCTGTCCTGGCCTCCCTGCCACCCCTACAGCTCTCCTGGCTGGTGCAGCTCAGTGGACTGAGTGCCGGCCTGCAAACCAAAGGATCACGGCTTCGATTCCCTGTCAGGGCACAGGCCTGGGTTGCAGGCCAGGTCCCCAGTAGGGGGCGCACAAGAGGCAACCAAACATGGATGTTTCTTTCCCTCTCCTCATTCCCTTGCCCTCTCTAAAAATAAATAAAATCTTTTATAAAAAAAGAATATTACAACAACAAAGTCAGAGACTGACAAAAATTATTTGAAGCACATAACTACAAAAGGTTACCCATCCTTAATATGACAAGAATTCTCACAAATCAAGAGTCAGACCACCACGCGAGAAAAGAGGACGTAAGCAGGCAGTTCTGCGGGAAACACAGATGGAGAACATCAAAAGTGCTCAGCCCCGGCAAGGACGAGACCTGAAACAGAGGTCGACAGGCACCACGGGGCTCGGTCCAGCTGGGCGCGTGGGGCCGCCCCACATGGAAGCAAGTGAAGCCCACGGCGCCTTCTGGGGCGCAGCCTGGCATCACCTGTCGCTGTCCTAATGTGCACTGATCGGGGGCCTCCCCTCCAGGGATCCATCCAAGAACATGTGCACGTGTCCAAGGACGGACACCGCAATATTGGTAACATGAGACACCGTGGACGCCACGGACACGCTCCTGCAGGGGGTCCAGTGGAGTCTGGCAGGGCCACCCACAGGAGGCGCCACTGAGAAGAATGAGGAGACCCACATGTGCCCGCACGTGTGTCGAGCGAGGCCGAACATGTGTGCAGCACGTGTGCATACATGTTCGTGTGTGTCAAACAACATGCATGTAATCTGTCACTGAATGTCTTTACATGCACTAAAAGGAATGTCCTGCGGAGCATGGCTGTGCGCTGTCACAGGAGGGCCATGTGTGCTCAGCGAGCGATGCCAGCACAGCGCCTAGCCCTCCAGACACACTCGGTGAGCATGCGGGGACGGGTGTGTCAGCGCCCCAGGCTGAAGAGACAGAGAGCACAGGGCTCAGAGGCCAAAGGCGCCGTGTGGGCTGGACTGTCCCCATGTCGCCCTGAAGGGAGCGGCTGGCAGCCATGGGTGCCCTGGCTAACTTCAGACTTAAGACACCGTGTGTTGTCTGGCTTATTTCAGTCAGTATTTTTAAATCAGACGACGTCATACAAAATCTCAAGTTGTCAGCTTTGTTCATCAGGAAAATCCAAGTCTGGCCACCTCCTGCCCGGCAACAAGAAGCGGGAGCTGCTCAGACGCTCCAGGCTGCCCTGCCCACAGCGGTCCCCACCAGTCACAATGCCACCCCAGGCCACAGACAAGGCCTCGTGCTGCTGTCCCCAGGGAGCGGTGCTGAGCCACAACGAAAAGCCGTTTCGGGAAGGAGGAAGTCCCTTGTCCAAAGCACACACAGCAGCTGGGTCAGAGAGCCCCGAGCAGGCCCCGTGCCCCCACCATGGACACGGGAGACCCTCACAGATACGTCCAGCTGCATAAACCAGAACCAGACCTGGCCTCGGGGGCACCCCACCCCATCACCCGAGCGCCCTGTGCAAGGCTGCTCACCAGGAACAGACTCGGTGTCTGACGCCGCCCACTCCCAGCCTGTGTATATGAGACGGGACTTCCTGCAACAAAGGGCGGTAAAACCAGGAACTCCAGCACAAGACTTGACACTGAATTTTTGTAGCATATTAACTAGTAAATTCATCCCTGATAGTACAAGAAATGCAAATTAAAACTTAGCTGAGCCCTGGCTGGTGTGGCTCAGTTGGTTAGAGCGTCATCCCATAGACCAAAAGATCACAGGTTTGATTCCTGTCAGGGCACATACCCAGGTTGCACGTTCGATCCCCGGTCAGGGTGCATGTGAGAAGGCAACCAGCCGATGTTCCTGTCCCATCGATGTTTCTCTCTCTCTCACCCCCCTCCTCTTTCTCTAAAAGCAATGGAAAAAAATGTTCTCAGGTGAGGATAAAAAAATAAAAAATAAAACTTAGCTGAAATAACATTTCTCATCTACTAGACTTGACAAAAATTCAAAAGCTGGACAGCACACAGCTGGTAACCCTCGGCCCCACCCAGCAGACTGCACCCTGCAGACTGCACCCTGCAGACTGCACCCTGAACAGCCCGGACGGCCCCTGGGACGTGCCAACACGACAACACGGAGCGCAGTCGCCGTGGCGTCGGCTGCACGTGCGAAACACTGGAAGTGACCGGCAGCCCCTGCTCGGTGAGAGGTCACCAGTTCGATTCCCAGTCAGGGCACATGCCTGGGTTGCCGGCTCAGTCCCCAGTCGGGGGGAGTGCGAGAGGCCACCAATCGATGTTTCTCTCCCTCTCTTTCTCCCTCCCCGACCCTCCCTCTAAAGTTTTTTTTCTTTCAACCTCTGTGTACCTTTGAAATTTTCACAGTAAAATATTACAGGAAAAAATATTTTCTATATTACGTGGTAACACCAGAAGCTCAATGAATAAAGGGCTGAAACAGAAGTCCCATGTACTGACAAGGTGTCCATGCTGCTCCCACCTGGGTGTGAAGTCCCTAAACTGGCTCCTAAAATGCGTCAACTCAAAATCAGAAAAGCCAGGTTAACCAGTTTACAGCCGTCTAGGACTCACTCTTGTCGCTGCAGGGAGCTGGCCTGGCGGGTGCCGAAGTGCAACAGGTGAGCCCAGACTTGATGTCACCAGGGTCCCCTGAGTTTAACAGCCCGAGACGCCGAACCCCCGGCGGACAACTGAAGAAGTGCTTCTGCAGACACCACGTGACGGAGCTGCGACCCCCGGTTCATCGTCCTACTGTTTCTCAGTGTTCCCTCACCCCCCGGAGCGCGTGCAGGCATTTCTCCCCTGATCGTCCCGGGAAACCTTAACACCACGGTAGTGCCGTGTGTCTGTTCATGCACTGGGGTCCTTTGGGAGGCTGCAGACCACTGCCCTACCTGAGACAGTTTCACCCCCTGTGGGAGGTACTCGTGGGGAAGATGGGTTCCCGTGAACAGAAGCGGCCCACACAAGCAGACACCAGTCAGTGCTGGGGGCAGGTCAGGGAAGGAGGAAAGGGCGGAGGGGAACTCTGCCGCCCTCCGAGTGCTCCCCGCTGCTTGAGCACCACGTCATGAGAGCTATTCACTGGTGACCTGCATAAAAGCCTGCAACAATCCCAATGGCCGTCAGCAGGTGCATGGACGAACTGGCCTGTCCACACCCTGGGACACGACCCGGCAACGTAAAGGAACCAACCCCTGGCACACGCAGTAGCCCGGGTGAGTCTCAAAGGGGCTGTGCACAGGGGAAGAGGCCAGACTCAAAGGCTCCATCCACACCATGTTCCTCTTCCTGGCATCCCAGAGGGCACAGAGGTCAGCCGGTGCCAAGGGCTGCGGGGAGGGGCTGATTCAAGAGAGGAGGCAGGTGGAAACTGGGGTGAAAGAGCTGTTCTAAATCCTGCCACAGAAATCACACTCACGTCGAAATTCTCAGAATTCTACATACAAAAAGAGTAAGTACTGCTAGGTATAAGGTTTTTGTTTTATTTTACTTATTTTATTTATTTACTTTTAGAGAAAGGGGAAGAGAGAAACGTCCAAGGGTTGCCTCTTGAGCACCCCCTACTGGGGACCTGGCCCACACTGTGGGTCTGTGCCCCCAAGGAATTGCACGGGTGACCTTTCAGTTCACAGACTGGCACTCACCAGCCTGGGCTGTGTAAGTTCTATTATAGATAAGTAAAACAGCAAAGTGAGGGTGCACAAAGACCTTTCCTCTACTTGGAACACAGGCCCTGCCAGTGTCGCTCAGTGGAGACTGCAAACTGCAGACTGCAAACTGAAAGGCTGCTGGTTCAGTTCCTGGTCAGGGCACATGCCTAGGTGGTGGGCCAGGTCTCCAGCTGGGGGCTTGCAAGAGGCAATCACACACTGATGTTTCCCTCCCTCTCTTTCTATCCCCTCTTTCTAAAAGTAAATAAATGAAGTCTCTGTAAAACATCAGCCAGGCTGCTGCGTGGCACTGACTGCAGAGCAGCTCAAGGGAGCAGAGAGCAGCGAGCGGGTCGGGGGAGTCACCCAAGGGTGAGATGGCCGCAGGGGCTCAAGTGACAGCAGGGAGCAGTGGCCGGGTGTGAGGCCCAGTTTGAAGGTGCTGACAGCTGAAATTGAGGATGTGGAAGAAAGCGGGGTTCACCACGGTGTCCGACCCGAGCAGCTGGGAAGACAGAGATGCCTCCCATAGAGATGCAGAGGGGCATGAGAAGCAGGGGATGCACACCTAGGATGTACTGGCAGGAAGCCGACAGCGTGACAGAGGACAACGCGTCACCTGGCCACATAGACCCAAGAGGAGGTCTGAGGGCCGCCCAGCAACACTGCAGCACTTACAGGGAAAGGCGATGAGAAGGGACCAGCAAGGACACGGGGGAGTCAGCCAGCAAGGTCAAAGGAGAACAGCGCAGCTGGGTGCCCCAAGGCAGTGGTGCCTCGAGGAGGCCAGGCCGCCAGGTCGGAGGCTGCCCACAGGGGCAGGCGCCTGGCAGTGCGTGGCCTTAGGAGCCCGCAGGGGAGCCGCTCCAGAGGCGAGATGGGACCACAAGCTCAGCTGATGCTGGTTCCAGAGCAGTGGAAAGAGAGGACCTGGGGACTGGGGGTGCCGTTCTGGAGCAAAAGGAAGCCGTAGAGACCCAGGATGGGAAGCTGAAGACTGGAGAGAAAATGAGCTGAAGGCCTGGAGAAGGCATGGAAGGGGCGGGTCCAATACAAGAGGTTGAGTCCCTGACGGTCAGGGTCACCAACGGCAGGTACTGGGTTGCAGGGGTCCGGTCAGCAGCGGACCTGCGCTCCGCTCATCCACCACCCACCCCCGCAGCTCCGCCCCCCGTCCCTCCCCCACCGGCCTCCATCTTCCACAACACAGGGCCCTGGTGCCACCAAGGTTGGGGACCGCTGTTCCACAGGCCTCAATGGCCCTCGACCATGCTAGCGACAGCTTTTTAAAAGCACGTAAAATGACTTTATGCAACTGCCAACTATTGCCACAAAGCTGCACGGACACAAGAGGCCATGAAGAAATGTGTTCATCGTGCTCATCTTTGGGGGGCAGAGCGATGATCCCGGGGTGCTTTTAAATCACGGAGTCTACTTCACTTCCATCATCCCGACAGAGGGAGACTCGCCGGCCGGCGGCCCCTCCTCCTCGGCGGCGCGCTCACAGCTCGCTTCCCGCCCGCGCCCAGACTGGGGCCCCGACCCGCACCCGGGCCCACCGAGCCACCCGGCCGGGGCCACTTTTTCACTTTTTACTTTTTTTTTAAACTAGGGTTTTGAAATACGTTTTTCCACACTCCCCCCGCCACTCAGAGAGCGTTTTTAGCGGTCCCCCTAGGAAAATCACAAGCGTCGCTGTGTCCGTCGCCCGCCAGCTCCGGCCGAAAGGGCCGACAAAGAGAACAAAGCTACGCCAGGGCCCCGGGGGCGAGCGCGGAGCGCGGGCCGCTGCCGCGTCGTCCCCGCGCCCGCGGGACAAGGCCCGGCCGCTGGCGGCGAGCGAGGCCGTCCGGACGCCCGCCCGCAGGTGCCCCGCGTTGACAGGTGTCAAACCGTGGCCCGCGGGGACTCCCGCCGCCCGCCGAAGAGCTCGGGCGCCGACACCCGAATCAAAACACAGCGCCAGACGGCAGCGGACCCGTCGCGTGAGGACTCCGCGCGGCGCCCCGAGGACCGCCCGGCCCGGCCCGCGCTCCAGTCCCGGCGGCCGCGCCCCCGCGCCCGGCCCACCCGTCGCCGCGACGCACGCCCCCGAGGAGGCCGTGGGCCGCACGCCCCGTCCCCCCGACCCGGAACCGGGCCCGCGCGCAGGCCCGCCCACAGCCGCGGCGGCCGCGGCCTGCTCTCGGCGGCGCGCCCGGGGGAGGCGGCCGCGGCGGGCCCCTCGGCGCCGGCCCCTCGGCGCAGGCCCTCGGGGAGACCCCCGCCCGCGCCCCGCGCCGCCACCTACCCGGGGCCTGGGCCGCGCTCCCGCCGCGTCGGGCTGAATCGGGAGCCGGGAGCCGGGAACCGGCGGCTGAGGCGGAGGAGGCGCCGCTCCGCCGGACTCGGTGCGTCTGGGGCCGCGGGCGGAAAACGCGGCGGCGCGCCTGCTACGGCGAGCCGGAAGGGACGCGCGCCCGCGCCGCAGCTGCGCGGTGACGGCGGCGTGACGTCAGCGAGTGGGAGGTGCCTAGACGGCCGCGGGCGGGCGGGTGGGTGGGGCCGAGCCCAGCAGTCCAGTCGGGATTGGAGGGACACCGCGCGCTCCGTCGAAGGCGCACGGTCGGTGGGGTGAGAGCCCCGAGGCGGGAGCGACAAGAGAGCGGAGCGGGGCGGAGCAAAGGGAGTCCCCGCTCATAGCCACTGGGCTTTGAAACAAATGGGGAGGGGGGGGGGAGGAGGCGCCCACCCGTGAAAGAGGCACGCGGGAACCCCGACCTCGCTCCGCTCGCACGAGAGATCGCGACCGGATCGCAGGCCCAGGTGCCTCTGCTGGAACTAAGAAACGCAGGTGTCAAGCCTCACCACCTCGGTTCCTCAGAAGTTACACCAACAGTGTATAAGTAACAAGAAATGGATACATTGAACATCATTAAAATTAAACACTTGTGTGCTTCACTCGACACCATTGAGAAATGACAACCCACAGAATGAAAGTGTTTGCAAATCGTATACTGGATAAGGCACTTGTATCTAGAATAAAGACTTTACAACTCAATAAATAGACACTAATCTTTTTTTTTCCCGGGCAAAGAACTTGCAGACGTGCCTCGAAAAAGGTCTAATAAGGACATGAAACATGTTCAACACTCTCTGGGGCCAGAGAAATGCAAACGGAAAACTACAAGGAGATCCCACATCATCCACCAGGCTGGCTAGAATCAAGAAGTCGGACCAGTGTGGAGAAGGGTGTGGAGAAGCCGGGCCCCTCGTCACTGCTGATGGGAATGGCAGACATGCACTTTGGCAGATCCTCAAAATGTTAGAGTTAAGGAGAGCCATTCCTTAACAGGAATTCCACTCCTCAGTATTATACCCAAGATAATAAAAACCGTACCCACACAAAAACATACACAACAAACATTCTCAGTATTATTCATAGCAGACAGGGTTAGATAGAAATAATACAGATATCCATCATTCATTCATTGGTGAATGAATGAAATGTGGCACATCCAGATAATAAAAGTCAGCCAAAAAAGGGGAGGGGGTCAAATGCTGACACGTACTACATAGACTTTGAAAACATGTTCTGTGAAAGAAGCCAGAGAGGCTACATGTTGTATATGATTCTAATGTGCAGAATGTACAATATGTATGATAGAATAGTATGATTCTGATGTACAGAATGGGCAAGTCCACAGAGGTGGAAAGGTTAGTGGTTTCCAAGGGCTGCGGGGAGAGGATGGGGTCTACCTTGGGATGCGGGGTCTCCTTCTGGGGATGATGAAAACGTCGTGAAATTAGGTAGTGCCGATGTTTGCCCAACATTGTGAGTTTACTAACAAACGACTGAACTGTGCACTTTGAAAAGATGAGTTTTCTATTCCAATTAAGTTTACTTAAAAAAAAGAAATGCAGGCTAAGGCAATCAACTCCTCAGCAAAATGCAGGTGCAAATGCCCTCCCTGATATTAAACACCCTGAAAAATTTTACAAGAAAACTTGCTGTAGAAAGGAGACAAGAAAGGGGCAGCTGAAAGGGGACAAAATTAGTTGGTTAACAGAAAGGAGTGACTTCACATTTGTGAGTGCTGATGCCGCAATAGAGGTGTTAGAGGTCAAGACAAAAGGGGAGATGGGAAGTGATGTGGGGGGGGTGGGGCTGAGGGCACCTGCGGGCATTTGTGTCAGGTAGGAAAGTGGCCGCTCCCACAGCAACATCAGGCAGCAGGAGAGGAGTGCAGGCTTGGAGCAGATTCAAGAAGCTGGGGAGTTCAAGTCATGGCTTCTATTTGCTCATAAAGGGGAGTCGCAGCACATGTGCTGAGAAAGACAAGCCTTGGTGGGAGGGGTGAGGGCGGGGCCCCCAGTGCCGGGAGATGAAGCAATTTGAAATGGTGAGAATGAGTAAGATTGGAAAATCCTCTGAAGGTATCTCCCCAACCCCACGGTGCATGTGCATACACACAGATGTGCACACACCACATCACACACACACACACCCACATGCATGTTACCCATGTACGCACACATTATGTGTATATGCACATGGTTACACACATGTATCATGTGCATGCATGCACACACCACCTCCCCACCTGAAATCCTCTTGCAGCTTCTTCGGCAGACTTGCCGATGACCCACCTGCCCACACCAATCCCCTCTTTGCTAACAGGTCACTTAGTTCTGGGTTGGCACTGGGCGCCACTTCATAAAAAGCAGTTTCCAGCCTCCCTTGCAGCTAGACATGACAATGAAGGAAGTAAGCTGCCGGTGGGTCTCCTGGGAGAGCTCACACTAAGAGACATATTCAAATATGCCCCCCCTTCTGCCTGGACCATTAACAGTGGTGGGTAGATGTGACCAGGACAAAAGCCAGGTGCTGGAGAGCCAGATGGACAGAGGAAAGGCGCTCCTCCAGCCTGGGTACCACTATGCTGGGCCCAGCTGCCACCTGTTCTGTCCGTGACACCTGGTAGGCTTCCACTAAGCACAGCCAAGCCCCATCCCAGTGGCTTAAAGCCAAGTCCTGGAAAGATGCCCTGGCTGCACCACCTTCTCGGCCTCAACCCTCAGGGCCACTGGGAGTGTGTTCCACCCACTGCCACCCACGCCACACACTCACCAGGTCACCTATCCTGCACAGCACACAGAGCTCCTTTCAGCTCTCAGTGAAAGAAACAGAGACCAAGAGAAATGGAATGGCTAAGCAAAGTTTGTATTCATTTAGTAAGAAAATCATTTCTCTAAAAAAATAGTATCTTGACAGGCTGAGTTGGACAGAGTTCATGCTGAGCTGAAACATCTGTGGCACGATGTGGGTCTCAAGGTCCTGAGGTGACGAGGCCACATCTCGGCGAGGGATGCGGCCGAGTGCAGCAGCAGCAGCTCCTGGCGCACGCGTCTCCACGGGTGGCCCCCCGCCTCAGTCACTGTCTCCATCCCCTTCACTGCCTTCCTGGGGGCTGGGGACCTGCAGAGCCAGAGCAGACAAACAGCTTAGGAGGAGCAAGCTGCCCAGGTGTGGGTGCTTCCCCCCTGTGGAGGGGCTGCCTGTGGCACCCCAAGCCCCTTCCAACCTCCCCCTTCTGGAGTGAGGCAGGCATTAGTGCTCTGCCAGACTTTGTCTTAACCGACTCAAGAACGTGAAAGCCAGGGGCTGGGGACAAAGAGGTGCAGGGTCTTTACAGGCCTCCTCGAGATCTCCAGAGGATACAGTGACCTCAGCAAACCTGCAGTTGGGCTCTCCAAATGGACAGAGCAGGCCCCTCGACAGAGTGTGAAGGTAGCAAGCGGCCAGCAGCCTGCCAGATGGACTCAGGCGGTAGGCTTTCCCAGGCCAAAGCTGGACAGTCTCCACCCAGCCTCACGGCACTCGGGGAAATGAATAACCAACAACATTTAAGGAGTGAGGGGTTCACGTGAAATTCTGGAATACCAGTTTCTCTTGGAAGAGCGTAAGCGCTCCAACGTGGACATCAGTGGCAGTCTCCCCCGTAGACAAACGAGAGCTCCCGTTCGGCCCCGTCTCCACTGGTCCCGATTGCCTCCCTGGCCCTGGCCGACGTTCATTACCTGGCCTACCACCTGCTGTTCTGACACCTGCCTGCATGGACACGCGTTTACAACTCCAGGTGCGGAGGGCGGCAATGTTTCTCCGTGAGCCCAGGTCATGGGAAGATTCCCCCGAGTGCCAGGTGAGGATGCCACCCTCTGGGCACCCACTGCACCAGCAAGAGAGAGTGCATGCTAGCTGACCAGCACAGTCGGCCCAGGAACGTCCTAGTCACCTGGTCACCTCCATGTCACAAATGGAAATGCTGCAGAGCATGTCCCTGACTCCAGGTCACTAAGTGTGGGCTAGCGCTGGGCAGTGCATCAGGGTCACCAGGCACCCGGTCCAATACCCTGGTCCTGTTTCCCCAGCTGCTGTGTGACCTTGGGGGAGTGATGTGCCTCTCTGTGCCTTAGCTTGCTCATGTGTACAATGGGCACGATGACACCAGCACACAGCTGGTTAAAAGCTCAGCCACAGATGACACAATAGACAGACAAGAATTAGCCAAGCTCCTGGAAGGGGTCCCACCAGCCCTGTGGCCCCCACGGCCCCTGCCCCCAGCCCCACCTTGGCAGCGGGGCTGGCTGCTGCGTGGACAGTGGCGCTGAAGTCGTGTGAGGGCAAGGTGCTCAGCCACTGGGCCATGGACCTCTCATGGCGCTCGGTGCTGGTGATCGTGGGGTAGATGTGCTGCTCCTTGAAGGCCGCGGCCTCCGCCTCCTCCCGCGCCCAGTCCAGCGGCTCGTGCAGCCCGTCGCAGCCAAAGCGCCGGTTGTACGTCTCGAAGTGCACACGCTCCAGGACGAGGCCGAGCCCCGGCGCCTTGGGCACGTCCACCTTGGCCTCGCCCCAGCTGCGCTCCAGCACATCCTCAGGGGCGTAGCCCTTGACGATGGCCACCACCAGGCCCACCATCTTCCGGATCTGGTGCGTCATGAAGCTCTGCCCCTTCACCTTGATGACCGCAAACTCCATGCCGTCCCGCTCAAAGGGCTCCTCGCAGAACATGTCCAGGACGTAGCGCTGCGCGCTGGGCTCCCGGGGCCCCTTCTGCGAGGTGAAGTTGTGGAAGTTGTGGGTGCCCTTGTAGCAGGCCAGCAGCCGGTTCACCTGCCGCAGCGTCTCCGGGCTCAGCCGGTACGTCTCGTCCTGCACGTCGCGGTCCTTGTGCGCGAAGGCGAATGTGGGCAGCATGTACACATACGTCCTGGCGTCACACCTGTTCTTGGAGTTAAAGCCGCCTGTAACACGCTTCAGTCCTGCGGGACGAGAGCAAAGGCTTTAGGCGCGCCAGGGCCCTGGCACCTCAGCCCACGTTAAGGACAAGTCCCAAGTGCACCCCACACCACACACCTGTGGGCAACAACCCAACGCCTGCAAGACCCAAGGCTGGCTAGGGGCCAGGGTGCTGGGGGCGCCCTGTGCAGACCCCACGCAAGCGCCACAGCTGCACGCAGGGACCAGACCATGGCGTCGGCAGCAGTGAGCCCACTGTTAGAAGTTACTCTGCAGATGTGGCCACAGAGGCAGCACCGTAACAGCCAAAAAAAAAAAGTAGGAACAACTGAAAAAGCCCAGTAATGGGGAAATGATCTGACACATTCCAGAGTGTTCACAGGACAACACGAGAGGCAGCCCTTGAAGGTCAGGACGCAGGTCTGAGGTGCGGCCCCTCCGAGACACCCGACGCCGCTAGGGCACGACGCGTGGTTGACTACTGAGTGAAAAACACAAAAGGGAGCCCTGGCCGGTGTGGCTCAGCGGAGTGAGCACAGGCCTGCGAACCGAAAGATGGCAGTTCGATTCCCAGTCAGGGCACATGCCTGGATTGCAGGCCAGTTCCCAGCAGGGGACACAGGAGAGGCAACCACGCATTGGTATTTCTCTGCCTCTCTCCTTCCCTTCCCCTCTAAAGTAAATCTTTTTTAAAATACAGTTGAAAATTGGTTAAAAAAAAAAAAAAGGGAGAAGAAGAATCCTTACAACCTGCACCCAAATGTTCACAGCAGCTTCTCTGGAACAGCCCCGAAGTGAAAAACCCCCCAAGTGACCCCGGCAGGTGAATGGATAAGCAACCTGTGGACACCCACGGGACGGGACGCCACCCAGCAATACAAAGGAACAGACTGGCTACACAGCAACACGCAGAGTCTTCCCCTAGGCTCAGCGGGAGAAGCCAGACAGAAAGGAGCACGCGGCAAACGGCTCCGACTCATTCGAACCTGTAAAAACAGGAACTGTCCCAGGGCAGTGGCTGCCGGCGAGAAGGGGGAATAAAGAGCCGGGTGCACAGGTGCAGCAAAGCTGCTTCTTTTTTTTTTTGAAGATACATTTTTTTATTTTAAAGATTTTGTTTATTTATCTTTAGAGGGGAAGGGAAGGAGAGAGGGAGAGAAACATCAGTGTGTGGCTGCCTGTTGTGTGTCCCCTGCCGGGAACTGGCCTGCAACCCAGGCACTGGGACTCGAACACAGTTGTTCGGTTGTTCGCAAGCCCGCACTCAACCCACTGAGCTACACCAGCCAGGGCCCAAAGCTTCTTAATTGAATACTTAATAAGTGGTTTATTACACATGAATCCCACTTCAATTTTAAAAAGTATCCTTAAAAATTGTAAGTGGCTGCTTAAAGAGAAAACAGTAACAATGTAGTGTGGAACTTGTAACGTCCATAAATATAAAATGTGTCCACAGCAGCCCAAGCTGCGGGCACAGGGGCGGCTGTGCAGTCACAGTTTTCGACTCTGCACAGTGGTGTGACCTCGCTTGAAAAGGCAGTAAGTTAGAGACGGGCCCTTGAACCAGGGACTGGCAAAAAATGGCTCAGTCAGGGCCATTTCTGCACAGTCAGAGAGGTGACATTGAAAGGGTGGGTTAAAAATAAAGAGTAAGATATAATACACAGCATGATCTATGTGGCCAAAGAGCCCAAAATATTTACTTCCCGGCCCTCCACAGAGTTTGCCAGCCCTTGCTTTACACCGCAAAGCCATCACTGAAAATCTACAGCCGCGTTACAGCTAACGAGGCAGCTAGGTTTCTAACGAATGGAACTATGAAAAGTACCAATTAATGTGAAAGAAAGCAGATAAAGGGGGACAAAGAACAGACACATGGCAAGGTCCACAGTAGTCACCCAACACCACACTAAACCTGAATGTCATGCACATGCCATTTAAAAGGGAGTCAGCTTGGATTTTCTCTTTTTAATGAGACGGAGAAAGTCCTATTTACCAGGCCTGTTGGAAGAGGGAACGACGGCCCGTGTTTTAACTTCACCGAACCTGGACCTACACATCCAGGGTTTGGTTAAAACCAGGCCCGTGTAGCTGCAATCAGAGGGATGTTCCGAGCCTGCCCTTTCTGAGGGAGGCGGGAAAACGGACTCCCAGGCCCCCACCTGCTTCGTCACCTTCTCTGTCGTCTCGACCCCCCCCACCAGAGACACTTGGGGAGAGGAGAAAGGCCGAGTACGTCTGCAGCCCCCACGCTGTAGGTCTTACCCAAAATCCGAATGTGGGACGGGAGGTGGCTGTTGATCTTCTCTAAGATGTCGTCAATCAGCCACACCTTCAGGGAGACGACCTGGCCGGCTGCGGAAACGCCCTGCAGAGGAAGCACAGGTGGGAGGGGCCGGCTGAGGCCTGCTCGTCAAGCACCGCAGGGATCTCCCGAACAGAAGGACCACGCCGAGGTTACGTCTGTTCCCAGAGGAGTTCTGCTTTTGGAAAGCCACCTCAGGAGGGGGAACAGAAGGCAACTCAGACAACGGAAGCCCTAGACAGTGCAGGGCACCTGTGCACCTCTGAGACCAGGCGATGCGCAGGTCCCGGGGCCCGACCTGCCGAGAGCTCCGTCCAGGAGACTGCTGCCCCCTGGCCCAGGGCTGGACATGCCCAGCAGCCAGCGTCGCAGAAGAGTGGGGTGTGAGCACGCTGTGTTCTGCTTCTACCAGGAGGCCTCACATGCTCCAGCCCTGTTGCCCCGCTGAACCACACCTGGGCCCAGCCCTGGCGACCCCTCTACTCTCCTGTGCAGGGGGGCTACTGCCTGAGCCAGGCCCATGTCCGGGAACATGATGGCTGCCACGCTAGCCAGGAACTGGGCCCGGGGCAGATGTGTGAGCTGACCAGACAACAGGACTCAATCTCGTGATTCCAGGTGGACGGTGCTGGGCCACAGTCGCAGGGCTCCTGAGTCCACAAGACGCACAGCGATGGGCCGATTGTCGGACCGACACCGCACTGGAGTCAGCACTCATGGCCAGAGAACGAAAAACACACCCCAGGAACCTTTAAACTAACGTTGTTACTAACACCGATTTTGCTGGTTTCCTTTTCCCTTCCGACTGCGGCAAGCAGAAATGCACGGCGCAGTGTGGCTGGCCCACGTGTGTCACTGCACCTGAGACGGCCGGTCGATGGCGGGAGACGTCATGGCGGGGGCAGAGGACGGAGCGGACGCAGCGCTGCCAGCAGTGGGCGTCCAGACCCAGCCGTCTCTGCTCCACCAGCAGCAACGTCCTCCCACCTTGACGAGACGGGTCTCACTCAGGCAGCCGTCACCTGGAACCGGGAGTGCTGACCAACGGAGACACCGCCTACCTTGTCTGTGCGGGCGCACCGCTGGAAGGACATCTTCCTCATGTCCTCACCGTGGTTCTCCGGAATACAGCCCGACCGCACCAGCGCAGACACCAGGTCGTCTTCGATGGTCTTGAACTGCGAGGACCCCACGTTCCTCTGCAGGAAAGGAGACAACGCGGTTTTTCGCGTGGTCGCTATCCACAAGAGCAGGCCTGGACTGCTCCTGGCAGGGGCAGGCGTGGTCTGCCCACACCCCCAGTCGGGCACCACGCCTGTGGGCGTGGGGAGACGCTGCGTCTCGTCCCTCCCAGGGGAAGGAGGAAGGCCAGCTGAGGGTGCCCACAGCCTCCAGGAATCCCCACCCCAGGCAGCAGGCGAATGGCCAGCGGCCGTGCTGTCATTTCCTCCACCCAGTCAGCCCTGAAACCAGCACTGTCCCAATGTGGGGCGCTTCTGTCTGCAGAGGGACCCCTCCCGTATGACTGCAGGGAGGCAGGCCCCTCACTCAGAAAACACACCCAGGCACCACCAGCAGGGGCTGGTCTGGCGTTCCTGGCTTCCGTAAACCCTTCAGTGCCTGCAGAGCCCATACAACCTCCCAGGACTGACGCAGGCAGGGGAACACAGCCCCTGCTTCCGGAGCCGTCTCTGACACCATCCCGGGAAGCTGTCCCAACCCTGATCCAGGGCCTGCAGGACCCTATGGTGTTGGTGAGACCACCAGCCTTCCCACTCTCTAAGAAAGCCTTTCCCACTCAGGGGACACAGGGCCTCAGCACAGGGGGAAGTCCTTCCCAAAGTCTACCTCACAGTGTAGATCCAATCCCTCACTCAGCATGGAGTCATAAATGTTCAGGTGATGGGAACGGACATTAACAAACGGGGAACAACCCCCATGCCAGTCTCTCCATCTGCCCCTCCGCCCGTTCTGTGAGTCGTCACTCTCCACCATTTCCCTCACAGGGAAACTGAGGCAAATAGAAGATGATAGGCCTTCTCTCAAAGTCCTCAAGGCAGCACTGAAGGCAAAAATCCGCATAATCAAATCCACCCTGGAAAATGCATTCCCGTGGGTTGGCCTGCTCCTGCAGACGCCTGGGGCTGTTAGACTGAACCAAGGTCACAGTCTACCAGTGGTGATGTGATGAACTTGGTTTCAGGAGTGCAAGCGGTGCTTTTGTAAAAACAAAATAGGATACAAAGTAACTTACCATTACTACTGTTCTTAGTAAAAGTTGCAACACCTTTTTCTAAACTTCCCTTCGCTTAGATACTCTGTTCCAGCAGTGAATTTCTCACTGTGAGTCAGGCTTAGAGACTTGACCCAAACAGAAGTGAGGACAAGAGGGAAGGAGAAAGTTTACAAGCATTTGGGCAGCACCTTCTGCCTTCTGTGAAAGGATCATGCTGGCAGGCTGGAGAGAGAATTCTAAAAGGGGCCCCCTTGCCCACAGCCCGTCACTTCAACAGGTGTAAAGGGCAGGGACAGCTGAGTCCCCAATCTTCCCCAGGGGCACCTGGGTCTCGGTGCACAGCATCAGCAAGCCTTGTGCACTTTCCTGCTCCAGGAGGCCGGTGCTGTGATCACCCCATGTCAAAGGTGAGGAACCCAAGGCATGGAGCGCTCCAACCATGCGCTCCAGGTGTGGCGCCGGGTCAGCGGCACGGTTGGGCCTTTAACCGCCCGGGGAGACGAGTCAAAGCCCCGACAATTGCATCTCCCGTGCAAGGCACAAGGTCCAAGCACTTGGATTCCAATCTCAACCTGTTGGGACCCGAGAAACAGGGTGGAAGAGCGACGTGTCTGCCCTTCCCTGGGGCGGCCCCCTGGAGGCCCTACCCGGAACCACGGAGCGGTCACGGGCGAGTCAGAGCACGCTCGCACCGCTCACCTGCATGGCGCTCACCTGCATGCCGTGGTAGCCCTTCCCAGAATAGGCCAGGAGCATCACGATCTTGCGCTTGGGCAGTTTCCTGGGCGGCTCCCCGTCCGCTCCGCTTTTGAGCTTTTTTGCCGGCTGCTCCGTGTCCTCCCATGCCCTGCCCCCGCCCTGCCAGCCGCTACGGGCCTTCCTGTCCTGCTCCTGCCTGGTCCCCATGGGCACCGGGGTCTCTGCCTTCTCGGCCATGGGGGGCCAACTGGAAAGACAGAGGCGCTGTCGGCAAGACTGGCGGACGCCGCGCGGCCAGGGGACCGCGGGGTGGAGCCCCCGCTCCGGCCTCCGCGACCCGGACACAGGACGAGACAGATGCGGACATTACCCGAGGAGGCGCTGTCCCAGGCGCGGCGTCCACGCTCCGCAGGCTCTCTGCAGGGCCCCGGCCGCCGCCCGCAGCCTGGCGAGCCCCATGCACAGCCCGGGTGGGGTACACGCGCGCGACTCCAGACCTCCCCGGGCCCCCGAGGCCCCGCCCCGCCCGCGGCGATCCTCCGACGTCCCCTGACCCCAGGCTGACCTCTGACCTCCCCAGTCCCCACCTCGTCCTCCAGCCCCGCCCCCTCTCCCACCACCCCCCCCCCCGACTTCCTCTTGGAAATCAGGAAACCCCGGCCACCGGCTACCGGCCACCGGCCCGGCCCGGCACCAGGGAGGCGCGACCCCACCCGGTCCCACTCACGGCGCCGCAGACTGAACCCCAGCCGGACCACGTGAGCGAAGGCGGAAGAACAGCGCGAGGCCGGACGGCGGCCGCGATGGAAAAAAGTCCTTCGGGGCGGGGCTTGGAGGTGGGACGGGGCGGGGCTTGGCAGCAGCAGCAGATTCCTGGCTGGTTGCCGGCAGCCGTGAAGGCGGCTGCGCGCGACGTTTTAGCGCGGACAGCGGTCCTAACGGTAACACTTCCAGGCCCCTGCCCAGGTTACACGTGTTAACGCGTGCATCTTCAGGGAGACAGATAACGACAACACGGATCATTCGCATAATACTGCGTTGTAAAGTAACAAATGCCTTGTGAAAGGCGAACGAGAAGCCCTAACGCCCCTGCAACAGGAGCAAACTTGAAAACCTCATGCTCCGTGAAGGAGATTACATGCAAAGGCCACGCCGTGTGCAAAATGTTTAGAACAGGCAAATTGCAGGCTGATACGGCTCCTCTAGCTCACAAGTCAGGCCCTAATGGAAAGAGCTCCTGTGCCAAATGAGCCCACCAGGACAGCCCTTCTCTCTGCAGAAAGGAAGCACGCTGCCTTCCCAGTTCCTGAGGTGAGGAAAGACAAGGTCCCCTGTGACCTGGCAGGCTCAGGCGGCTGAGCAGCATTACGAAGCATCCAGCTACCTTCACGCAGAGCACCGCCATACCTGCTGCCTCTTCACCCCCACCAGCTACAACGGGTGATCTTGCATCTCCGTTCTACAGAGGGTCGACTGAGGCCTGAAGTTGGGATTGGCGCCCAGGGGGCCGAGGTTTGAGGCAGGGTGGGTGCCCAAGCCCAGCCCTCCTGGCTGAAAGGCCCTTGTGGGCCTGGGGAGCTGTGAACATGCAAGGAATGTGCAGAGGGGACTTTGAGGTCATCCTGCATGGTCACTGCACCCCCCAGGCCAGCGTTCCTGGGCCCACTTGTCACAGTCAGGCTCCTGCACAGGATGGATATAGCAGCTTTATTTGTAATTGCTGAAACTGGGAAGCACCAAGATGTCCTTCAGCAGGTGCATGGGAAGGAAGTGGTTAGACTATGGGATGTCACCCAGCATTAAAAGGAAAAAAAGCTATCAAGCCACGAAGAGACATGGAGAATATCATTACTCAGTGAAGAGGTCAATCTGCAAAGGTGCCATATTGTGTGATTTCAACTGTGTGGACTTCAGGAAAAGGCAAAACTACGGAGACAGCAAAAAATCCAGAACTGGGGTGGGGGGAAGAACAGGCAGAGGATTTTTAGGCCAGTAAAACTACCCTGTATGACCCCGTGACGACAGGTGCGTGTCGGTACACATTTGTTCAAACCCACAGAACGTGCCCTGCGGATGCTGGACGACTGCAATTGTGGACGTGGGCAAACGCAACAGTTAAGCAACAGCCACATGTCACGACTGTCCCCACCCCCTTCGAGCACTTCTTTGTTACGGACAAACTCGGAGACCCAGAGCAGACGTGCAGCTTGGCCCCAGCCTCGCCCGGCTCGGCCCTTCCTCTCTGGGGGCCGTGTCTGCACTTGAGGAAGCCGGCCCTGAGCAGGCCCCACCTTCGCTTCCTCAAAAAAGTTCACTGCTACCCCTCCATGAACTTTCATTTCGAGTTGTGGTTAGCCTTTTTGGTCATTCAATGGGCTATTTTTAACTCACAAAAACATTATGTCGTTGAAAAAAATGCAAACCCTACCACTCAACATTAGAGATACCACCCAAATTAAAAAAAAAAAAAAAGACAAAGGACTTGCATAGACATTTCTCTGACAATTTAGGTTTGGAAATGGCAGACAAGCCTGTGAAAAGACCCTGGAGGTCACTAGTCACCACGGACCTGCAAACCCACCGCGCACGGGGTGTTGGGGGGAGACACAGAGCTCTGCCGGCGCTGCCGAGGGTGTGGGAATCGGATGGGGACGGAACAGGTGTGGATGCCACGCAAAGTCTGGTGCAGTTGCTTGAAGTTGTGCAAGGAGTCACCCCACATTCCCCTCCTGGGTGAACCCCTGGAGAACCCCGAGAGGCAGGCGTCCCCCGGGGCCCAGGGAGCATCCTGCTGGGACACAGTGAGGGGACCGGTCACAGAGCCCCGGCAGGCAGGGCCAGTTTGGTCCCCAGGCTGAGCCCGCCTCTGTGCAGGGCCAACCGGGTGCTGCTGCAGGAGGGCAGGATGCTGGGGGGGGGGGGGAGAGCAGTGCTGGGTCTGAGACAGTGACAGCCACTCAACAATTCCAACGGTTTATTTCCTTGAATGGATATTACACAATTTAACACAACTGGCATGGGGTGGGGAGGGGAACCACACGAAATTCCTCCTGAAGTGGACTGAGAACTGAGTGCTCTCTCGTGGAGAGCAGGATTGGCTGGCGGCGCACGGGACACACGGTGCCACTACAAGAGGGACTGGGAAGGAGGCCCGCCCGCCCTGACGCCAGCCTCCTGGCAGACCTGGAGTCCAGCCGACCACAAAGCAATAAATAGGAACATGTCCTGTGCAGCAGGAAAAATATAACGTCACTGGTGACGAGAAGATAGAGTCACCGGGCTGCTCCTAAGTCCCAGCACAGGGCGATATTCAAGTATTGCAGAGACACACGCGCAGGTCTGAGGGGGTCTGTGGTGCAGACCCGAAAGCCCTGGCCAGGTGCCTGGGCTGGCCAGGCTTCCTCCACACTCCCGGGGTGCACTGGAGGGGGCGGAGCAGAGCTGGGCAGACCAGAGAAGTCCCCTGGAGCCAGGAAGTGGGCCCTCCCTGACCCCTCTGGCCCCTCTGAAGGGGGCCAGGACCTGGTGCGGGGAAAGGGAAGAGGCATTTGACATCGAAACCTACTGGGAAAGCTGGATGAGGTTTTTCCACAAAATGCACCCCCTCACCTGCCCACCGTCTTCTCAGCAAGGGTCTCACTGCCCCAATCGGCAGGGACAGCAGGCCAGCGAGCCACGCAGGTGCACCACCCTGCTATGGGTCCCCCCACCTTCCAAAACAAAACGTGCTAACTAGCTAAACACCTACGAGTTTTTCTTCTTTAAACAAAAAAAGAGCTGCAGAAAAATAAGACACATTTTACGAGTGGGTGTGAAAGACTGTCACGTCTGCTCTGGGTTTAGAAAGCTGGGCCCGTCATCCGGCGTATCCCTAAAAGAACGTTTAAAGAAGATGCTGTGTCTCGTGTGGGCCAGGCAGCAGGCGCAGTGGGCTATTTATATGTGTATATATGTGTGTGGTATGTACACACGCCTCTAGGACAGCAGCCACACTGGGCACGCAGTCCTGGCACGAGTCCGCCTGCATAAAGTGCTTGGTGATTCACAAAGCTGGGTGGTGGTCTTGGGGGAGGAAAGGGGCCAGGAGCCCACACCTTTTCCTGGGCGGGCCCTGGGCTGGTCTGGAGGCTTTGGCTTGAGTGGGCCCCGGCTTGTACTGCCAGGGTGGGGGGCTGCTCACATGTCCTCACCTGCCTTGGAGGCAGCCAGGGGACTGGCCTGGGTTGAGGTTCCGTGCGGGCCCTCCAGTGCCGGCAGAGGCCCAGGAAGCAGCCATGCCTGGGCACCTGGCTCTGGATGCACGGTGGGGAGGCTGTGCTCCCCCAGCCCTGGGAGCCACAGGCTGCAGGCTTGTCCCTGGCAGCCCACCACGGGGTCCGTGGAGAAGGTCCGGCTGCTGGGGCCTGGTGGGCAGGCTCCTGAGAGGTCAGGCATGAAGGCCGGTCAGCAGGGCCCGGTCAGCAGAGCTGAGAGTCTCCGTTCAATGCACAGCTTGCCTGCGGGGAGGAGGCCCGGTGAGCGCTGTCCCTGCCCTTGCCCCGGCCCCTCCGGGCGAGCCAGCGCTCACATTTGGCGATGTTCTCCACGTCCGCCTGGTCCGTGAGCAGCTGCTGCAGCCCCTCCATGAGCAGCAGCGCCTTGTGGTAGCGCTGGACGCAGTCCTCCCGGCGGTGGAACATCTCGTCCAGTGCGGCCGACTGCACCTGTGTGGCCCGCGGCACGGGGCGTCTAAACAGGTGCCCGTGTGGCCGTGGGCAGCCGGGGGCTACAGGTCGGACCAGCAGCTACCCCAACCCCCAGGGCAGTCAGGGGTCACCCCTGGTGGGGAGGCAGACTTTTCTAGGACGTTTGTTTGGTGTGCATTTAACTATGTTAATCAGTGGTCTCAGAAACAGGCACCGCCACCGGGCTGCTCTCGTTGGGCTGAAGGACCCCAAAGGCTCAGTGGCCCCACGTGAGCAGACTGGGCCTCCAGGCCAGGGACCAGTACTGGTGCCCTTGGTGGCCTCATCCCCACCAGTGGGGGAAACTAAGTCTCAGGGAGGGTGCGGCCAGGGATGCACCTGGACTGTGGAGCCAGCTGGGCCTGGAGGGCCCCAGGCCGGCTGTCCGCTGGGGGCCTGCGTGGTGTCACCCCCTCCCCAGCCAAGAGCCTGACTGTACCGTGTGCACCGCGTGGCTGAAGATCAGCTTCTCAGCGGTGACGCTCTGGATGCGGTCCAGGAGCCGCTGCTTGTCCAGGAAGAAGCGCTGCAGGCGCAGGCTCAGGCCTTGGCAGGACAGCACGCTGGCCTTGTACAGCTCGTTCAGCTTCCGCACCACTGCACGGGGCGCGTCGGCATCGCTGAGGCCGGCCCCTCGCCACGCACCGGGACGCACCGCGGCTCCCCCCGGGCTGGCTGCTCTCCCCGTCTCTCCCCGCGGTCACCTGCCCTCCTGAACCCGGTCCCTGGTTTTCGTGCTCCCAGGGCGGGGCGGGGGTTAGGGAGCCCACACTCACCCTGCTTCACGGTGGACGACAGGCAGAGCTTGCCAGCCCGGATCTGGTCGATGGCGGTCTGGAGGGC